TTTGTCCCTTGTCTGTCATCAGCGTAAATTTTTCACATTTTCATCTTCTTCTCAAGAACCACTGGGCCAATTTCAAACAAAGTTGTCACAAAGTATCCTTGTGTATAGGGAATTCAGGTTTATTCAAATGAAAGGCCAAGCCCTCTTCTAAGGGGAGATAATTGCAAATTCATGAAAAATTTATGGCATCTTTTAAAAATTTTCTTCTCAAGAACCACTAATGCTAGGAAATTTGAAGCTTATTTGGAAATACATGTATCCTCAGGTAGTGTAGATTCAAGTTTGTTCAAATCATGACCCCAAGGGGTAGGATAGCGCCACAGTGGGCGATCAAAGTTTCAAAATGGTCGTATTTATATGGAATGTGAAGCATCCTCAGATGGTGTAGATTCAAGTTTGATCAAATCATATGACTCCCAAGGGTAAGGTGGTGCAACATTGTACAGTTATTTGGCCAGTTCCGAATAAGAAACCGATTCGGCGGTGCTATAAATATACTAGGCATTATTTCAAAATCTAAGTGTTTTGTCAAGGTAGTTCGTTGACTTGTGGAATTAAATATTGTTTCACAAAAGTTCAGCCTTCCCTCCAAAAAATTTATTTCGCAAGTTACCATAAGGTGTCCATTTTACCAGTTACGAATAAGCCGACGAGTTCCGGATAGCCTAGAGATTCTTATTCAATTCAACCCTAAATTAAAAAAATAAACGTCCCAGACGTTATTCATTGACATGGCTTAGAAAAGTTAAATTAATTACTTACCAATAAATTATTTGTATTTCCAAAGGTTGAAGAGAAACTAGAGGTACTGTGGGCACTGAGCTCATTTTAATGATACCCCACACCTCCTTTATGATTATTTATGAGAAAATCCATGTTTTGCTCTGGGAGACCCGGAATAAGTGTCAGATCAAATAGTAAAATAAAAGGTAACAATGTCACAATATAATAAAGAAGCTGTGAAAGTATCATTAAATCTTATTCAGTGGTATAGGAGGATTTGCGGATAAGAGATGGATATACCTTTCAATATTACAAAAAATGGCAGTATTTATGTTTTTCTCAGTGAGCCCGAATTATGTGCCTGATCTAAAAATAAAATAGGTGCACTTTGGTACTGTTAAACAAAGACTCTGTGAAAGAATCATTAAATTCTGTGAAGCCTCATTAAACTTCATTTAGTGGTAGAAGAGGGGTTGCGGATAAGAAATGGATACCCAAGAGTATATCAGACGGGCGGACGTACAGACAGACGGACGGGCGGACGTAGAGACGGATGGATGGACAAACATCCCATTAGTATATACCCCTTCTTCCTGTTTTTCCAGCGGGGGTATAATAAGTCACGTTTACAATGAAGAAAACAACGAAGAGTGAATTTATAATAGTGTTTAAAATGGGTATTCGGAACTGGTAAAATAAGAGCACGAAAATATTTCAATATCTTACAGTGTTCTAAATATTTATTTTTGAGAAGTTTTTAGTATATGTTAGAGTACATATCAATCTTACTTTTGATACCTGGAACGTGGTTTTATGTGAAAAATTAATGTATCTACAGAGGTTTTTCTGCAGACTTACGCGTCGCGGTGATTCAGATTTGTTGCATTGTAAAAGTATGTCGACTGTTTCAAGTACGATAACGAAACCAAACCGAGGGCAAAAAATCAAAACTTCACATAATTCAAACAATCATAAATAAGCCTTATTACCATAGAAATTAATTTACTTTTACACCGTTGAATTTATTAATTACCAGTCCTTAAATTACTAATTATTCGGAACTGGCCAAAATCCGGAACTGGCCAAACGACTGTATGATCAAACAACTTTGCAAAGAAAAAAATCTTTTAAAATCTTATTTTTTTCTCAAAGAAAAACTAAACCTTGATTGTTCATCATAAAATAAAAGCATATCCTCTGCAGGTAACAATGTAGATTCAAATTTGATCAAATCATGACCCCAGGAGTATAAAGGGACCATAACAGGGGATCATAGTTATACATGTACAAAGAAATAAAATATAAAGAATAAATCAATAAAAAATTCTTTTTTAAGAACAGCAAAGCTATTATTCATCATATTTGTTCAAATCCCCCCCATCCCCCACATACACATCTGGGAACCACTTTGATATTTAACCTTCTCAAAACTGAATTGATTTCTATGTGCTCAGGTGAGGAATATGGCCCATTTGCCTCTTGTTAAAAATTGTTATTAAAATCAAGGTTTATAATTTTCAATCTTGGAATTGCTAAGCTATGATAAATCACTGCCTATAAGACTGCATTATATAAATATTGCATGTAGTTGAATGTAACATTGATAATTTTCACCCCAAGAAAACCACTGTCAACCGAGGCGCAGCCGAGGTTGACAATGGTTTTCGAGGGGTGAAAATTTTCAATGTTACACTCTACTACATGCAATATTTATTATATTATACTGAATGTTTTATACAAAAACATGTTACAGTGAACCGTGCGCGCATAAATTCAGCGCAGTCGCTATTTTTTGTTATACCACCCGTCGTCAAGCAATGTTGACTGTTGCTATGCAGGAGGGCGTGGCTTCATTATTCAGCGGGTAGTAGTGTTTTTTATCAAATGTTTCTCGACGAATCAGATTCAAGTAATTTACATGAAAGTATAATATTACAAATTAAAAGACAGAACAAAAGGAAAATCAAAGACTGAAGTGTAATAAGCAGAAAATTCAATGTTTTGTACTTATAGTTGGATAAGGGATTTACTTCACCCATGAGGCAGAATTTTCGCATATTTTTACTCATGCTTTGCACTCCGGTCTGAAAATTAAAAAATTCTGTCCCACTCATGAATTAAATTCCATTATCAAACTAGTCCAAATATTGAATATCTCCTATATATCATTGTTATTATTTCAATGATCATGCAAAATCACATTTGTGTACTGACAAGACAATCTATCATCAAATTTAATTTATGACTTACATGTACTGTAGAGCTATTTCTATTAACAGTAATATTTTAGCCTTTTTTCACTGCTTTTTTCTGCTATTTCATGTACCAGGTACACACTTATATATGATTAGAACTAATACCTGCCATTTTTAAAGACTTACAAGTGCTAATTTACAACTGCACTGAATCTACTAAGCATACTAATTTTATGCATGCATGTTTACAGTGTATGTTATTGGTATAGTTAATGTACATGTAGCTTTAACCCTTGATTCTGAGCAGACAAACTGGCAAAGCTTACCATTGTATCTCATAATGTGTTTCATGGACGGCAGATCCAGAACTTTGCCCTCGTCTCTCCTGAATATCTTGGCTCGGGGGGCCAGTTGGTAGGAGAAGTCTGTCCCCATCTTTTCCACCACTTCTGGATACCCACTCAGGTTGTAGACTTTCTCAAAGAATGGAACATTATAGGATGCCCAGTAACCTAGAATTAAATTAAAAGCATATTTTAGGTATAAACATTAAATTCATGTTGCTACAGTCAATATCTTATTTGCAAAGGAAATAAATTCAACTAATTTTTTCCTTGAAATTTATTTATGCTCTTTGCACAAATATATTTTGGGTAGCTGATAGTGCCCCCAACACTGAAAATACCCCACTAAACTGAAATTGCTTTCTTAGGGCCTACTTATAGTTCTTAAAAGTTTGTATGCCTTCTGGGTCCAAAATTGGAAAATAAAATCATCTTATCTGTAATGTGCAAAGCATAAATTCTTCTTCATAATCAATATTGCATAATAAATATTGCACAATTTTTCCATAACATATAAATGTACATGTATGAATATTTTCCATTTTTTTTGTATGAACAAACCGACTGAAATTACTAATCAGTGTGTCGATATACATGTACATGTATAATTATTTTCTGATACCTGTTCTTAGAATGGCAGACTGGTCTCCAGCTTCTACGAGAGAGGGAATCTGTTCAACTACCCATAATGCATCATCCTCTATGGCTGATTTCAGATGAATTTTCTTTAGATCAATTATCATGTATTGATTATTGTAGGTGCCTAAATTGAACAAGAAATTGAACAAAAATAAATGCTTTGAATATGTAGTCTATATACATGTTATTAAAGTTCTTTCAATGTGGATGCAAAATAACAAGTTCGTGCAACAGTATCATTTGGCCATATATTCCAGCAGAAGTTGATCATTGCCTTAAAATAATCTTGCCTATAAATGTTTTACCATATAACCCCCCCTTTACCACCACTGCCATCATCCACAACAGCAATGATACTAACCTGAGTTAAACTGAGCCATTATTTTGGCCCACTCTTCTCCACCATTAGCCATCATGTTTGCTACTCGAACCCGCTGCCAGGCAAACAGGGACTCAGGTTTGACATAATTGTACAGCGTTTTGTTGAAGACATTATTGGTGGTCTGCAACATGACCATCTTGCTGCTCATGTGATAAAAATCATCCAAGGATTCCAAAAATCCTGAAATGCAAAGGCTAAGCTGATATTTGCAGTTGACAAAGATTTTTAACAAGACTTCTTCTAGGTTGTATAAGTGTAATTTAAAATACTGTAGTGTGTATAAATGGGATTTTTAACAAAATGTATAATTACTGGGGGGTTGATAGCAAATATTCCCTAAAAATTAGTACAATGTTTTAAATTTCAGTGAGAAGTAATTTTAGGGATTTCTTAGTGCATAGAAAGATAACGGTAACCCCTAAAATGGAATAAATTTTTTAAGAAATTTAAATTTAGTGATCTCAACATCCTTGTTAAAAATGCCAAAATTGAAACCTCGCTGAAATTTCTTCCTATACAGCAAAATAAAAAGTTACCTGGATAGCTGGAAAATGAAGTTCTTTTTGCTGATGTGGCTGGATCCCTTACATTAAAGTTATAATGTTTGTAAATTCTCATGGTAGCCTGGTACACAAACCAGCTGGAATGGGACATGAAGACATCCTCATAGGCCCCAAGTACCTGTATGTAGTAACAATCATACAAACTACAGGAAAATTTATAACCATAATACTACATGGAAATAAAGCTTGTTATACCACTTACCAAACTAGTCCACTCTATACGCTAGCTTTTATAAACTGCACATTGTATAAAGACAACCAACCTTTTTAACTATTTAAGCAATATTAAGACACCTATGACACTGAATCGCAGTCCCACCTTGATAAGAGCTGAACACATGCCCCTGTCCTGTACATAAGACAGAACCTGGCTGTGGGTCATCTTGGTCCAGTCTGCCGCTGAGGACGGGTCAAGGACATTCAGCAGGTCAAGCAGGTCACCAGCCCCATTCAACACTTGGAAAGCAAAAACATCCAGATCCTGTAGAGCAAGGGAGTATGTACCAATAATTAATAAACCAAAGCCATGAAGTGTTACAGACAGGAACTTATTTGATGAAGTATTTATTTGTAAACTCTCAAGACAGTGTTTGAATATACTGGTAGAGTCAACAGGTAAGATAAGATGTGCCATCTTGAAAATTCTATACATGTATATAATTATCTTGACCTTATTTGTTCTTCTGAAAAACAATAAACTTTCCTACAAAGATGCATAGTTGACAATGTCAGCAAGGCAACATATTATTTCATTGTGAAACATATGAAACTCCATACATGTACATAGGATGGGTTTTCAAAATGTTTGTGAACTAAATTAAAACTGCTTTATAGGCATATCAAAGAAATTTAACACATTAAGTAGAATCATCTTTTCTAGTTCAAGGTATCAAGCTAAAATTTTCAAGATTTCATAAACTTCTGTTGTTTTATGTTAATTATAAATTCTGTAAGCACAGACTACATAGTATTTATTTTATCGCATCAGTCCAAGAACTTTTTGATAACCCCAAATTGTACATGTATTGAACTGATGTATAAAAACATGCAGTGAGAAAAGTCTCCTCTCTCAGGCTACTTATATCATATCAGCTGATTACCTGTCCAGACTTTGCCACTGACTTATATCCAGCTACCAGTCCATCAAACTGTGCCATAATGAGACCTACATGCCTCCACAGGGGATCATTTGAACTCTTTTTGATCATACTCCTCATCCACATGTTCTGTTGATCAAACCATTTTGCAAGATTCTTCACCACATCTTCTTTTCTTTGACTCAAGAAAAAATCCTTCAAATTCTGGTAATGCTGCCAAATTCTCCTGAAATAAACTGCGTAGATTAATTTCTGCAGTTAAGTGACTCCAATGGCAAATTTTGCCAAGCTGCTCACAGAGAGCTTAATTGCTACATTTGACACCCTAAATAATAATAGAAGCAGTACACACCAGGACATACCATATATTGTAGTGATTGAATTTAATCATTTTACCCAACAACAAAGTTACAAAAGAAAAATTAAAATATTTTTAAACCCAACTCCCTAAACTTTAGACAAGAATTCTTACAATTGAATTATTTGTTCTGACAGTTCACTGCTAAATGTAAAAATTCTCCTACCCTAAATATTTTTGTCACAGAAATCATTAACAGCATTGACTCAGCCTTGGCCCTGACAGGACTTTAACTTATCTTATTTTTTCTTAATTATCTCCCCTTGGAAGATGGTGTGACCAACAACACACAATGTAGGAATTGTGACCAGAAAAAGGTCATCTCTGCCTTTTACTCTGGTGAGCACGGTGAGATAAAAATAATTATTATAAATAGATCTATATTATATAAAATTATTTTTAAATTTCACATTAAACACTTGCTGCAGAACTGTAGTGTTATGGTTTAAAATATTATAGTCTTAAACCATAATCCTACAAATTCTGTAATGCAAAAAATGTGCAATTTACAGCACAAGGTTTTTTACACACTGTTTGGAGAACTTCTCTACTTTCCAACAGATTGGTAAATCATCTAGTACCTTTTACCCCCTAATTCCAGACACATTCTTAAACCTTTCTGTATATTTTATCGACCTCATAACATTTAAAAGTCAAATCTACAAGCGATAAACTTGCTTGATTTGAATTGTACGAGGGAATATTTCAGAAAATTCTAATTTAAGCAAAGAACTATATGCGGTATTAACCAACATTTGCCCCCCAAAATCAAACTTTGATGGAGTAATATTTAATTAAGTCCTTAAACAGGGGAGTATATGCTGACTTCAAAGCACTGAATAATTTCATAAGTAATGACGTCATATGTACATAATGACGTCACAAATATGACGTAAATTTCAGCTTTTTATGAATTTTGCAGAAAAATGTACATATTTCGTCGATATTTTAAATAAAAGTCACCGAGCGCATGTGTGTTCAGGATTAATATTTTGATATAATGTGTAGAATGATATTATCAATGAAATATGTCAATATTGTTCCTGAACACACATGCGCTCTATAAATTCTAAAGCTTAAATTGTTGAAATTTTGTCCATTTTGTCCTCTTTTGAAAAAGGATATAAAATCGGACTAGTTTGTGACGTCATAAAAACAGAAATTGTGAATACACTGCTCTGGAACTATAATATTTTCTGTTAACTTATATTTCTCGTACAATTTATTAAATTCAGCACATTTCAGGAAGTTTTCAAAATTTGACTTTTGTGGGGGCAAACATATGCAATATACCGCATATAGTTCTTTATAACTCGTAGAAACAATTATAAAGGATTGGGAGGTGTATAAAATATACATATTTATTTTTCAAAATGTTTCTAGAATTATGGAGGGAAAGGTACGTAGATGATTTACCAATGTTGAAATTGACCCCCAAACAGTGCACAAAAAATCTTGAGCCATAAATTGCACAATTTTGTATTACAGCATTTGTAGCATTATGGTCAAAGATTAATTTATAAAACCATAACGCTAAACAGTTGAGCATCGTTCCAAGTCAAGAGATTCTGACCTGCTCCGCTCCACATAATCAGTCCAGTCCAATACGAAAATTCGTAATATTACGAAAAAACGTAAGATTACGAGAAAGCGTAATATTACAAGTTATCGTAATATAAAACTTATATTACAATTTTTCGTAATGTAGTTAAATTACGAATACGCGTAATATAGCAGATGTAAGAGACTATATTACGAGTTTTCGTAATCCAAGACAAATTCAAGCATTGCAAGAAATTGAGTGGTGGGTAGCAAAGTATTATATTACGATAACTTGTAATATTACGCTTTCTCATAATCTTACGTTTTTCCGTAATATTACGAATTTTCGTATTGGACTGGACTGAAAATGTAAAGCAAAGGCCATCAGAAACTCTTGACTTGGAAAGATGTAGTTGTGCAGCTAATTGAACAGTATCAATGTACTTACTCTGCAGTGAAGACGCCCTCTAGATATCCTGCACCAAACATGATGTCCAGGTCTTCATCATTTCCCTGCCCACCAACAATATCCAGGATCCCCCATCCTGTCTGAATTAGCGTGTCATTATAGGTACCACAGGCCGTTCCCTTAAAGTCCAAAACATTTGGCCGGTATGAACATTTCTGGTCTTTACATGTGACAGTTCCGTAAGTGTATTCTCCTGAAAAAAAAGTTTTTGTTTTTAAATTTCTATCAGTAAAATCGCTTTTAATTTTAAGCCTGTGTTTCAAATGTGGAAAAATATGCTACCATTTGACCCATAAACTGATAACTGAAGAAAAACACATAAAATGAAAGCTTTCCAATACTTCCAAATCGCACGACTGTTTTCCATTTTTTCAAGTTGAAAGTAGAGTCATATGGTTGTCATGTGACTTTATATGATCACGAGTAATAATAAACAACTTGTACGAATAATTCTTGAAAGAAATTGTTGTTTTTGTCGAAATAAGACGCTTAGAACATTTGTTTTCACTTTGAATACAATATCCATTAATAAAGTTCCTATATAATGAGAAATATGATAATTATTTAGCTTCAACTTAGCTTTAATGCTATTTGAAAAAAATAAGTTTTGAGACGGCCTACTTTTCTCACAAGTTGTGACGTCAAATCTTCGATGATAGACGCGCCTCTGTTTCGGCTTTTTGTGTGTGTTGTTCCCGCGAAAGGGAAGTGAACGAAAGATCATTGGTGTGATCAAAGATGAAATCGAAAAAGCGGCCCAGGGAGAATACTCCCGTTGTGGACGCCCAGACGGAAGCAGCCGATCGAGAACAGTTCTTGAAGGCATTTGAAAGTAAATCGCTTTTGTGGTTGTAGACAGGTGGTGAATGCTGTGGTCTACATCTATCAGTGATATGTTTCTTGATCTATAAAAGTTTCCTTATCCCTTTTGGTCATTTTAGAATGCTGTTATCTCATTTATGGAAAAAAATCAAATGTACCAACAACTTCATCTTTTTAATTTTTGTTTTTTTCTGGGTCAGTTGTTTAAAACTGCATCGTCAACACCATCACTAAATCAGTGTAAATGGCATGTAACTTTATATTTAAATTATACTTATGGTATGTCAATGATATGACACATTAAAAGGCCTGTACATAGAAGAATCAATTACGAAGTAGTCGGAAAAATAATTGTTTGAAGGGATGTTTTGGGATTTTATATATACAACACAAAAAAAGTTGAATTTACTGCACAACCTGTCTGTATTTGTGCACTTTTATTGTTGTAATTCACATAGAGTGTCAAAAAATCAGTTTAGTTATCTAAATAATTTTCCGCTTACCTGGAACACTAAATAAAAGACACATTTTCTGCTTGGTATCAAGAACGTACATGTACATTGTTAAGAAGAAGTATACTTCCTCCGCGCTCCGAGAATAATATATTGATGAAGCTGATTGCATTTGCATAGATTTCCATTTTCAAACCAGATTATAAAATTCTTAATCTGTGTTTTTCAGAACCAACACAGATTTATCGCTATCTAAGAACCAGACATCAAATTTCTGTAAGTAGAATATCGTATAGATTGAGATTGAGAATAGCATTATTTAAATACCGTAAATCTGGAAATTTTTACATTGATTTTAATTTGCGAATTCGGGTCAAAATGCTGTTGATTAATTTTTACATTTCATAATTTTTGCTTACATTTTCCTATTGGTGATTTATTTTTAAGAAAAATATTTTTGCAAATGCAATGAACTCGCAAATTTGCTAAAAATTTATCTACAGCAAAAATTTCCAGATTTACGGTAATATTTATAATCACTTAAAGGAACACTTTGTATCTGAATTGAAATGTGTGAGTTCTGATAAAATCTTAAATTTAAGGCCAGGTAAAATTAATCTTTAGATTCTCATCCTAATTTGCTAAAAAATTGGGGCGGGTGGGCGGATTTTATTTTTTATTTTTTATAATTGTTAATTTGTATATAGGCCTAAGTATCAACAAAACAATGGACTTCCCGTACACATTTTTTTTCATTACCTTAACGCAAATATGAATAGATTTAATTCTTTTCATATTCTTTTAAATATTTAAAGAAAATTTTTGCTTTAACAATTAAATATTTATTGTTAATTAACAAATTATCAAGTACACACCCTGAACAAAATGAGGTAGGGATACCAATAAATTGTGTATGCGTGACTTCTTATTTTGCAAAAACTATATAAATGTTCTAATAATTATTCTACTGAAAAATCTAGGCCTTCTCTTAAGTCTGTCTACGATGTTGTAGATTTTTTTTTATTTCAAAGCAAAGTCACACAGCTGGAGATCGTTATATATAACTTGACCAGGTGTCATTTTCCTCATCTATTTTTACTTAGTTTCAATCTCTCTACATACTTGCTCCTGCCAGTGATGGTATCTATATGTGTTTATGCTATTTTTTCTTCTCTGCCTTCTCTATGCTGACAAATTATCTTTTCCTTACACATTTAAACTGCTTTTATTGCCGATTTTTCTCCATTCTTTACATGGCGTTTTTGCTATAAATATCGACACGCGACTTTTAATACAGACGGGAGATAACTCCTAAACTTTGAACCTAATTCTTACTGAATAAAAATACATGAAAATACCCAAAAATCAAAATAAAAAACATCGGGGCGGGACATTTTGCGAGGGGCGGGCGGGGATGAGAATCTAAAGATTAATTTTATATGGCCTAACAGCTGTATAAGACTAGGTATTATTTCATCAAAATTAATTACAATTGTAATGTACATCTTTCCATATCTGAAGGTTCCACAGTGTTTGTATAAATCAGATTATCTACTAATTCAAAATTATTGCTTACATTTCTGCATTTATTTTTCAGCCAATTATTCTGCATAGAACATTGACTTACATGAAAGAAAGAAGATCAGTAGGCAATTCTAAGAGGTATGTCATTTGTCTATAGCATAAAAAGAAATAGGTGAACCAACAAGATGAACTATATTTTCAAAGGTTGAAGGATACTGATTTTTATATCAAAGATATCTTGCTTACAGTAGTTTGGTTTTTTTTTCAGAAAAAGCTTTGATGTAAACTCCATACTGAAGACAATCACAGATGATAAACAGAAAACTTCCACTAAAACAGAGAAGTATGATTTGGATAGTCTGAAAGTTATACTTGAAGTACAAAATTAAGTCATTCAACTTATCATATGTGATGTGTGATTCATAATTTTTCTTATGATATTCATTATTAAGCTTCTTTTCTGAATGAATTGATAAACTTTTCATCATAAATTTATTTATTATTTGTCTTTACTTTCATTGACCAAGTAAAGGAAAAAAATTATATATAGATTTTTTTTTTCATAAAGTATGAAATAAGTAGGGTAGAAATTATTTTGTTTTTCAGAACAAAGTCCTTAAATTTAAGAATTGCTGGGTACTTTTGTGAGGATGGTAAATATGTTAAAGTCAACCCTTTGTTTGAGGAAAAATAGTGTTTAAAATGCAGAATGATCATTATTAAAATTAAAAGAAACTTCATAAGTGTGATATTCTGTTTTACGGAATTCAGAGTATCAGTGTATATTTTTCTTCTGATTTATAGAGAGTAATGACACGGTGGATGTAGAAGTATCCCTCCTCCAGGTGTGTGAGAAGCGGCGGGGTGGATCAGTGACCTCGGTGACGAAGACCTCCTTAAAGACCCTCCAGGTTCCTGTCAACCCCAGCAGAGAAGAGAGTCCAGAACCATTCACCATCTCCCATGAATGCTTCAACAACAATCACATCTTACCCGTCAAACCTCTCATACTGTGTCTCAGTGTCAACACCTCACCAAAACATGGTATGGTCAACGGGCAGTGCAATGGAAACATAGACTCAACTGATGGTAACTTTTGGGGTTTTTTTTATTAATCTAATAGGGTGTATTGCGATGTGGCATTTAATTATGTCCATCCATCTAGTAGCTCATAACTTAAATAGTGTTCATTTCATAAGTAAGATCCTCTGTATAAAGTCCTTGTTATATTTTTTATACCATTATGAAATGTTTTAGAAGAACTACCAAATAAAAAGAGAAGAAATGGTCAGTTTGCTCCAGATGGTATTGAAAAGCCAGTTTTTAGCACAGAGGTGGTCATCTTGGATAGAAACAAGAAATGTCATCTAGTCAATGGGGACTATGAGTTTGTTTTACATGAACAGGGGGCAGACTTTAAGAATGCATCCTGGGAAACAGTCATGAATGGCAAGGTAAATTAGCAATTGTACACTGTAGTATATATTTCCTTGAAATATACATTAAAATTGTAGAATGATTATTTTCATGATTGTATATGTGGAGTCGAACCTCATTATCTTAGACTTGATGGGATTGATAAATAAACTGAGATACATGTATTTTAGGACTCGAGGTATTGGAATATCAGAAGAATTAATTGTCCACTTCATTATAAGTGTGTTTCTCTGTATACTGTTACTGTGCATTGATTCTGATTCAGGTTTTTCCTTTTTCAGCATGTTCAGGCTTTTGAGGTGTTTAACTTTCATCCCACACTCAAGTGCTCTATAGACTGGACCATTAATGGTAAACCAGACAGCTCAATCAACTCAGGGGCTTCAGATACTCATACACAGTACATAATGGACAACAGACTCGCACAAGTTCCCCTCAACTCAGGGACCATCTCAAAAGAGGAGGAACAAAGCACTCCAAAGAAAAGGCAGCGTGTATTTTACCAGTTTCTCTACAACAACAGTACTCGCCACCAGAACGAGGCTCGGGATGACCTTCGTTGTCCTTGGTGTGCACTCAACTGCATCCATTTATATGGACTTCTCAAACATCTCAGACTCTGTCATGCTCGATTTAATTTTATTTCTGTGGTAAGATTCATTATTGGTACATGTATTATATACAGCTAATGATTTTCTGGAGGACATATCAATGATTTAACTACCATCTATGAAGAAAAAGTACAGGACTTGCAGATTAATATATTTTAGTTTTCATTTTAGCCACATCATAAGGGTGTGAGGATAGATGTTACAATTAATGAGCGCTATGATGGATCGTATGCAGGGAATCCCCAAAATCTCTACAGCAATGTTGATATTGGTTACGCATTTAGACGCAATGGACCTGTACGGAGAACCCCTGTCACACAAGTGCTCGTATATAGGTAATCCACAGTTTGATAAAAGGAGAATCGGGAAGATGTTAATCAGAAACCCATGTAAACTTCTCTGTGTGAAATGTAAATGGATAGAAAATTGATGATAGAAAATTAATATATGCACTCCAAGAATGTTTCAAATGAAATGTATAAATATAGACATTATTATGTGTACAGAGTATATACTGATCATATAGTCTTGGATTTCAGACCAAAGAGACCTGCACAGTCATTGACTGAGTTCATGGAACCTGAAAATGACATACAGATCAACAGACAGTTCATGCAGGGTCACAACAGGTGTGTAATGCATTATGTGAAAATAGTACATGTATTTGTGCGAGATAGAGCGACATTACTAAAAAATACATGTACAATGTATTCACTACAGAAAAACTCATTTAGTACGAACATGGATATTGCGAATTCACAGATATAGCGAAGTCATCTTGGATCCCCATCTATATAAATTTAATGAATATCTTATACGGATATAATGAATTACGGATATAGCGAAGTAATTTGATAGGTCCCGGTGACTTTGTTATAAACGAGTTTTGCTGTATAAACTTGTCAGTACAGATTTGGGTTATGTCTATTCTTGTTGTTTAAGGCTGTATTACCACACTATGACATCAGAGGTCATTCGACCACAGGAAATAGATGTAGACAGTGAGGAAGAAACCGACCCAATTTGGCTCCGACAGAAAACCGTCAATGTAAGATTATCTTCATTAGAAACAATACAAATATAAGAAGAGCTGACACAAAATTCTACTGAAGATTGGCTGTCTTAACACTAAAACTACATGTTCTTTACTAAACGTGTATATTGAAAATGTTAAAGATTTGAAGCAGGTATACTTGCTTGTAAATGTTTAAAAGCCTTTTTTTCACAATTTATTTCTCGTTTTTTTTAGTATAACAAAGTAGTACAAATTTACTAGTACTTGATTTATATGTAATGTTTATTAAACAGATGATTGATGAATTTACTGATGTTAATGAGGGTGAGAAGGAGTTGATGAAGTTGTGGAATCTTCATGTCATGAAATACAAGTAAGTCTCTTTTTTCCATCTTCAAAAATATGTAGCTAAAAGTTATCGGTTTTCTTGAGTATACCGTAATTTTTGGATTATAGGTCGATACTTTTTTTCTCAGAACCGCTGAGGTCGACCAATATACGAATTCGACCTTTCTAAGGCTCAAGTTTACGAAAAATGCCTCAAAATCACTAAAATTTACGTCAATTTCAAAGCAAATCTGTGCTTCTTTCATAACTTTTTTCATTATTTTACGCAGAAAAATTAATGCCCAGGTAAACAATAAAATATTTATTTTATAGCTTTCTTACAAAGTAAATTCCATTACATATCCGTTGATGAAAAAGGAAAAAACTGTGCTTCATCAAGTAAATAATTCCTCAACGTGTTTATCCATTGCCATCATGCGGAAGCCATCTTGTGAAGTTAGGAAGTCGCTACCGTTTACTAAAAGTAATTAAAATACGGAAATTTTTTCAAGATCACAACTGTAGTGTTTTACCATTTATTAGTAGATTGATAAATTGAAATAGTATTAATTTTTTTTATTGTGACAGTCTTATATTTATTTATGTGTAAAATGAGTGAAATAAATTGTTGCCTGTCAATTCCTAAATTTAATTACCAAATAAACCGATAGTCATTACTATATATTTTTTTTAAATTTTATTTAATTATAATACCGGTCAAACGAATTAGCGCTATACAAAGATTGGCTTCTAACAGAATTTTTATTGTCTCACAGATAAAAGGATCTACACTGTGTGTACACGCAAAGGTTTTAACACCTGTGTTGGTTTAATACCCTCAGGGCATGATTAGCAAATCCACGTGCCGTTATAGGGTATTAGTGTTACACATCATTGAACAAACAAAGCCATGAAATTCATAATGACTGTCAACTTGTGAATGTACCGGTACTCTCAATTAAATATATAATTAAACTTATAGCGTGGTAATATTATTTCAATTCTTTACTGTTGCTTTATATATACATTCAATGGTCGTTTGCGGGTTTTAGCAAATCCTTGAAGAACAAAACTGAAAATGGCGGACATTGTCGTCCACCGGTAAATAATGTCTGAATAAAATATATTAGGAATGTGTCCAAGTTGTTCTGAAATCAGAATTATTATTCTTTGTTCTCGGATATTTCCCGAATTATAGCTGTAAAATAAGAACGTGTTTACGTGTTATTTATGCCTCTGGTTTAACAACAGTATGAAACTACGGAGGCATTGAACAGGCAAGTTGGAGAAAAATAAGTAGTAACACAATTCAACGAAGTTTTAACTACATTTTTTTTTTATTCAAACTTTATTTAAATGCTGTACTCATTAAAATACCTGTTTGTTTTCTTGATACGTTCATCTCACGGAATTACCCCGGTAATTATAGAGGTTAACCTGTTCTGATACGTTGTATCTGCGTAAGAATCTTTAGAAAACGGGTAACAAAGCCTCGTCCTATATAGTAAGTTCGTCCTATCTTAGGATTTTTCAAAAATTAAGGCTGAAAATGAGCCTTTCGACCTATATACCCCATCAACCTATGACCCGAAAATTACGGTAATATTATGTTAAATATCTGTTTTGCTATTTTCCTGATAAAATTTTCAAAAGTAATGATGTCACAGAATTTTGTTTTGATTTGTTTGTATTAAGGTGCATATACTTTCTGTTTTTAGTTTCATTTCGGACTGTCAGATCCCAGAGGCATGTTACTCGTTTGTACGGGAACATGGAGTGGAACTAATCAAGAAAAATCTCAACAAAAACTTTCTGGTCCACATGGTCAACATGTTTGACTTCAGCTTGATTCGTCCAGATGTAGTTCACAAGACAATGAGACTTCTGGATGAAGTAGATGATTACATCCATAGATCCTGAGAATAAGAAAGATATACATGTATATAATTTATAACAGTTGAGATCTGTATTTATTAACTAGATCTGTATTTATGTTGAAATCCATCTCTCTAATGGATTTTTAAGATTAATTTTTAGAAAGCGGTGACATTAGATACGAAAAAAATATTTCCGTCCACCTCAAATTAATCTTAAAGTCATCTGTTTTAAGGGCATCCGTGATTATCAATGGTTCCAGTAAAAATTACAGGAAATTGAATGATATTACACTAATCTGTTTTAAACAAATCAAGGATATGTGTGACAACAAAAAAAATCTAGAATCAAATATATAATGTAGTACTTATTTAGATATGTATGCCATCCTTCATATCAAATTCAAGTGGAACTTCATGAAATATATCTTGTGAACATTCCATCCTAACATGTATTTTCAGTGTGTACACTTATAGACCTTTATACATAGGCAACTTAATTTATTATTCGAGGAATTGGAAAACAATATTTTATGAACAATATCAGAGGAGGAGTAGTGATAACTAAATATTATTATACTATCATGTTTTTGATTTATCAAATATTTCTGATTGTGCTTACATTGCAATTACAGTTTTTAAAGTACATGTATTATACTAACGAAGTCATAACTAAGTCATGTTATTTTCCAAATTTCCTATAATATATATAAAAATTTATTGATAAATGATGTGTATTTGTTAATTTATAGAATGAATATGAAGAAACATTTTTGTGCTGTGTTTCTTTTATGTACATGTGTAGGTGTTTAAAATTTGTAAAGGTTATGTTGTGAAATGAATTCACATTTACCATCTACTCAGGGTTATTTTCCTCTTCCCTATGCATCAAATCAGGAAAAATAATCAGGGATCCCAAATAAACAGGTCAGTTCTGTAAAGCTCACTTACTCCAAATGTACCATCTTCAAAGCAGGTACTGGGCATTGAGTAAATAATAACGAATATATTTACCAGTTGTATTTTAACTCAAAATTTCAAAAATATTGAAATGAATTAAATGTGCATTTCATATGTTGTACATGTATATGTATGTAACTTCAGATATTGAAGAACTAATATAATTTCAATTAAATATTACAATTGTATTATAGACAGTTGTAAATTAAGTTGTAGAGTCATTCAACTCATACGCTGCCCTAAAGGGTAAGGACCAGACAAGAACTAAGATGTATTAAAAGTACATACATGTACCAATATGTTGGGCAAACTCATTCTTAATTTTGTAATTTATTAAAAGAAAAGAAAAGAAAAAAAAACATGTATTTATAGCATATACATTATTGAAAGAGTCTGTAGTACAACACCTGCATGTATTTTTAAGAACTACATTGTACATTCCAAACTATCTGTATTTGAAGCATTGAGTCTTAGGTTTGAATCAGTCTATTTCAAAGGATGGATTGATCTAGGGGCAATAAGTTTCAGAAATAAAGTTATGATGGGGTTCACACATTTCTGCTGATGTGATTTTATTTCAAGAAAGTTGTGAAGCTTAAATGTCCTTTTTGCTATTGGCAGTTGAACTTGTTATTTTTAAGGTATTGAAATTAGAACAACAATTTTGGTTGGAACTACAGATCTGGCTTAATGTGCCTTCTTAATTTATTGTTACCTGTTTGGGGGGGGGGGGGTTCAAGAAAGAGACTTTCTGAGGTACTGTTTAAGATTTGAAGATTCAGTGTTGTATGCACAATTTTATGAAGTACAATGACATATAACTAGTGTTGTCAGTGATATATATAGACTTAATTATGTTATCAATTCCCTGTGATGTTGAAACCTGTTATCGTGTATAGAGGCCATTGTTGAATCAACTTAACATTATCATGATTATACATGATAAATCAGATTTAAAATCTATCATTTATTACAATCTCCCTCATGATTTTTTAACACTTGAAATTTTATGCTTATAAAATGATTAATTGTTATTCGTATTGCAATTAGTTGTCAGAAATAAAGTGTGCATGTCTCTGAAATACGAAAAATATCTATTTTTTCTGTGAATTGTGTTACATGTATTATATGGATTTGTGCAGCAAGCATGTATTTTGTGAAAATAAATAAAATTGTCATCTGAACAATTTATTTCTTCCTTCTTCCTCTAGATTTTGAATATGAGAAAAAAAAATAGACACAAGCTGTATCTTTCATCAATTACAACTGTTCATCAAGAATGATTAAAATAATTTAAATAACGAATTCAAAACCACAAGGTGTTTTGAAAGCATAGAATATTGACGTATTTCAGTTCACATAAATGTAGATTTCTTCAGTGAGGACAAATCTGATAGAGTTATCGGACTTGGATGAAAGTGAAAGTAGATCATGTGAAACAAAAGAGCTGGTGGACAGAAATGAAGTCTTCTATAATTTTCATCGTATTCATTCATTTCTATGTAGCGATTTCGATAAAATATGAACCGAACTGGAAATCAATAGACTCTAGACCATTACCAGATTGGTATGACAAATCAAAAATCGGAATCTTTCTTCACTGGGGCGTTTTCTCTGTACCTGCATTTGAAAACGCTTGGTTTTGGTTTGAATGGAAAACGAACAAAGACCCAGCCGTATTGAAATTTATGAAAGACAACTATCCTCCTGATTTTACTTATGCTGATTTTGCCCCTGAATTCCATGCCACATTTTATGATCCTGACATCTGGGCTGATATCTTCCAGGCGTCGGGTGCAAAGTTAGTAGAGATTTTACTACATGTATATAATTGTACCAGTTTTGCCAAGATTGTGTAATTTCGCTGAAAATGATTTGTAATGTATAAAATCCTTTTATAACTTCTCTGCTAATTTGTTTAACAATATTAATATTGTCATGCAGGTATGTCGTACTGGTGACAAAGCATCATGAAGGGTTCACACTTTGGCCGTCATCTGTCTCTTGGAATTGGAATGCTTATGATGTGGGACCACACAGGGACCTTGTTGGTAACAAAAATAAATGTCAACACTTAACCACTTATGGTTTGATAAAAAAAAAGAAATTGAACAATTATTTTCAGTTATGTCAAAAAAAATTAATTAAAATTGTAAAAAATACATTTCTGACAAAACTAATTTCTTTAACAGGTGCCCTGGCAGACTCTATAAGGAACAGGACAGACATTCACTTTGGAGTTTACCATTCTCTCTTTGAGTTCTATAATCCTGTGTATCTTCAAGATGTGGCCAACAAATACAAAACACAGAACTATGTCAGGGTAAGTCTAACAAAGAACTGAATAAAATTAAAAGGTATTGAGTGGAGCTAAAATTTTGTCTTGCTAATGAGTTGTACGAGCTTGTAAACAGATATAAACCTGACCACATTAAGTTTGTGTTTTGTAGACTAAGGCCTTACCTGAGCTGTATGAGCTTGTCAACAGATATAAACCTGAGGTTGTCTGGTCAGATGGAGACTGGAATGAAAACAGTACATACTGGAATGCTACAGAGTTCCTGGCCTGGCTGTACAATGACAGGTACATTACTTTTTAAATTCTCAACGAAGAACTTATTTTATAAACAAAGTATAAATTTATTATCATAACCATAGTTTGCTGTCCATTATTAGTTATGCAGGTTCTGAGTCAAAAGGGTGTACTGGGATTTATCCCAGGTTTTATTCCATATATACACCCTGAGTCCGAAGGGTGTATGGAATACAACCCCGGGTAAATCCTTGTACACCCTTGATTGGACCTGGATAACGAATTTATTTCCTACGTGCCCAAAAAAATTCTTTGTAAACATCAGTCTAATCAACTGTGTCTCAATCTATCGATAAGATAACTATGTACTACAATGCATCGTGATGTCATGTTATTTGGTTTTTATCAGAGAGAAAGTATGCATTGTGACATCAGGTTTTATTTATTCCCCCAGCTCAAGTCGGGTGCACGGAAATTTACACCCAACTCTGTATTAACCAATCAAAGCTCATGTTACAAGCTATATAGGAAATAAATATTACCTCTACATCCATGCTGGATCTTGCTTTTAAGTGAATTTCAATATTAATATTTAGGATTTTTTCTGTTTGAAAGTTTTTTTTGTTGTATTAATTTAAGCCCTGTAAAGGACTCAGTGGTGGTAAATGACAGATGGGGGAAGGATGCTCGGTGTCACCACGGTGGATTCTGGAACTGTAACGACAGATACAAGCCTGGTATGTATATCATGTAGAATCTTACACTGTAATGTAACGACAGATACAAGCCTGGTATGTAAATCATGTAGAATCTTACACTGTAATGTAACGACAGATACAAGCCTGGTATGTATATCATGTAGAATCTTACACTGTAATGTAACGACAGATACAAGCCTGGTATGTATATCATGTAGAATCCTACACTGTAATGTAACGACAGATACAAGCCTGGTATGTATATCATGTAGAATCCTACACTGTAATGTAACGACAGATACAAGCCTGGTATGTAAATCATGTAGATTCTTACACTGTAATGTAACGACAGATACAAGCCTGGTATGTATATCATGTAGAATATTACACTGTAATGTAACAACAGGTACAAGCCTGGTATGTATATCATGTAGAATCCTACACTGTAATGTAACAACAGATACAAGCCTGGTATGTATATCATGTAGAATCTTACACTGTAATGTAACGACAGATACAAGCCTGGTATGTATATCATGTAGAATCCTACACTGTAATGTAATGACAGATACAAGCCTGGTATGTATATCATGTAGAATCCTACACTGTAATGTAATGACAGATACAAGCCTGGTATGTATATCATGTAGAATCCTACACTGTAATGTAACGACAGATACAAGCCTGGTATGTAAATCATGTAGAATCTTACACTGTAATGTAACAACAGGTACAAGCCTGGTATGTATATCATGTAGATTCCTACACTGTAATGTAATGTAATGACAGATAAAAGCCTGGTTTGTATATCATGTAGAATCCTACACTGTAATGTAATATAATGACAGATACAAGCCTGGTATGTATATCATGTAGATTCCTACACTGTAATGTAACGACAGATACAAGCCTGGTATGTATATCATGTAGATTCCTACACTGTATTGTAATGACAGATACAAGCCTGGTATGTATATCATGTAGATTCCTACAATGTAATGTAACAACAGATACAAGCCTGGTATGTATATCATGTAGATTCCTACACTGTAATGTAATGTAATGACAGATACAAGCCTGGTATGTATATCATGTAGATTCCTACACTGTATTGTAATGACAGATACAAGCCTGGTATGTATATCATGTAGATTCCTACACTGTAATGTAATGACAGATACAAGCCTGGTATGTATATCATGTAGAATCCTACACTGTAATGTAACGACAGATACAAGCCTGGTATGTATATCATGTAGATTCCTACACTGTAATGTAACGACAGATACAAGCCTGGTATGTATATCATGTAGATTCCTACACTGTAATGTAATGACAGATACAAGCCTGGTATGTATATCATGTAGAATCCTACACTGTAATGTAATGTAATGACAGATACAAGCCTGGTATGTATATCATGTAGATTCCTACACTGTAATGTAATGACAGATACAAGCCTGGTATGTATATCATGTAGATTCCTACACTGTAATGTAACGACAGGTACAAGCCTGGTATGTATATCATGTAGAATCCTACACTGTAATGTAATGAAAGATACAAGCCTGGTATGTATATCATGTAGAATGTGAAATGTAAATGTAATGGGCAGGCGATACAAGCCTGGATTTATTTCACACCCTGTAGAATCTTACACTGGAACTGTAATGACAGATACAAGCCTGGTGTGTAAAAAAAATATTTGTGCATATTATGAAAATATTAGTTTTAATCCTACACTGTAATGTAATGTACATAAAATACAAGCCTGGTATGTATATCATGTAAATTTACACTGTAATGTAATGTAATGACAGTTACAAGCCGGTATTTTTATTTACAATACAACGCTAATGTAATGTAATGACAGATACAAGCCTGGTATTTTCATATTATGCCTACAATGTAATGTAATGCCAGATACAAGCCTGTTATGTATATCATGTAGATTCCTACACTGTAATGTAATGTAATGACAGATACAAGCCTGGTATGTATATCATGTAGAATCCTACAATGTAATGTAATGTAATGACAGATACAAGCCTGTTATGTATATCATGTAGAATCCTACAATGTAATGTAATGACAGATACAAGCCTGGTATGTATATCATGAAGAATCCTACACTGTAATGTAATGACAGATACAAGCCTGGTATGTATATCATGTAGAATCCTACACTGTAATGTAACGACAGATACAAGCCTGGTATGTATATCATGTAGATTCCTACACTGTAATGTAATGACAGATACAAGCCTGGTATGTATATCATGTAGAATCCTACAATGTAAAATAATAACAGATACAAGCCTGGTATGTATATCATGTAGATTCCCTCACTGTAATGTAACGACAGATACAAGCCTGGTATGTATATCAAATGGAGTAACTTTCACTGTTCCAAGTCTACGACCACTTAGAGGCTTTCTCAAGTCCTAGGTTTTGTCTCAAAGTTGTTCCATAAGTCATTGATACTATGGTAAATGAAAGTATCCATCATTTGGTTTCACACGGTATCCAACTTTATTTTCACACTTCCACACCTGAAAGATTTTCAATATGAATATGACTTACAAGGAAAGTTATGATTTAGGAGTTATGACATGCAGTTAGGACAAGTGCATTGAATAGTCCTATGATATGTCTTCTGATTGGAAAATTTAAGACTTACGATTTATGACTTTTTGTAAAACGAGCCTCTGGTAAATACATCTTGAATCCTTCACTGTGATGTAATATGTTACAAGATCTTTGAAGTATTTAAGTCAGTTTTCATACAGAACAGCTTTAATTCTGGGGCCTGTTAAAAAAGAACTTACGAATAAGACCAAAAAAATTAGTAGATTGAAAAATTTTGCAGAATAAATCATTTCGTTTAAAATTGCTATTGTTAAACATCTTTTTACATTCCTTTGTAAAAAGATTCAAACCATTTTCAATTATTAAAATGTTAATTGTAAAGTTATAAACAGAATAAAGTTTTGGTCTTAGTTGTAAGTTCTTTAGTAAAATGGGCCCCAGGGATTATGTGTCATTCAGGTTACTTGTTCCACAATGAACTTAATTATTGATATCTTTACATTAGTGATTACAGTACCCCGGTACATTGTTTAAGGTCAATTTAGTCACAGAAATGTATTCTTGATATCTATCCAGGGAAGATCATAAAACATAAATGGGAGAACTGTATGACTGTTGACAAAAGAGCATGGACTCACAGAAGGAAATTGGATATAAAGGATGTAATGACAATAGAAGAATTACTGGCTGAAATCGCAGAAACGGTTAGGTAAACACACATGTTGGAATGCAGTGAAAATGACTGTTAATTTTATTTTTAGAAGATAAAATGTTCCTTTTATTATACCCCCCGCAAATGAAGTTTAGGGGGGGTATATTGGAATCACCATGTCCGTCTGTCTGTAGACGAGATTTTGTCCGGACCATTACTCAGAAACTATTGGAAGGATTTGTCTGAAAACTTGTACAAATATTATTCACCATATGAAGTTGTGCACCTGATATTTTCATCTTGATTCGATTATTATTTTGAATTTTACAGGTGTTTTTTTCATTTTTATTTTGTGGTTTTGTCCGGACCATTTCTCAGAAACTATTGCAAGGATTAATCTGAAAATTTGTACACTTATTATTCACCATATGAAGGCGTGCAATTGGAATTTTCAACTCTTTTTGTTCATTTTTTTGCATTTTACAGGTTTTATTTTTTTATTTTAATTGACTTGTTCATTTTGGGCTCATGTATAAGGTTTGAGACATAGAATCTAGAATATCTGTACAAAAATACTACAGCTTAAAACTACTCATATAAACTTTAAAAAAAGAAACATCATCAAGTGTTAAAAACAGTTTTTACATTGCACAGAAGATAATGTAATTTTATTTATCTCTTGGGAATAATGACTGGACATGCATCCAGTTAAAGATAAATTAATGGGTTTGGTGTGGGAAGTTGAACATTAAGGCATCTTATTATCAACCATGTGTAATCTCCTGGGAATCAGGCACAAGAATTAAAGATCTCTCTTCTCTTATTCTCTTAATTGTAATTTATTGTCTGTCAAAGCACTTCATTACTGGATGACCAGCTCTTTATTTTCAAATGAATTTGATATAAAGTTATCAAGATTAATTTGATTTTGTATAATATGATTTTTTTCAACAATCAGTTTGCAGAGTGACATAACACTTAATTGCAATATATTTCTTTAATGAAATAAAATTAAATAAAAAAAATAATGTTACAATGGAATTACAATGTATTAGTATTGATGTTTCGTTTGGTTGCACCTTTGTTTCATTCATTAAGAAACATGATGAGCAATTATATTTCACTGCAAATTTTTTGTAAGTAAATTGTGAACACCTCTAGATCCATAAAGTATTTTTGAATTGGCACCTTCTCTGAAAAACCCAGCGGGGGGTATTTGTCCCTATTGGACAGTTCTAGTTATTTATAAGGTTTGTATATTTTTTTTTAAAGAATACAAGATACTTGATATATTATTTCACACTGAATTTATTTCATTCATTTGTAGTAAGGGTGGGAATATCCTGATCAATGTTGGACCCACGGCTGATGGAGTTATCATTCCTGTTTTTGAAGAGAGACTCCGACAAATGGGTCAGTGGCTCAAGGTCAATGGGGAGGCCATTTATGAAACCCGGCCCTGGATTGAACACAGTGATAATGTTACCATTCAGGGAGTCTGGTGAGTGAAGATGAGTGGACACTGTAAAATCTGTTGTCATAGGAGGTGGTGTTTTCAATAGTGTTCATATCTTACTCAGCTAAAAAGATATCATTTGATCAAGACTTCTTGGAAGTTCTTTGTTTTCCTCCTACTATTTAAATGGATTTAAAATATAGTTTTAATTGTGTATTCCTGACCCATGTACCCTAGGCTCTATAACTACATATTCAGTTAAATGCTTCGTAGAAAATGTACCGTATACATTCTTGATTATAAAACAATTCATTAGTCTCTTAATATGTGAGACTGTCATAAAAATACATTCCATGATTCATTTTATTTTCACAGCATGCGATGATTTTTTGTTTCAGGTACACCACAAGGACACAGGAGAAGGCTGTCTATGCCATCGTTACTTTCTGGCCAGAGAACAACCTTCTCTATCTGGGGAGACCTCGCACCATGGCCAACACAAAGATCACTATGATTGGTGTGGAAAATCCATTAAAATGGTCATACGAGTCCTATGTTTTGAATATTCAATTTCCCGTCTTGCCTGTAAACAAGATGCCTTGTCAATGGGCATGGGTCATTAAAATGGAAAATCTTGTAAACTTTTGATGAGGCGATAAATTTAAAAATATGTTTGAAAATGAGATTAAACATCAACTAGATGTCGGTAAAATTAATGAGGCTTATATGCTCACATTTATTTGTATAGATTTTTCATTTTAAATTTCAGGAATGAAACAATATTATTTTTTTTACTTATTTTATACAATATAAACTATAACTTTGGGTGGTTTAACTATATAAGCTGCTAGAAGTCTTTCATAATTTTTGCATAATAGTACCTACTTACAAGTGTAATATTTTATATAATAGTTTATTATATAATTGTGTAATATTTTATATAATAGGTTATTATATAATTGTGTAATATTTTAACCACTGAACTATACTGGATACTGAGTCTACATGTAAAATATGTACACTGTACTTAGCCTTTTCTGTGCCATATTTATTCTGTTTGTGTGTTGGTTCATGTGTTGCCTCCTTCATTTTTTGTTGATCGATTGTATTACCTCACACAGATTTTTCATTTCATAGCATCTTCATGTACAATATACTTGGTTGTAAAGAAAGTTGTGAACTCATTTTTTCTGCATAGCCATATTGTAAAGTACATTTGTAAATGTTATTTATATACTTTTTTAAGAATCTCTAAGAACACTTTTGGATTTACAAATGTACTTTGTATTTTTATGTGTATTGTGTATTATTATCATGATTATATACATATACATGTATATGATAAATATAAAACTGTTGTGAAAACATTCCATGATCGTGCTACACAAAGAAAGGAATTTTTTAAATATGACTTCAGTCTTTTATTTTTATATTCATATATGTCAAATGTCAAATGTTATTTGTTCAAACTTCCCGAACAAATGTTCAGTACAATAATACTTGGTATATGATTCATGTATTCAAGCTTTTTTTTATGAGAAGGAACCATGAAAGCAAGTTACAAGTTTTGTGTAGCAATCACATGTATAATGTATGGATGTTCTTGAAAACTACACAAATGAAAGTTCTTATTAGAAATTTAATTTTAATAGTATTTTATGAACAATTCAGCCAGAAAAATGGCCACCCAAGATCAAGTGTCTTTTTGTCATCCCTAATTTCATTTGAGGAGTGCTGGTTAAAGTCAGTTAGTCTTAAGAAAAATGATTTCCCTTAATAACATTGAATTCCAGGATTTTCAAATGATTGCAGGATACTTTTACTTACCCCATCCAATCCAGTTGTTCAAATAGAAATGAATAGCAATTGGCAAGTGAGTCCCTAAGTTTTATTTCATTCAGCCTATAATTTCTTTCTGCAGGAGAAAAAAAATCTGATGTCTGCACCTAATTAGGTCTTAATGTTCAAAAGTAGTTATGTGCAAGGTTAAAGGTGTTTTTTTTTTTTTGGTCAAAATTATTACATTGTAATACTATTTATATGTATTCCTTGTGAAAAGGCCTTCCATTGGGTACCAATGTCTTGTTTTTCCTCTAAACTAACAGTTTTGATTGGTTAAAAACATGGATTTCACATTTCACCTTTGTATATATTCCTTGTGACAAGAGTACCTTTCTTTTGGGTTGACCTCTTGACCTTGGAGCTTGTCCCTTTGACCTTGAATTTGGAAATTTACCCAAATTTCTACAGCTTTAACCATGGCCATAACCTTTGAATAGTTGGTGCTTAGGCTTATATATCAAGACCTTTCTTTGTGTAACAACATTTTTTCATATCTTGGCCTTAGAGCTTGCCATACAGGGCTATAATAGAGTTTCACAAACACATTTTGTGAAATATGAAAGCCCTAGTATAATAATTGTTCATAAGTTTTGGCCAGGATTATTTTTTTTTTAAAGTGGGTCACACTTTAAGATCAAAAGTTAAAAAATATTTATACTCATTGAAAATTAAGTCTTGTCACAATGAATATACCCATATGAATTAAGTATGAAAGCCCTAGCTGGCACCAGCTACTGTATACAAGGTTATTTTCGCCCATAAGCGTCGAAACAGGGGATGTGGGCTATGGGGCATAGCCCCCCTTTTTGGCAAAGATAGACACACTATAGCCTTTTAAAATTTGGATTTACTTTTGTTGGTTTGAACTGAAAGCTCAAGTGAGCTTTTCTGATCACCCATTTGTCCCGCCGATTGTCCGTTTGTCTGTAAACTTTTCACAATTTGAACTTCTTTTCAAGAACCATTAGGCAAAATTTAACCACAAACTTGGCACAATGTTTTTTTAGGTGATGAGGAGTTAAAATTGTTAGAATAAATGGCAAAGTCACATTAAAAGGCAAGATAAGTGGAAATTTTAGCGAGTCGCAAATTTAGCGATTTGTCCTTAAAATTGGTATTTTATTCATAGCGAGATATAATTTTAGCGAATTTAAGACGCTCACTAAAGAAGCTATTACAAATAAAATTAATTTTAGCGATATTCAATTTTAGCGATCTTGGTACCTTCGCTAATAATGCCAAAATTAAGTCCTCGCTAAAAATTCTGTTTGTATTGTAATCAAGAAAAGACAAAAATAGGGTGGGGTCATTAAAGTGTTTTTTTTTTCAAGAATCACGGGACCAGAAAAGCTGTTCAACTTGTGGAAGCATCTTGCATGGGGAGTGTAGGATGGGTTCACAATATAGAATCCAAGTTTTATATTTAAATATATAGAAAAACAATCTTTAAAAATATATACCGGTATTAATTCTTCTCTAGATCCACTGAACAATGCAGAATAACTGAAACTTTTGTGGTTGCATCTTGGTGTAGTTCAGATACTAAATTGTTCAACACATGACCTCCGGGGGTAGGATGGGATTGTGAATCCAAATTTTACATTGGAATATACTAGCATTGGAAAAATCTTTTAAAATCTTCTCAAAAACCACTGGGCCAGAAAAGCTGAAATGAATGTGGAAGCATCCTTAGGTAATGTACGTACAGATTCTGAATCTTATACCATAACCGATTTTTATGATCTTGGTACCAGTGCATGGGGGTATTTTAAGTATTTTGTAAATAAATAAAGGTTTTTGACAAGAACTTTTATTCATGGCATTGAAATATATTAAGCTGAAAACTTTAAAACCCATCTTCTCAAAATCCACTACGTCGTAGTGGACGTCCGAAAAGTCCCTGAAACCCCCCCCCCCCCCCGAAGTCTGCTGTCGTAAATTGTCTTGCCAGCGTTAGGGGAATGTGGGTTATTTGCATCAATTACACTTTCATTGACTTTGAACATCGCTTTGGAAAACCGGACGGGATATCTTGGCATGATATCTTCTGAAAGGATTGGAAAACAAATAAAAGTAGAACTTTAATTTCATTATGTAACTGTTTAATTGTAAAATTAGTTTTCATTTTTTAAATGAAATAATTGATAAAAGAACTTTTCTTTTCCGATATATTTTTTAGTAAGATATTTTTTTTTACTAGAGAAGTATATATCGATCACATGTAACTTGTGTAAACATTGAAAAATCATTCGACAAACCTCGGGTGATTCCGTCACTTTACTAATCACCCGAGTTTTACCAATCGCAACTTCTCGGACCTTTCCGACTAGCGGAAAAACGAAAGAATTATGGTTAGAACGGCACCTAGTGAAAATGGCACCTGGTGAAAACGGCACCTGGAATATGCAAAACGGCACTTGGTTAAAACGGCACTTAGAGAAAAAAGTATATAACAGTGTTATGATATATATTTCACATAAGTTCTTTTTAAGTCAAAATTTAAATTATTGACTTTAGAATTTTTTGTGACTTCAATTTTGCTTTATTTTCAATCTATTTTTAAAGGTAGTATTTTTAAGCTATAACACAACAATATGTGGGATTTAGAATAATTATATTTGTAGTGTAGTATTGATAAAATGAAAAATGGTGTAAATGATTTTAAAAAAAATATATTTACAGTAAATTGTCTTGCCACATTTCTATCTAATTCTGTAGAAATTATTTTAACAATATCAACATTGTATATCTTCATTGTAAAAAAACAAATGTTTTGTTCTTGTATGTACATGTTTATTATATTATTAAATGTTGTATGGCTACTCATATTTTATGTACAGTTGCGAGAGGATTATCTAAGTTTTTCTAACTTGTGTACAATCCATTTGTAATGACATTTTGTCGAGAAATACACAATAGTAGCTGTATATGATTGCAAACTGACGATCAACAGATTATTGAAGGGGAGGTGTGAAATGGTCTTTTGTTTCCTAAACCTACAAGTGTATTCTTATAAACATACTCTAACTGGCTTCTAATTAGTCAACTGTGACTGGCAACCCCCAAAACAGAGTAGTATACATATTTACAACACTATAAATTTTTTAATTTCAAAGGATCATAATAATATAATTGGGATTTTTTTTTGTAGTAAATAAATATATATGATTTAAAATATAAATACATTGTAAAAATCTAACCCCTGTACAAAAGTATAATAATTTTCAAATGAATCAGTTTAATTTTTTTCCTAAAATATTTTTTAAACTTTTTAAAAATAATATACACATTTATTACTATAAATGTAACATAAAGATCCATTTTCTGTATAAACAATATCAAATTCTCAAAATAAAAAAAGTACCGTTCTGACTTTTCTAAAGTGCCGTTTTGACTACTCTCAAGTGCCGTTTTGCATATTTCCTAAGTGCCGTTTTCACCAGGTGCCGTTTTGACTTGTACCCAAACGAAAAACCTCGAGGTTGTTTGTCCGATCTCTGACGGAAAGACCCGAGATGATGCGATTGCAGTTCGTACTTGGGGAAAATCTACGGTTTTTGTTCGAGAAAACACGGAATTCAACCGAAGCTTTCCCAATCACGTGCCAAAGTTTACAAAAATGAAAGTAAGTCTAGTTATTTTGTTACTTACACAGACTTGTTCCATAGCCACAAAATATGAGCCAACTTGGGAATCTCTTGATACAAGACCGCTGCCGAAGTGGTATGATGAATCCAAGATAGGAATATTTCTTCACTGGGGAGTGTTTTCTGTCCCTGCTTTCAAGGGTGCCTGGTTTTGGTATAACTGGAAAACTGACAAGGACCCAGAAACTGTGAAATTTATGAAGGACAATTACCGTGAAGATTTCACTTATGCAGATTTTGCTCCGGAATTCCATGCCACTTTTTACGACCCTGACAAGTGGGCGGATCTCTTCGAGGCGTCGGGGGCAAAGTATAATTAATTTGTCTTTGAAATCACAATACATACATATTATATTAAGTAGAGATTCTCAGAATCTTAGAAAAGATGAAATATGTTTGTAAATTAGAATTATCTGTTTAGTACACAGTAAAGCTCACTGAAAATGAAGTGCCCGGAATATACAATTTTGATTTGATTGTATTAATAAACGTAATATTAGTCTAAGAGAGGTTAAGCAGATGACCGTGTACGTCAACGTGTACGTGTAGCTAGGGAAATCCCCTAGTTTAATGCGATTTACGTCATCAGTTTTGCATACCGCGTAATTCTACAAGTTGTACATAACGTGTAGATTTGCTAGTACACGTAGGTGAGAACTTGTAGCTTCTTAAACTCAAACTACATAATATATATTTTTCAGCCGGTGTTTGGTATGAAGTTGAGAATTTATTACGTACATCTAATGTATCTTTTTTATTTCGAGTCATAGATTTATTTGATACAAATGGATTTTAAAATGCCTTGCTAAAATGACGTTTTACACGTACCGGTACACGTGCAGTTTTTTTAAACAGAACACGATGATAGTAACGCGTACGTGTAAAATCACTTCTAGGTTTACACGTACAAGTAGACGTACACGGTCAAATGCTTAACCTCTCTATTAACTTAATTTACAGAGAATGAAAATAATTTTACTGTAAATTAAAGTAAATTCATTGAAGCATGTTATGCTTACATGTTCCTTGTAACCCTATTTTATAGAAGACATTGTATATCTAATCCAATGACAGGGACTAGGGTCTTGAATATGTGTATTGTTACAGTATGACTGTAATTGTTTGGGCTTAATTTTGATATTTTGATCTGCCTTAGTAGCTCGGTCTGAATCCTGAGAACCTGACTGCATTGTGACACAGGGTTGCAGGTGTGCATGGTTTCTGATCCAGCCACACATTTTCTCCTTTCTGAAGTGGCCGTATCATCAGTGACTGATGGGGTCCGCAGCAGAAGTAGAAATAATTTGATGCTGTTGACCGACCCTGGATGGCCATATGACAAATGGACTTTTGTGAGAAGCACTAACTTTTACAGTTGACGGTTTACTTTTGCATTTAAACAGGTCTGGGTCGATCATGTATGAAGGGACATAATTGACAACAGATAAAAAAGTCTTTCTAGTGGTTTGGGGTACCAGCATGTGAAGGGCAATATTATAGGATTATAGAATGGTTGTCAGATTCTTCATTGCAACTTTTTAATATGTGCTTTATTTTATCACATTATTTTCATTTACTGTAGATCACCATATTTTCCTGACACCTTATTTTCGCGAGATAGTCATTGACTTTTGATAAGAGAGACAAAATTTTCACGAATTGTGGTTATTGCTCTATATAATCTTAAGGAATGCTATTATACGTGAGAATTAAATTTTCGCTGTCACATTCTCTCACGTAATTACGCAACTTTTTAATATTGCTTTATTTTATTACATTATTTTCATTTAATTAAATGTAAGCTAAATATTTTTTTTTTCAAAAAAGAGCTTCCCTTTATTATCTAAACGTAAAAGTAAGCTGTCAACTGTAAAAGTCAGCGCTCTTTGGAGTTGACAAAAGTCCAATGCCAGTAAATATTTGCAAATTGGGTTGTGTCTTCAAGGGCAAAGACAATTAATTTAAGGTGGGAGGAATGTAATGGTCTGGGATATTGATATTAGCCTGGATAGCTCAGCTGCTAGACTGCTTGACCAGATGTATAGGAGTCCTAGCCCGGTTCAATTCTTAATCCCGGCAGTCAGAGTAGTATACACTTTCTCCTTTCCTGTTCCATAATCATATTATGTAAAAAAAAAAAAAAAAAAAAAAGCATTCTTCATTAACCAAGTCTTGGGTAGCATTATTTTATGTCTTTGTAGGTATGTTGTGTTGGTGACAAAACATCATGAAGGATACACACTGTGGCCCTCCCCAGTGTCATTTAACTGGAATGCTTATGATGTAGGGCCACACAGAGACCTTGTTGGTATGGATCAATTGTAATATAGTGTACACACGCAGTACTAATATACAGTTATTGACTGGGTATGAGGGCAACATATGATTTGTTGGACCTGAAGGTGAAAATGTTGCCTGAGGCCGCAGGCCAAGGGAAAAATTTTCACCTTCAGGTCCAACAAATCATATGTTGCCCGAATCCCAGTCTATAACTGTTTTGTTATACCTTTCAGTGGTCACTTAAGATTTAATCAATACACACTATATTATCAATTACCTGGTACTTTATATGGAAAATTATGACTTAACCAGTAAATAAAAAACAATAGCGGAGAAAGAACAAAATTAATTATATTGTTATTATATCACAAAAATTATTTATCACAAAACATACTCTTCCCTTCTTTCTTGCTAGTAGCAACAACTCTTGCAGTTCTTAACTTCGGCTATTTCCGTGTCACTGATACTGAACGATAATTACTTGTGACGAAGCAGTGACATTACTTGTGACGAAGCAGTGAAATTGTTAGACATATTTCTTTTGTTGGACTTTTTATTAGTAATAAATATATAGCTATTTATAAGGGTATAACAAATTGTGATGTTGACCATCTTATTAATACATTGTACTTACTTATCCTCTTCATCCCGGATGGGACATAAGGCTTCATCAAGCTTCTCCATCTTCCTCTATCCTTTGCCACATACTGTGCATGCCACCTACATTGTACGTACACCTTATTTGATACCTGTACTTGAATATTTTTTGGGTATGTTAGCTTCAACTTAATTTGTAAAGATGAAGAAGGAATTAGATCTGAATTAGTTTCTTGTAGGATATGCCTACCTTTTGCTGGTAAAAATAACATCTGTTTAAGATTGATCCTCAAGGTCTAGTTGCTGCAGAACTGTAGATCTCTAGGACAGAAAATCAACACAGACAAACCCAGGATAGGTCTATCTGAAATTCCTAACTCAGACAAACCCAGGATAGGTCTATCTGAAATTCCTGTCTCAGACAAACCCTAGATAGGTCTATCTGAAATTCATAACTCAGACAAACCCAGGATAGGTCTATCTGAAATTCCTAACTCAGACAAACCCAGGATAGGTCTATCTGAAATTCCTAACTCAGACAAACCCTAGATAGGTCTATCTGAAATTCCTAACTCAGACAAACCCTAGATAGGTCTATCTGAAATTCCTAACTCAGACAAACCCTAGATAGGTCTATCTGAAATTCCTAACTCAGACAAACCCTAGATAGGTCTATCTGAAATTCCTAACTCAGACAAACCCTAGATAGGTCTATCTGAAATTCCTAACTCAGACAAACCCTAGATAGGTCTATCTGAAATTCCTAACTCAGACAAACCCTAGATAAGTCTATCTGAAATTCCTAACTCAGACAAACCCTAGATAGATCTATCTGAAATTCCTGTCTCATCTGAAATTCCTAACTCAGACAAACCCTAGATAGGTCTATCTGAAATTCCTAACTCAGACAAACCCTAGATAGGTCTATCTGAAATTCCTAACTCAGACAAACCCAGGATAGGTCTATCTGAAATTCCTAACTCAGACAAACCCAGGATAGGTCTATCTGAAATTCCTGTCTCAGACAAACCCTAGATAGGTCTATCTGAAATTCCTGTCTCAGAAGGCTATAATTCTGCAGCCACTGGTCTCGAAGCTCATTTCTCCTGTGTATCTCTTTTAGTATTTACTTGTAATCTGTCAATGTAGAAGTATTATATGTCTTAAAGGTGCCCTGGCAGACTCCATAAGGAACAGGACAGACATTCACTTTGGAGTTTACCATTCTCTTTTTGAGTTTTACAACCCTCTGTATCTACAAGATGTAGCCAACAAGCACAAAACACAAAATTTTGTTCGGGTAAGTACATGTATATAATTATAACAGGAGAATTTTGTTTGGGTAAGTGAAATTGTTTAAATGTAATTAGACTTCTTGATTAGGAACAGGGAACTCCAAACAGATTGGCAAAATAATTGAACTAGGAGTGACCAACAGTTGTCTTACAAGGATCATAATGAAATTTGTAGAGTGGTAATTCTTACTAAAGCTTTGAATGTTTCAAAATTAATTCAGGACTTCAAGCTCACAATTCTTTGTTCAATGTTTGTAGAACAAAGCCTTACCTGAGCTGTACGAGCTTGTAAACAGGTATAAACCTGAGGTGGTCTGGTCAGATGGAGACTGGAATGAAAATAGTACTTACTGGAACTCAACGGAATTCTTGGCCTGGCTCTTTAATGACAGGTAAGAATTTGAAATTTATGCATAACAGACACTATTCATACAGATGTGTATTCAAAATCTTTTTAAAAGATATTAAAGTAACTCTTTTTCACCAAATAAGAATGCTATAATAGGAAGGATAGATTTAATATTTAGTAAACCTTTGGGAGTGTTGGAGGGAATGATGGCAAATTGTGTCCTGTCTTTGAGGGGACTGATGACAGTTTGATTGTGTTGTATAGCCCTATGTCTTTGAGGGTACTGATGGCCATTTGATTGTGTTCAATGTATAGCCCTATGTCTTTGAGGGGACTGATGACAGTTTGATTGTGTTGTATAGCCCTATGTCTTTGAGGGGACCGATGACAGTTTGATTGTGTTGTATAGCCCTATGTCTTTGAGAGGAATGATTGCAGTTTGATTGTGTTGTAAAGCCCTATGTCTTTGAGGGGACTGATGGCAGTTTGATTGTGTTGTATAGCTCTATGTCTTTGAGGGGACTGATGACAGTTTGATTGTGTTGTATAGCCCTATGTCTTTGAGGGGACTGAAGACAGTTTGATTGTGTTGTATAGCCCTATGTCTTTGAGGGAACTGATGGTGGTTTGATTGTGTTGTATAGCCCTATGTCTTTGAGGGGACTGATGACAGTTTGATTGTGTTGTATAGCCCTATGTCTTTGAGGGAACTGATGGTGGTTTGATTGTGTTGTATAGCCCTATGTCTTTGAGGGGACTGATGGCCATTTGATTGTGTTGTATAGCCCTATGTCTTTAAGGGGACTGATGGCCATTTGATTGTGTTGTATAGCCCTATGTCTTTGAGGGGACTGATGACAGTTTGATTGTGTTGTATAGCCCTATGTCTTTGAGGGGACTGATGACAGTTTGATTGTGTTGTCTAGCCCTACAGTACCGACCAGACCCAACCTGACACCAAAGCAGTCCCAGAAAGCAGTCCCCGGGACTGCTTTGGGACCGCTCTGGGACTGCTATGGGACTGCTCTGGGACCGCTGTGGGACTGCTATGGGACTGCCCTGGGACTGCTCTAAAAAGCAGACCAAGCAGTCCCAGCTGTCCCTGGGACTGCTTTCTGGGACTGCTTTGTTCACTCATGCGTGAAAGAAGTTCTGAGTGACATGATAGCTCCGCCCCTTTGTGTATTCTGAATTTGCAGGCTCCCACTTGTTTTGTTTACTAGCAGCAGAGAGGAGTTTAAACTATTAAAAAAGAAAGGATTTCTTACAATCTTTCCATAAGAAGAGATTATTATAGTTAATTAATATTTTCAGAGACTGTACATTTACACAAATATTTTTTTAAAAATAAAGTTATTAAATAAGGAAGTCAGAAGTAGATTTTTATCCCTAAAAAATAAACTACAGGTTTATGAGAAAAAAATATCTACATGTAGGTCTATTTTATTATTTATTGTAAAAATATGTGCACTCAAAATTTGCATTGACACTATTTAAAAATAATCCTTATACAGTTAGATATAATATTTTTAATTGAAAAGCTTCATGTTTTACGAGCACCACTCTAGAAAAGTATCCCATGGAGCCCTAAAATAAAGCCTAACAGTTTATTAAATGACCATGAAATAAATTATGCTACCATTCTTCCATAGCGCAAACAATTTGAATAATCAATGGAGAATTTATTAATGAATTACCGGTAGTTTTTAATTTATAAACAAGTTATCAAAAGAGAACATTTATTTTATAAATAAAGAGTTGAAAATACCGGGAATTGTAATTAATTTCTTTTTTCTTTTGATTGTGTTTACATGTACCTGGCCGATTAATGTTTATTACTTGGTATCAACACCCGCGGTTTCAATCGCCCTAGGGCAGAAAATCAGTGCATGCTATTTTGGTATACGTATCAGCGTTTCAGATCATTGAACATGCTGGTCAACAATGACCCTAATTTCCATCTACCGGTATATAATGCAAAAATAAAATTGATTACTAAAATGTGTTTGAATTTCTTTCAGGATTAATTAATTTTGAACATAATCTGATGGTTCCATTCTGGTGAATTAGATATGTACATTCTAACATTTACAAATAAAACGCTTAAAACTGAGTATTATAGAGATAGAGATATTAACCATAATTAAATTGACATGTCAGTAAAAATAATCATGACTGAAAAAAATACTCGGCAAAATTAAAAAAGAATTTTCTAAAATCCAGCTAGGATGGAAATTGGCCATATAATGATGAGATCTATTTAAATCTAATTCTTACTGGTGGAAAATAATTAATTCACGTTTAATTTTCTGTATAAAAAATAAATGGGACACAGTATAAATCACAGAAAATAAAGAAATTGAATTATTAATTTGATACTTCCGATAATTGTGATTAAATGTTCATGTTCAGTTTAATTCATACATGTACGTGTGAAACCCTTCTTCCTCCAATAAATAATAATTCAATTTGTTTCTATGCGCGTACTGTTCATAAATGACCTTCGCATACATGTAAGGAGTCCCGGCATACTACCCAGAATCAATTTCTACTGCCTTTTATAGTTCCATTGTTTATTGCAAATCTCATTTCTGAGTTAGCTCCGCCCATTAAATTAATAAACCCCGCCCACTGGGACTGCTGGGACTGCTCTCTGGGACCGCTGGGACCGCTCTGGGACTGCTGTGGGACTGCTCTGGGACCGCTGTGGGACTGCTTAAGCAGTCCCAGAAAGCAGTCCCCGGGACTGCTCTGGGACTGCTTTGTGTCAGGTTGGGTCTGGTCGGTACTGTATGTCTTTGAGGGGACTGATGACAGTTTGATTGTGTTGTATAGCCCTATGTCTTTGAGGGAACTGATGGTGGTTTGATTGTGTTGTATAGCCCTATGTCTTTGAGGGGACTGATGACAGTTTGATTGTGTTGTATAGCCCTATGTCTTTGAGGGGACTGATGACAGTTTGATTGTGTTGTATAGCCCTATGTCTTTGAGGGGACTGATGACAGTTTGATTGTGTTGTATAGCCCTATGTCTTTGAGGGAACTGATGGTGGTTTGATTGTGTTGTATAGCCCTATGTCTTTGAGGGGACTGATGGCCATTTGATTGTGTTGTATAGCCCTATGTCTTTAAGGGGACTGATGGCCATTTGATTGTGTTGTATAGCCCTATGTCTTTGAGGGGACTGATGACAGTTTGATTGTGTTGTATAGCCCTATGTCTTTGAGGGGACTGATGACAGTTTGATTGTGTTGTATAGCCCTATGTCTTTTAGGGGACTGATGGCAGTTTGATTGTGTTGTCTAGCCCTATGTCTTTGAGGGGACTGATGACAATTTGATTGTGTTGTATAGCCCTATGTCTTTGAGGGGACTGATGGTGGTTTGATGGTGTTGTATAGCCCTATGTCTTTGAGGGGACTGATGGCAGTTTGATGGTGTTGTATAGCCCTATGTCTCTGAGGGGACTGATGGGGGTTTGAGTGTGTTGTATAGCCCTATGTCTTTGAGGGGACTGATGGCAGTTTGATTGTGTTGTATAGCCCTATGTCTTTGAGGGGACTGATGACAGTTTGATTGTGTTGTATAGCCCTATGTCTTTGAGGGGACTGATGGCGGTTTGATTGTGTTGTATAGCCATATGTCTTTGAGGGGACTAAGGACTGATGACAGTTTGATTGTGTTGTATAGCCCTATGTCTTTTAGGGGACTGATGGCGGTTTGATGGTGTTGTATAGCCCTATGTCTTTGAGGGGACTGATGGCGGTTTGATGGTGTTGTATAGCCCTATGTCTTTTAGGGGTCTGATGGCGGTTTGATGGTGTTGTATAGCCCTATGTCTTTGAGGGGACTGATGGCGGTTTGATGGTGTTGTATAGCCCTAATATGTCTTTGAGGGGAATGTTGACAGTTTGATGGTGTTGTATAGCCCTATGTCTTTGAGGGGACTGATGGCGGTTTGAGTGTGTTGTATAGCTCTATGTCTTTGAGGGGACTGATGGCAGTTTGATTGTGTTGTATAGCCCTATGTCTTTGAGGGGACTGATGACAGTTTGATTGTGTCGTATAGCCCTATGTCTTTGAGGGGATTGATGGCAGTTTGAATGTGTTGTTGATGGCAGGTTGATTTTGTTGTAGCCCAGTGAAAGACACAGTAGTAACCAATGACCGCTGGGGAAAAGATGCTAACTGTAAACATGGAAGCTTCTGGAACTGCCAGGACAAGTTCAAACCAGGTATAAAAAAAAGATCTGCAGTTCCACCTCTTGTTGAACAGTAATGGGTAAATATTTGTCTTGCACGTACAGGTCTAATTTTGCAGGATTGTTTCATCCTTAAACTCACGTGTGGATTCAGATCTTGACCCCTCTCTCCAGATCCTCTTGAACTGTGCATGGGACATTGCCAATGAAATAAATCTATACATATTAAATAATTTTTTTACAGGAAAAATCTTCAAGCACAAATGGGAGAACTGCATGACGGTTGACAAGAAGGCATGGACACATCGTCGTAAAATCCAGATAGAAGATGTTCTAACAATTGAGGAACTCTTGACAGAGATTGCACAGACCATTAGGTGAGTTTGGAAGTTAAGTATCATTATTCAAATCTGGAGGTACAATGCAAAATACAACATGGTATCTGAAAAAAGTCTTCACTAGTTGGATGTACAAAAGGTGAATTTACATCACGTCTTTAGCAACTTTTTATCGTTCTTCTCTAATTCTAGTTTTGGTGGAAATATCTTGATCAATGTTGGACCAACAGCGGATGGAGTTATCATTCCTGTTTTTGAGGAGAGACTCAGACAAATGGGTCAGTGGCTCAAGGTCAATGGGGAGGCCATTTATGAAACCCAGCCTTGGATTGAAGGCACAGACAACATAACATTTCATGGGATTTGGTAAGATTTATGTAGACCCAATAATATACACCCAAGTTAGCATTGATATACTGGTGTCAGTAATGATAAAGTACATGCTATAAAATTCAGATGATGTTTTTCTTTGGTTTCTCTGTAAATTGATTTTCATTTAAGGGGTATTCATTTTTTTCCTTCAAGTGGAGATTTATATTGAGCATGCTAGGAGAGAAGATTCATGTAATCATGTCTGATTTTAGGTACACCACAAAGAAGCAAGGAAATGCCACGGTGGTGTATGGCATCGTCACCACGTGGCCTGAGGATAATAGACTTCTCTTAGGTGTTCCAGTTCCCATGACAACCACCAAGGTCACCATGATAGGTGTCAAGGAACCATTAAAATGGTCAATATTCAAAAATGTTGCCATGGCTGTAGAGTTCCCGACATTACCACCCAATAAAATGCCATGCAAATGGGCATGGGTCATCAAAATGGAGAATCTCAAAAACCAATAAACTCTTAGTGTACTGAAAACTGTTTTATCCAACACAGCTCTACAATCCATTTCAAAGTGAATTCCAACCTTGATTTACATTTCCATTTTGACTATTTTTTGTGTTTTCTTACACACTGTGCAATTCAACACCCAGTCATTCAAATGCAAAATCCCAATGTATGTCAGATTAGACAGGGTATTTACTGTAGATTTACCGGGTATAATTTTTAGCTCACCTGAGCTGAAAGCTCAAGTGAGCTTTTCTGATCACATTTTGTCCGGCGTCCGTCTGTCTGTCCGTCTGTCTAGCTGTCCATCTGTCCGTCTGTCTGTAAACTTTTCACATTTCCGACTTCTTCTCAAGAACCGCTGGGCCAGTTTCAACCAAACTTGCCACAAAGTATTCTTGGGTGAAGGGGATTCAAGTTTGTTAAAATGAAGGGCTATGCCCTCGTTCAAGGGAGATAATTGGGAATTAATGAAAATTTGGTGGCATATTTTAAAAATCTTCTTCTCAAGAACCACTGTGCCAGGAAAGATGAAACTTATGGGGAAACATCCTCAGGTAGTGTAGATTCAAGTTTGTTAAAATCATGACCCCTGGGGGTAGGGCTGGGCCAAAATGGCCGACCAAACTTTTACATAGAAATACAAAGGAAAATTCTTTAAAAATCTTCTTCTCAAGAATGACAAAGCCATAATTCATCATATTTATATGGAAGCATGCTCAGGTAGTGTAGATTCAAGTTTGTTCAAATCATGACCCCCGGGAGTAGGGCGGGGCCAAAATGGCCGACCAAAGTTTTACATAGAAATATATAGGAAAATTCTTTAAACATCTTCTTCTCAAGAATGACAAAGCCATAATTCATCATATTTATATGGAAGCATGCTCAAGTAGTGTAGATTCAAGTTTGTTCAAATCATGACCCCCGGGGGTAGGGCGGGGCCAAAATGGCCGACCAAAGTTTTACATAGAAATATATAGGAAAATTCTTTAAAAATCTTCTTCTCAAGAATGACAAAGCCATTATTCATCATATTTATATGTAAGCATGCTCAAGTAGTGTAGATTCAAGTTTGTTCAAATCATGACCCCCGGGGGTAGGGCGGGGCCAAAATGGCCGACCAAACTTTTACATAGAAATATATGGGAAAATTCTTTAAACATCTTCTTCTCAAGAATGACAAAGCCATAATTCATCATATTTATATGGAAGCATGCTCAAGTAGTGTAGATTCAAATTTGTTCAAATCATGAGCCCCAGGGGTAGGGCGGGGCCAAAATGGCCGACCAAAGTTTTTAAAGATATATATAGGAAAATTCTATAAAAATCATTTTCTAAAAAATAGCAAATCCATGATTGGTCATGGGACTACTTTTGGATTTAAACTTTACTATAAAAAGCCATTTTCTACTTTTTCCTACCCTTAGTGCTTAGGTGAGCGATGTGGCCCATGGGCCTCTTGTTTGAATTTTGGAGTACCTCTTGAGAATTTAAAGAATCACAAAGTTCAGTTTAATCCAAAGGATATCCTTAGTTACATTCCAGAAATTGTAAAATTAGAATACCGGTAGTTAAAATTTTTTGTATCAACTGTTATTTGGTCATTTGACTAAAGACTTGTTGCGTAATAATATTTTTATGATATTTTTTTTAGTCTCTGAACATGTAAATGAACATCAGGTATAAAATGTTCAAATTTTTTACTTTTCACCAAGCCATCTATGAAGTATACACCTTACCTGATGTAAAGCTGGCATATATTCATGAACATATCTAAAATTTATTTTTTTTACTAGTAGTATATATATATATGCTTTGTAGTTCAATCATATATACAAAATCCAACCATGAATTCAAATGATTTTTAAAATGTTTTGGTATGCACTCTACATGTGCACCACTTTTATAGATGGACTGTAGTAAGGTTTAAATCTTGTCCACATAGCATGTAGTGCAGTGTACTTAATTTTCAGTTCTGCTAGTCAGAGATCAGAAGAGATTTTGTAATGGTAGGGTTTTCATTGTCCATCTGATATTCTGATAAAATCCAACAGAATGCTTGGCCTTACAAGGTTTGGTCCAATTTTGAAAAAAAAGATACCCAAATATATTATTGTGTTTACTTATTTGTGATTTCAATAAATGGTGTTGCAATGGTTTCTTTAAATCCAAATTTCTGTAGAATTATTTTGAAGGGTTACTCGTACAGTTTTTAGTACAATTTCATTAAAACTTTGTAGACTATACTTGCTGTAGAAACATGATTCTTTATATACAGGGTTCAATTAGAAAATTCTGTGAATGCTTTTGAAATAGGTACTGATCTTCCTTCAGTTTAGTACATTTGTACTAAAATTTATATTAAATATATATTGAAGTGTACATGTATGTATTCAGTAAATGCTTATCATAATTCCATTACATTGTAATATGTCTTTATTTTGTCTTTTGAATATACATGTGGATCAGTACTTACATTATTTTTCAAATATATACATTGTATTTGTCTTAGTTTTGTATTTTATTTTATCATTTGTTACAGTTGAGCTTTGGTATCATGGAAATGCTCATACATGTAAGTCTGCAAACATTTTCTTTTTTTAGAACATAATTTTTAGCTCTACTGGTCAGAGACAGCTTATGCGATAGTAATGCGTCCGTTGTCCATCTAGCTGTCTGTCTGTCTGTAAACAATTTTTCAAAACGGTACTCCTCCTACAGTTTTGGTCTGATTTCAATGTAACTTGGCACACAAGTAGACTACACTAAGATACATAATTCTGTGTATCGGTTTTTTTAATTTCAATAGAAGGTGTTGCCGTGGTTACTAAAAATAGAAATTTTCTGTGAAAATCATTCAAAATGCTACTTCTTCTACAGTTTAAGTCTGATTTCAATATAACTTGGCACACAAGTAGATTACACTAAGATACATAATTCTGTATACCGTTTTTTTATTTCGATGCATGGTTTTTCCATGGTTACTAAAAATAGAAATTTTTTGAAATACATTCAAAGTCCTACAGTTTTGGTCTGATTTTCATATAACTTGGCACACAAGCAGACTACACTGAGATACATAATTATCAGTTTTGTGTTTTTGCTTTTGTTGATTTATGTTGCCATAGTAATTTAAATTGAAAATTCTGTAAAATTTTATTAAAAGCTACTCCTACAGTTGTACAGTTATTTGACCAGTTCCGAATAAGAAAATGATTCGGCGGTGCTATAATTATACTAGGCATTGTTTCAAAATCCAATGTTTCATCAAGGTAGTTTGATGACTTGTGGAATTAAATATTGTTTCATAAAAGTTCAACCTTCCCTCAAAAAAATTTATTTCGCAAGTTACCATAGGTGTCCATTTTACCAGTTACGAATAAGCCGACGAGTTCCGGATAACCTAGAGATTCTTATTCAATTCAACCCTAAATTAAAAAATATATGCCCCAGACGTTATCCATTGGCATGCCCAAGAAAAGTTAAATTAATTGCTTACCAATAAATTATTTGTATTTCGAAAGGTTGAAGAGAAACTAGTGGTACTGTTGGCACTGAGCTTATTTTAATGATACCCCACACCTCCTTTATGATTATTTATGACAAAATCCATGTTTTGCTCTGGGAGACCCGAAATAAGTGTCAGATCAAAAAGTAAAATAAAAGGTCACAATGTAATAAAGAATCGGTGAAAGTATCATTAAATCGTATTTAGTGGTATAGGAGGAATTGCGGATAAGAGATGGATATACCTTTCAATATTACAAAGAAGGGCAGTATCTATGTTTTTCTCAGGGAGCCCAAATTATGTGCCAGATCCAAAAAAGAATGGGTGCACTCTGTCACTGTTAAACAAAGATTCTGTGAACGAGTCATTAAATTCTGTAAAGCCTCATTAAACTTCATTCAGTGGCAGAAGAGCGGTTGCGGATAAGAAATGGATACCTTAGAGCGTATTAGACGGACGGACGTACAGACAGCTAGACGTACAGACGGATGGATGGACAAACATTCCATTACTATATACCCCGTCTTCCTATATTTCAAGCGCGGGTATAATAAGTCACGTTTACAATGAAGAAAACAACGAAGAGTGAATTTATAATAGTGTTTAAAATGGGTATTCGGAACTGGTAAAATAAGAGCACGAAAATATTTCGATATTTTCTAGTGTTCTAAATATTTATTTTTGACAAGTTTTAAGTATAATATTGTTGGGAATTTCAACTCGCTTCGACCTAGCATGGTATTAAATTTTGGAGTTTGAGAAAGCGAAATTCAACTGTTCTTTAACTGTTGACTGCAATTACATTGAAATTTTAATAACTTTACATTCATTTAAAAGAAATATGCAAAAATCAACAAGACGTGTACAAAGAACTACCTTTTCTCCATGCTAATGTACAGTGACTTTGAAGGTGGTTTTGACATAAGTCTGTACACTGTGTTAAAGAAAGCCATTGTCAGTTCATTGTCATACACAACTGAAAAAAGACACATAAAATCAGGAATTGAGCAGAGAAATTGAAATATTAAATTATACAACATAAAATTCATTAATTTGACATTACAAAGTTAATTAACTGTTACATAAATGAAATAATAACAAAGTAACAGTAAAGGAAAGAAACAATAACAAAGAAACTAGCCTGCAGCGCAATTCTATATATATTGTGAATGTGGCGGTCAGCCGGGTTCGATTGCCGGTGGCCAGATAGCTCAGTTGGTAGAGCACCTGACAGGAGTTTCAAGGGGCCCGGGTTCGAATCCCGGTCTGGTCCGCTGCATTTTCTCCTCTCCCGTTACGTTATTTATATTTAGTTTTTTTTATTTACCTTTTACACTAAATCAAATATACTAATTTACTTGAATTTGAAATGAGTAAATAAATACATTACCGATCAGGCTTACCGTCACCTGCTATAAAGATCTGGGCAATATTTAACAAACTGATGTCTTCTTCTGTCATGGTATATTTTCCACAGTCTAAAATTGTTATCAAAGTTTATTCTAATGTATAATATAGAACTTCATGACACAATTGTAAACGTGTTTCACTAAAATAAAATAATATGAATTCCCTTCATCCAATATATGGCTTCATGGTAATTCTGGAGAAGAAACTGAAAAGAGTTTAAAGATGCTAGACAGATGGACCTCTGACACTCTTTTGTGATAAAAGCTCACACAAGTCCCAGACACAGATGAGCATAAAACACAGGTAATCAAAGATTACAAAGCTCACCTCAACAAATGTTATCAGTCTAGGTAATGCAAATCTCACATCATATTTTCTTAAAAGTTAGTATTTATTCTGACTACAATATTCAAGCAAGTTCTGTTTAAATAGGTTTTAAAATTCATTGGGGATTGACCTGTTCAAAAACTTTATAGAGAATTACCTGTAACTAGATTTTCAGACATCCAGTTTAGCTGACAGATTCTGTAATTTTTCTTTTTCATAAGATCCAGACAGTTCCAATTCTGGTCCAAGTTATGTTCTGTTAATCTTAACACACCTTCTCCTACATCTAATTTTTGATAAATTTCCAGGAATTAACATGACATTTGTAAACAAGAAAACTAAGATTCTTTATCAATATTTCTTATAAAAATTAGATATAGTACTTGCTTAATTGAGTATCACTATCTATGTGTTTTCTGAGCCACAAATATCATAGCTGCAGATGGATTTTAATCCCAATTAAAGCTGTTGCAGATATAGATTGTTTACAGTTTACTAAAAAAACAACTTTTTGTACCTGTACAAAGAACATTTTTAGCAAAGAATGAAGCAGTAATGCCAGCTAATCCTGTTCCTGCTCCCAGCTCCACCACTGTTTTATCTTGTAGCTCATCTTGGATGTGTATCAGATAGTCAGCTAAAACAAGGGATCCATGCCACAGCTATAATACAGTCAGTTATAAGTAAATCATTGCCAGGTTGCAATTACCTATACTGAATCTAAGTAGCCAAGACTTTATGATAACTTTGATCATATATAAAGATATGCATTTTATATTGAATTCAGAAAAATTGAAATTTCAATTAATTTTTGGCTAACAGGATCAAGATAATTGTCTGGCCAAGACAGTAGGACTTTTGAGTTTTGCAATGTACATGTTTTTAGAGTTGTTTGAAATTAAGTACACAGTTTGGCACAACTTTTAACTGAGAATTTAACCTGTTTTCCAACATCTTTTAGTCCAGTTGACAAAGAGTGGGCTGAAAGACAAAACACAGATATAAAGAGTAAAATTCCTAATTATATAAAACTTACATTTTGCCAGTAATTCATTTCATTTCCAAATTCCTTAATATATCTTATCTTTTCTTTAATAGTCTCAAAAATTACAAAAAATATCAATTAACTGCAACTTGATAATAATTAATATTTTGAAGAATGAAGTTCATTTCATGAAATAAGTTTCAATAGTAAGCAATTGATATAATTTTATCAAATGACATGGTAATGAAACAAACCAAGTTTGTTACCTATGGTTAAAACATACTGCTCTTCATCTTCTTCCCTTGCTGTGTTTGTTCTTCTACTCAGCACCATATCCCCATCCGAGTCGGTCACCCCACCTCTCTCCTCACTGTCTGTACATGTACTGACACATGATCCACAGGGTAACACCCGGAACCAAAACCTACTCACTAAAACAGTTCTGTGTATCAGTATAAGACTTGCAATTTTTACATAATGGCTTCATTGGCAATCCAATAATTAAAGTCAGTACATACAAAAAAAGTTAACTCAGTTACCATCCTTTCAATAGAGCCTTTATTTCCAGAATTGTTGAAGTACGCAGGTATGATAATACATTTTGCATTTGAGCATTTCAAAATTCGCTTGTGAATGTTACATACCTGTGTAATCATTATTAACAGATACATTTTCACTCTCTATATGAACATCTGATAATACTTTTTCATCAGATTCCATGTCTATCAAATTAAAATAGATTGACAAGCTTCTTTTGTTTACATTGAAAACGTGAAATTGACTTTCACTTTCGTTTTCGCTGGTTGGACCTAAGTAAATCGTACCTTGTCGATTTCGATCGACGTGAAGTTTATTTCTCATACAAGGGCACCGAAGTGCCCATTTTTATACGATTTAAGGAATTAAGTAATTAATATTTCATACTTAAGGACTCGCTTTAAAATTTTCAAAAAACATTTTTTTTGCACAAATAGCTATTTATGAAGCTAGTTTAGTAATAATTAAATTAGGGTGCATCCCCAGAAATTAATTGTTCAAAGACAATGAAGTATTGTTGAACAAAAATCACTATTCATATTGCTTACTTATATGGGGAAAATACATGCAGAAAATGTGTTCATGCCCTAATGCAAATGTGTTAATAACCAGATGAGCTTTGATATCACTATATGGCATTTGTATGGATTTCAATTTATCAACCGTTTTATGGCATCACATATAATAATCATCGAAATCCAGTCAAACCGTTCCCAATGAAAACCGCCCCGGTCAAAGCGTTCCCAGATTTTGGTCAAAGCGTACCATGATTTTGGTCAAAATGTCCCCAGATTTTGGTCAAAGCGCCCCCTGACATATTTTATAGAAATATGATACAACAAAACCGCTCCCTTATTTTGGTCAAAGCGTCCCCTGATTTTGGTCAAACTGTGAGGTTTTTATCAATGCAGATGATTATTATGTGATGATTAATCACATAATAATCATCTGCATTGATAAAAACCTCACAGAATTATAAACTTGTAAGTGTGCAAGATATACAGGATCCTTATCACAAAGCCTGAACATAGATTTCAATTTGACTTGAAGTTTATCTATTGCATTAAGAGCATTTGCTGGAAAAAATATTAAATTTGCCAACATGGAAACTCAGTCAAAACTATGATTCAGAAGTCAAAACAATGTTGAACACCATTTCTAAAATAATTTATTAATCACTGGTAATGGAATCCTTTAATGGAATTTCTTTAGATCTTAAAACCATGTCATACAAAATATATGTTATCCTTAGGCTAGCAATCTTTAAAATCTAGTACAATTCATTAGTCTAAAAAATCATGCAGTATGTTCATACAGTTGTTTACTAGTAAATACTTCCTGCTTCATCATTCAGGTAAGGACATAAAATATGTTTATCACAAGATCACTTTTTCAGTGTTTGATTTTGTAAAGGCACTACAAGACTATCTAATTCACGCTTGTGACCGGTTTCTGAAAGCCAAACATGGAAACGAGATTCCACAAGTTTCTGAAAATCCTTTCTCTGTTCTTTTGACAATCCTGACTCTTTCACTGTTTTCTGCCAAGAATCTATCTGCTTCTGACGTTGACTGATGGCTTTTTGATACTTTGGAGGCAAAGGCATCGGAATGCTCCTCGTCTTTCCCTCAATTTCAAAAGGAACATTGAAGGTGAAGAAATCTTGTGTAGACAATGTTTCCCAGACTGGGGTGGTGTCCTTATGATCTGGACCGATACAGAGGGGTTGATCCCACAAATTCCGACTAATCCCGATCCCACTTTTAGACATCTGCTCCTCCAAGGTTCCGTAAAATGTGTGATAAGGGGCCAGAGTAATTGATTCATTTCCTCCTAGAATGACTGGTCGATTAGGGGTGAGGAGATGCAGAGTGCATGAGGTACTTCCACTGATCATGACATTACGGGCCACAGAAATCACTGTCAAGTTCTCACAGTGACTGATATATAAAGCGATTTCGATAGGTCCCAATATCACAGTACTGTTACGACACTTTTCAATGGTGACTGACCTAAGAGGTGATAGAAGATACAAATAGGAATAATGGCTTCTGTGAATTTTAACACTGCTTCCTTCCAGTGTGCCTGAACTCCTTGCGATCGTCTGCTTGCTGACCTGACTCATGATGATGATTTTGTTACCTCTCACTTGCTCTTTAGGAACAACATGTGCATTGGTTGCTATCTTGCCTCTCTTTGTTGTTGACTCTGCCATGGCCTCCTTATCCTCTCCAGCCATTGGCCAAGACAGACGACGCCCATTAGCAATACATGAAGATATTCCAAACGGATTCTGAACCAAAGAATCTTTAAGCCAGGTGCTTAATTTACGTAAATTAAAAGTCCTTGTCATTTTAGAAAAGCCACTCTTGTGTTGAACAGTCTGCAACGTAGCAATGTCTTGTAATGGGATTAAAGATCGACATTTGTCAATTGAACCAGCGATGAGAAACCCCATAGCTTCCACAGCCTCAACGGTCAGTGCCGATTCAGCTGGATGAATTTGACTGTAATTTTCAGGTTCCACAAGAAGCTCCAAAATCTCCTGAATGTTGTGCTGAACAAATAACATATGGCTGTGGTCATCCAAGGTTTTGTTGCCTCTTGGTGTGCCTCTTCCAGAGCTTTCCAGTTCCTGAGAATTCTTCAGACTCGGCCATTCGTCTCCTGCTACTAACGAAGCTTTAAGTGAGACTTTGTGAAGTTGCTGGATGTAAAGATACAAAACAAATTTTAGAGTGCCTACAGAAACTTGTGAACGAAGTTCATCCACTTCAGACTGCTGGGTACACTCTGTAAACCATTGATCCCATTCCACTCTTTCAATGGCTGACAAGTCCTCACTTAAAAGATGACAAGTTGAAAAATATATCCATGCCAAGTCCTCTGATAAGTGTAATTTGTTGCAAGCAATGTGTCTCCACACTGAATAATTCAATTTAGGGAATCCTGAGGATCCTTTGTTTTTTGCATATATCACTATCTTCTTTACATTATTATATGCCAGTCTTGGATGAGGTGCGATTGGAAACGCTCCATAGCTAAAAGGCTCAGACTTCACCCACAGGCTTGGGGATACTTCAGTTCTTGTCTGCATGACGGGGGTCTACATCAGGCCAAACAATCTGTTAAAAAACATAATATAAATTATTAATAGACTTTGGTTTGTCTGATTCTGATTATGATGACTGATGTGAATTTAAATCAACCAAATTTTGATTAAATGATTCATATAAGGTTCATCAATGAAATTAGTTGGAATGCTCTAATCGATTCTCAAGACAGGTCCTCACAACAGTTTAGTCAGGTTGAACTATATTCCATAGACTAGAACTCTAATAATGAAGCAGAATGAAGCCAAATCACTTCAGGGATTTATCTATTTGTTTTGATTTAATACCCTTTTCATGTAAAGGGGAAAAATGGAAATGATTGATAGACATTAGGGCTTGAGGGGTGAATATGGGAGTCAATGGGGCAAGAATGCTCTCCAAGAAAATTTCTAGATTAAACATTTATTTTAATACATATATGTGAAATTTAAAACTATATTTTATGAAGGTTCCATAAATGCCTCTCAGTTTCTGTGCTTGCACAATCAGAAGGCATCTGGAACCAGGCTAAGAGTGGTTTGATATTGAAAATTTTTTTTTTTTTATTTCCGTAGTCCTAAGAAGGGCAGAGGAGGATGTAACGATTTAAACAAATTTTAATCTAAACAACCTGAGGATGTTTCCATATAAATACATGCATGACTTTTTCTGTCCAATACATTTGAAAACCCATGGGGTTATAATTTGAATTAACTTGAATTTCCACTATGTAATGAAGGTGTCAAATAAGTTTAGGTCTGGTGGTTCTTAAGATTTTTTTAATATTCCACTTACTTTGAAATAATCATATGAATTTTCCCTTCAAAAAGGGTGTCTTTCCATTTGTAATGGTTTGGGCTGTGGATATTGCAGGGTTTGTAATGACATTAACTTTTATGAGTACTAGACCAGTAGGGCTACTTCCCTTAATTTTTACTAGCCCTGACCTTAAATTACTAGCACTGACCAAACCTGCAAATTAACTGCTAATCGCTAATTCTATTAGGAGATTGTTTCAACAAGCCAGTTGAGTCAGGTTCATCAAGACATGTGAGTACTGTAAGCTTTAAAGATCATTCAACAAACTTTAATAATTTTTTTATCCTAAATATTAATACAAGTAAATCAATTTCGGAATATTTTTTTCGGTAACTATTTATACGACATTGATACTTAGCGACACTAAGTTCTATCACGACTTGTTTATTAAAGCTGTAGCTAAAAATAGCAATTGTGTCATACAAGGATTTTTTTTTTAGAGCTATAAGTGTGTTTACAATCTGACAAATTACCAGGTAGAAAAAAAATCTTCAAAAGTTTTCAGAATATTTATTTGAAAGACTGATATGAGTGTTAACAGTTATTTCATTAACATGACAAATCAGTCTAGTACACATATTTTTCATGACCAGACCACTCATTTCCTGGACTGGGTCAGTAGGACATGCCTTATACTTCTAGTGACGACCATTTAAGGAGGAAGGAATGTAATACAGTCTTCACGAAAACTTTTCAAACTAACTGGCCAGTCGGACCAGTGAACTTTCAAAATTTACTGGCCCACCAAATTTTTTACTGGCCCCCTAATTAAATAATAAATACATTTTCATAACTGTAAATTTATACATGTTTACGTACTTCAACTTAAGAAATGCCGCCACTTTTCATTCTTTGTCGCGTTTCAGTTGTTTGTTAGAAATTCGCACATTTTACGTACAAGTTAATAGTTACTAGCTAGTTGCGGTTGTTACGTAATACATCCATGTTATAATGTGGTTCTAATAATATGATTCAACAACACGTGCTTCTTCTTTTTTTTATGTAATAATGAAATTTACGCAAGTAAGTCAGTTAAAATATATATTGACTGTGTATGATTTTTAGCAACGCGAAGCTCAATAGACTAACGTGTAAGAACAGAGGAAATTCGGACTGAAATCTGTACATACCTCAGCCAAATTTCTCTGTGCAACATTCCCAGTATTCCTGCACTACCCAATGTCCTTTGCGCAAATAAATAAATAAATAAATAATAACGTAAAGCATAAAGGCTAGATCAGTTTGTAGAAATCTTTCAAAGAAACAAAAAATAACTCTACAAATTAAGTTTTTCAACCAAAATTGCACTAGGTCTATAGTTTCAAACAGACGCTCGGCTGTCTCCGTAAGCTCCGACGAGCTCCGTGACGTCGTGTGACGTCACAGCTAGTCGAGATGTCTCGTGCGGCTTGATCAATTTTTAGAGTGTTTTTCATGGTACAACTGCGCTCGCCCCAACGGTCACACCGTAAAACATATTAATCAACAAGCCCATCGGACTTCTTGAATTTTGATTTTCATTGACCCGACATCAAAATTCACTGGCCTCGGTCTTCGGACCAGTGAGTTTTCGTGAAGACTGGTAATATGGTTCTGGCCTCAGATATCCGTCTGGATAGCTCTGTCAGTAGAACACCTGGCTAGTGACACAGAAGTCCAAGGTTCGATTCCTTGTCCAGTCATACATTTTCTGCATTCCTGTTACATGCAGATTCAACAGTACAAACAAGCTTGAATCATCATGCAGGGTAAGGATGCTTTGTGGCAAGTTTGGCTGAAATATTGACCCATTGGTTTACACATGGACGGACGGACTCAGAACAAATGCTCAGGGAATAAAATTTTAGAACCAAAAAAAGATAATGCTGAGATTTCTAAGAAATTTCTACACAACAATGAATGAAAGCTAGCAATGGATGTTCATGTACATCTGATGAACAAATAAAACTACAGAACTCTTAATGCTAGATATACATACAAAGCAAAGCCAGTTTTCTGAAATGATAATCAAATTATTACCTTTTTTCATACATTTTCTTCATTTTTCCTTACTATTATTTCGTGCTACAACATGACAACAAAATTCATTCAATGTATGTTATGTGCATTTATTTCACTGTTTTAAACCCATATTTTAAAACGCTTCGGTGATACTCTTATTATTTGCTAATTCAAACATAAAAACATTCGTTCTTCCTGTAATTGTCGGGATCGGGATTCTATCAGTTTGTTTACATCACACGTTGCACACTTGCACTGAATATTTTGAGGATGAGGATATTTTTAAAACTATGAGTAGGATGACAAAAAAACAGAAATTGCTATGTAGAATATGAGAAAAATAATGCCTTTTCCAGATGAGAATTTTAGACATAGATAAAATAATTGGAGTAAGTTGTGTGTGATTCATAATATGTTCAAACTTCATAAAGGGTGACTGGAAAAACCCGAAACCCCCCCATTTTTGGAGAATACCCATACAGGAGGGGTGAAACCCCAATAAAGTGGTGGAAACCCCATAAAATTGAACGTAATGGGGTACAATAAGGCCTAAGATGATGTTTAATTGAATGATATTGACATCCGTAAATTTTTATAGCCAATTTTACCTCAGAATCGACGGAAATTGGGCGCCATTACGAGTTTACCGTACACCACGCCCGATCTAAATTCGAAGCGAGCTGTTTTTCAGTATAATTGTATAGATAATACTAGAGCCGAGCTCGTTGCAAAGCAACGAATAGGTCTTCCGTTGGAGCTACGAACTAGAAGACGTAACCTTGAGTCGAGGTCAAAAGCCACATACTTGATCTTTCCAAATGACCTTGTGCTAAGCAATAACTAACTCTCGTTAGAGCTAAAATTGAGATAAAAAGAGTTAGGTCAAGGTCGAAAGAAAGGCCAAGTTCAAAAACGGTGATGCCATTAAATAGCTCTCATCAATATGCATCAACATGTGAAGTTTGATAACACCATTTTAAATGGTATTTTTAAAACTGAGCTAAACACTAATTTAAGAAAAGTGAGGTATAAACATGTATATAAAGTCTAGTTTAAAAAAAATTTTAATGCAATTGCATGACTCTAATTAATTTCTTTCAGTATATAAAGATTGATAAAATTATCTTGGATAGTTTGTTTGAAACTGAGCTTTGAACTGAGCTAAAGGCAAAGTGTGACAGAAGGAGAGGCGGAAGGACATTTTTATTCATTTTAAGGGATGGGGTACTTATAGTGATGAGAGGAATTTAACAACCTGTCGCTCCATGAAACATTATTTTGGAATGTCTGTATACAGCTGCGTGGCTTTTATTAGAATGAAATTAGTAGTTTTTGAAATATCTAAATAATTCTTTTATTGACGCCGTGATATTTGATAGGCTGTATAATAGCTGTTCGGATATAGTGCCGTTTGAAGGTCCAACACCTTTCTTTTAATATAAACAAAGGTTCTAGTGATCTTTTTTTCTGTATAGTCGAAATGCAAGGGAGAAAGAAAGAAACGTATGGGGTCGTTCAAAAACAAATTAATGAGTTGTGTTTTTCATCTATACAGACACCTTTTTTCTTCTGGTTTTCCTTTTTTAGCCGGGTTCATTGCTCGTAGAGCAATGCCCGGCTATTGCAACGGTGAGCAATGGGAAATGCTGCTTCTTCACCTCCAAACTGAGTTTACGAGTAAAAATATAGTGCGTACGCCCAGCCGCTGTTGAGAAAACAAAATCCATGCAAACACCTTAAGAAATAGTAAATCGAATATTTTTATCAAAATATTAAATTGTTTAATATTTTTCCTGGTTCCTTTGACTAATATTTTACAAAGCAATTTAAAAGGTGCAAAAGGTTTTCACCAGGTATCCCTGTCTGCGTCATATTCTATAAATAAATGTTGTACTATCAGGCTAACACAAATGCAGGGAACACCATTAATGACTTGGTGTAAAACTTTCCGCTGAGGACACATCAGTGCAGAGTCGTTTGACATTAATCTTGCTGCATCTGTGATTAGTTACTTCTGTTTGTATATATAAAACCCCGAAACGATACATGTGATAAATATTTTACGCTGTTAATTTCTAGCTGTATTTTATTTAATTTTTAAAACATTTTAATATACATGCCATTGAGATATTTTTGTATGTAACATATCCTCTATACGTCTGAAATTGATTTTAAACTGTCACCACGGTCTTTGTTCATATTATGAGCCCGGCTTTCAGTACTTCTGAGTACTTTGATTGTGAATTGCCGTTTATTTTGTTTACAAGCTTGTGTTCATAACGCTGTTCATACGCTGTTCATATATTCATAATATTTTTGTGATTGTGTTAGAGAGTGCACATGGGGAAATGAGACTCTTTTTTTTATTACTTCAATAAAATAATTCGTAAATTATAACAAGTAAAAATCATGCGTAAAATATTTTAAAATCTTGCTTAAACTTGATATTAAATGTTGAAATATATTTCAATTTCATTGCCATTAATATCTCATGATCATCGATAATTTATGGTCATAAAAAAGAGTTTATATCAGATACTCAACAGCCTGAGAGTGTGTAAGATTTGAAAAGAAATCTCTTGATTTTCAGGATAATGATGATGTGGTTAAAGTGCATGGTGAATAAAAAAAAAAATTAGGAGATTTTCAACTTCTAGTAAAAATTGTTTTGAACTTACTCTACATCTACAAATGACACAAAGATCATGAAGATATTTTTTTTTAATTTTGCACTGCGATTTGCAGCATAGCCTGCTCTGCAGAAACCATGAGCATTATCACGTAATCAAGATCCAGGGTATCGAGGCTCGGACAGGCCTACACCTTCATTTTGATGACAATAAATTCTTCTTATACATCAATGAACATGTTTTTTTTAACATCGATAAATCTATTTATGAGCAAATGCGGTAAAATTATTTTTTTATTTTGCTTTGAAATCAGCCGGGAATAGAATTGAAAAACTATTTCAGCTTAGAATTCCTTGCATGCGAAAGAATTTATTGCTTTGCAGCCAATTTGATGTTTTGCATCAATTAAATTCGTACTGACATTGTACATGTAAAGGCATGTAAAATATTCTGTTTATTGGACGAAATAGTATACCATTCTGTACAATATCATTTTAAGTTTAGTAGCAAATAACTGCAAACTCAAAAGTGCTTAATTTCATGGTGGATTTCCCCCTGTGAATTAGAAACGTTAACTCCACTTACAATTATCATGCATGCGTATGTCACAGAGTAAATTCTAAAAAAAATTATTTTAAAATGAAACAGAATTTAATTTTATAAAAAGAATTATTTTCAATGCTTAATTTTGACATATGCTCAAATTCATTTATCATAATCTAGCAATTAATGTTTAGACAGCAAAAAATAATTTGTCACTCAATATTTATTTTAGGAATTAGTGCCAATTAATCCTCTGCCTCAAAGAGTGTCCGACTCGTATGTGTGATAATTGCGTAAACGTGTTAATTGAAGTTTGAGTGAATCCCGTATGTTGTGTGAGAGAGTCAGTTTTAGATCCGCCGTGGACTATCCCGGACGTGAAAATTAGATGCACTGGACATTCCGTCATCAAGAAAATATAGTTTATCTCTGGACTATTCCGAGTTACCAAAACATTTGTGTGTGTGCCCGTGTGTGAGCGTTACAACTCGTCTTTGTTTTATGTGACTTGACTTGATTTATTTTGCAAAATACTAACTTTTAACTTTTTCTTGCTTTATTTTCGTTTAATAAATTTTCATCACAAGTTCACTTGTGTTACGTACATGTAGTTTAAGATTCATAAAACAATTACCACTTCGATAAATACAGGAAAAAATGGTGTAAACCTAGCTCGTGTTTTTTTTCCGGCTATCAAAAGGCATAAAACTTGAAATGAATAAATGCACAAGCGATTACGATTGATTAAAACAAGCTGAAATAGAGTGAAATTGAATGATATGAAAGGAGTCGACATGACTTCAAACCCAATTTTCCATTTGTAACTATCGGAGTACACAACGGATTTTCAAATCGACATACCCGCTGCTATCTGCGGACACGTGCTTGCAAATGAGGACTGGGCTACAAAATTTTAGACACAAAGTGACAAAGCTGGATGTAAACTGTTTATAACGTGAATAATAGTATATTTTAAAGTATTTTTTAACGTTCAATGTTTATTAATATTGATAAAAAATAATGAAGAAACAAAAGAGTGATGGTAAAAATAAAACGTACATAATAGTACATTACGTATCACAAGACTTCCATCACTAATTATAATTATTTGCCGAAGCCCCTTTTCAATTACAATTTAAATAAAATACATTAACACGGAATAGAGAAATAATTCTGCGTGAACAGTCCAAAGAAAGCGATCACAATTAAAAATGATTTATGCACCAGTGTTTCGAATTACGATTAAATGAGAGATCGGTGAAGTATTATTATTGATTCGATAAATTAAAAACATGATTTTCTATAAATTGATAGGTATTTGTACACAATGGATTTTAAACACGATCACAGACACTTGCATTGTTTACGACAGGTGGCTGGTACACTAGTGACCTAGTTAGACAGCGTGGGATTTGCGCGCTTGATTACATAACTGTTACAGGCGATCTTGGAGATCGCCAAATGTATACAACTAATGATCGTGAATTATTCGATGCATCAAGTTAAAATAACTTATAATTGTTATAATTATCAATGTAGAAAGATAGATTTAATATATTCCGTTTATGAAGACGTTTTCACTGTAAAACTAATTAATAATAAATAAAAAAGAAAGACTAATCGTTATAAATAATTTATTAGTGAACCGTAAAGCACGTATTTAGCCCTATTTAGAAGAAAATTAACATTAAATACCATAGGATTTATTACTGATAGGAAGTTTATGTAAATTATACACATGAAGAGGTCTGATTTCCTTTCCGAATGAAAAACACTACCTGTTTACCTGGCCTGCTTTCAACTACGTATTACGCAATACCCCCGGTATAATCGAACACAAAACATTTTCATCAGATTAAAAAGATGTCAAAGAACAATTTTGTTCGTATAATCCAGATCGAAATATTTACCGTTTTTGAGCTATAAAGCAAAAACTTTCAAGCTCCCTAAATCCCTAATCATAGGGGCCAGCCCCTTTTGAATAGAATTATATGAAAGCTCTTGCAATTATGCACAACTTTTGTTCATTATGTCTTAACAAAATATTTTTAGTTTTCAAGATAAAAAGGAAAACATGTGTAAATTTTCGCTCTTTTAGACGTTCTATTTTTTGACCCCTGTATAGCGCCATTTTGAATAGAGAAATCGAAAAACAAAAACCGATGTGCACAACTTCAATCTTTCTGTTATCTAAAACCAGTAAAATTTCTGCTCCAGCTATAGTGGTCTCTGAGCCTTTGTCTGGAAATGAAAGCCTATAATTTTTCGTTTAAAGGGAAATAACTCAAAACCGGAAGTGACTTTTTGAAATTATCGACAGCATTCTGATAGAATTTATTACCATCTATAATGTCTGAAAATTTGAACAAAATCCATTGAGAAGTGAGTGAGATATGAGGCCTCAAAGTTGGCGTCTAGGAAGAAAAAAAAAAAATAATAAGAATAATCTTAATCTTCAGAATCAGTAGAAGGTCTTCCGTTGGAAACGGAAGACCTTAATTAAAATAATTCATAATAATTTCCACAATTATATTTGTTTTACAATGATAATAGTAAAATATTAATTATGTAATAAGTATTTAACAAAAAATGTAAGGACGTTAGCCATTAAGAAAATATGAATTTGTGTATTAATTATTATTCATATTATCCCAATGTTACCAGCTCTAGCCACGTGGAGGCCTCCTTTTTGTAGAGCTATAATTTAAAAAAAAAAATTTCATTTAGGATATTTTAGAGAAAATCTGAATTTAGAGATATGAAAATATCCAAAAGCTGCAAAGCAACATTAACAAAAAAAAAAAAAAAAATAGTAAAGATAATTCATTACTATAATTCATTACTTATTTGTTACAAAGAGAACAAAAAAATAAATAAAATTCAAAATATGAAAATACTGAATTTATTTTTTGAGATTTAGACAAATTCTGAATGTAGGGATATAAAAATTTGAAATTCAAAGGTTCAAAGCAACAATAAAAATAATAATTACTTAATATATGTTAAAAAGAGAACAAAAAATAAATCAAAGTCAAAAGATGAAAATACTGAATTCTGAAATAAATAGTAAATTAAAATAATATATCAATTTTCAAATATTAGATATTTTATTTCAAAGTAACTTTTTTATGTTCTTTTCTTAGAAAATTTTTTTTTTTACATCAGTTGTTTACATTTTGAATTGTCTTTAAATTATACAACATTTATGAAATAAAAGAAAAAAACAGAAGAAAAAAAAACCACACAACAAAATAAAAGAACTGAAGTTTTGATGGAATTTTAACTATGAAAAATGTCTGTTTGAACTGGTTGAAAGATAACTGAAATTATTTGATCATCTCCAAGCACAGGTATTTTATGTAATTTTACGCTTACATCAACTGACGGTACTACCACTATAGTTAGACCACGTACCTTAGGTAAAAAGATAGGTCAACAAAAACGTAAAAAAGTGGACAGGACTACAACTTTAAAAAAATCTAAAATACAGTAGATCAGAGGCCAATAATCAGTCAGTCTTAAACCAAAAAACAAAACCAAAAATGTTTTTAAGATTGTATATTTATTATTTTTTCTAGAGTAGGGCTAGTATCAGGCAGTATTCCTCCCCCGCCAGACGGGTGCAGACCAGTGAATACTGTTTGGTGTTGTGTTGTGTTAGGTTAGGTTAGGTTTGGTTAGGAATGTTATTGTTTTTTTAAATGTTGCTAATTAAATTATAAATTCCTTTCTCTAAAATTTTTATTATGGTATTTTATTTCATGTATATTACTAATCTTTCATTTGGCTGTAATATTTTTATATATGAACAAAAGATTGAATAGGAATAATGATCCAGTATCTTTAAGTTTTTTAAAAATCTTTTTAAAGTTTTTTTTTTATTTTTTATCTTTCGGTCCTTTGGTTTTAATATTTTTGTTTCAAAATTCAAATCATGGCTCTACACTTAAGGAGGCCTCCACGTGGCTAGAGCTGGGAACATAAGGAAACTGTGAATATTTTCAGTTATTACTAATTTAAAAGGTCTTTATTTATTAATTTGTCATGAATTATCAAAATTATCAAAAATTCATATTTTCCTTATGTGTGTGCTAAAGTCCTTAAAATGAAATTCTGTAAAGCATAACTGTACAATTGAGAATAGTAAAGGTTCAATGTATATACACATGCCCTGCCAGAGGGGGGTTGGTCAGACTAGCTGGGAACACAGGTGTTTAAACAAAAGGTGTTTATTATCAAGTTGACCAAGTGTCAACAGCTGTGTATATAGTGCATGTACACACACAGGGGTGCCTGTCTATCCCAGTACAAAACAACAGAGCTAGCTGAGGTGTGAATAATATTCTCACAATAATGTTACAATACCAACTGTACAAGGATTCACATATGCAACATGCACATTTTTATTATTTTTTTATCATAGTTTTTTATTTCATAGACCTGGATTCTAATAATTTCATTGTAATGGATACATGTTGCTTTCTCATATCAATGAGTATATTTTTTTCTATTACTTGCATAAAAAACATAACAAAACAAAACAAAAAACAAACCAAAAAACAAAACAAAAAAAACAAAACAAAACAAAAACAACACACTCTCCCCCCCCCCCCCCCCAAAAAAAAACAGAACCAAAAACATTAAAACAAAACATTATTAACTGGAAAATAATAATGAATGAATACTGAATTTAAAAATTAATTATTAAACATAGAAGAAAACATTTCAAAACAAACAGCTTAATTAAAAATTAAATAAATTAACAAATTCATTCATTAGTTAATTTAATTTAATTACATGTTATAAATGATTGGAATTTATAGAAATGACTTTATTTCTTGATTAATGCCTTATGGACTAGTTAAATTCATAAAAAAAATCAATTAAACATTGCACTGTAATGTCTTTCAACATGATAAATATTTCATACTTCTTTTATATTCTTAAGGTTTCCTTACAAATAATTTTTAAAAAAATAATATTCATACATAATATAATATTCATATTGATCAAGATTACAGTAATTATTTCCACGGATTACTCGAAACGACTTCAGCGATCGCGAATTTAGATCGGGCGTGGTGTGCAGTATATCAAGACAAGAAACCCGTCGATTCTGAGGTAAAATTGGCTATAAAAATTTACGGATGTCAATGTCATTCAATTAAACATCACCTTAGGCCTTATAGTACCCCATTACATTAAATTTTATGGGGTTTCCATCACTTTATTGGGGTTTCACCCCTCCTGTATGGGTATTCTCCAAAAATCGGGGGGTTTCGGGTTTTTCCAGTTACCGCTTCATAAACGTTTATTAATCCCTGTTGAGATTCTGCTAGGCTAGATATTTGGATTGACGCCGTCGTCAGTCCAAATATCTAGCCTGGCAGAATCTCAACAGGGATTAAAATGTTTATGTGTACAGGATGGGGAAACAGGGGAATAGACCTACTATTATTTGCGTATTTTTTTGTGTAAATTTTCCTTTAACCTTTTGTTGACAAAACCTTCTCTAGATGAAATTTATCAAATATATTATAGTTATATATAAATATATTATAGTTTATTAGTTAAAATTTCTTATTCAAAATAAGAAGGTCCTTTGGCTTATTTATCACACACAAAATATGCTCCTGTTATAATTATATATCATCTCTGTTTCAGATGAAATAATTTAGAAAGTCGCAGAAGAATCATTGTTACAATGGCAGGACACTACAATTGGCCGCATGTGCTGAACTTAAGTAACAGCATCATTGGTGTTACTGTCCTGGCCATGCCATTCTGTTTCCAACAGGTGAGCAATCATCTCTACATAGAGTTTATGATTTAAAGAGTCTTTCTTTCATGTTCTGAATTACAGTTTATCTTTTTGTAGTCTACTAGCATGAGACGTTAAATTAATTAAGAAAAGGTGTCAAGTTATTGCTTATGTATAAACCACTACCATTGAATGAGTATGAGTTGCACTACAATTTATATATAGTTATTTGTTATGTATAACATGCACATCCTGTAATCGCAATGAATAAATTGGAATTATTTACAGTGTGGGGTGGTGTTGGGAATACTGATGCTGTTTTTCTGTACATGGCTAACCCTGATGTCCTGCAGGCTCCTCATAACTGCTGGGATTTCCTCCAGGAAGCGATCCTATGGATTCCTAGGTTTGATTTCTGCCATTTTTTTCTCAAGCTTTCCCAAAAAAGGATGGACTATTTGTTTTATCATTCAAAATGATATTTTCCACCAAGCCCAGTCATATAAGTGTCTGCCATTGGTTTATTCCTCAGGAACACCCGTCCTATATTTTTATTCCATACATGGCCCAAAATATTTGTTACATGAAAAATTATTTCATACATAAATGTAATTTTCTTTATTGTATTACAGCACAGTATACCCATGGAGCTCCAGGAAAGCTGGCTGTAGAACTGGGGTAAGTGGGTCTGTAGTAAATTGTCCCATTAATAATCTTTTTTTGACAAAAAGACATTTTTAAGAAGTATTTCTTAACTATTCCTATTCCTGCAATATTTCCTTTATGCCCTTTCTGGATTTATTATATAATATATAACATTTGTTTCTTGATCTTTATATCAGTATGATAGGTCTCCAGATGGGAACTCTCGTGGCTCAGGTGGTGATTATAGGAGATCTAGGACCAGCAATCATATCCAAGTGGACAGGACTGTCGGTATGTACCAGTACATGTATTTATGAATACTGACCTAATTCAGTCCATATAGTTATACACAATACACATTTATCAAATGAATTTTTTCTATGTGGGATGATAAATTATGTTATTTTTCATACTTGATTGTGATTCTACTGAAATGATTTAACTTGTAGAACACGAACAACTTGCGTACAGCACTGATAATGTTGGCCTGTACCTGTATCGGTCTGCCACTGGGTCTTCTCCGGAATCTGGAGACTGTCAGTAGGGCCAGCACCTTCTGTATCTGTTTCTACTCCATGTTTGTCCTCTATGTAAGTATCACCCCCTCCCAACACATCTATATGTTTTTTATAAAGAAGCTCTTGGTTTCAACAATAGATTTAGTGATTAATACTGATTTAAAAATTATTTTCTTTACTACAAATTAAAAAAATAAGCTGTTTCTTATTCAATGAAATAAGGTGGTAGTATCTTTAATACAGGTTGTTGGATTGTCTGTTCCTAATCTGAAGGCTGGAAACTGGTACGAAAAAGTCAACTTCTGGAGAGTGGATGGCCTGTTTAAATGTTTGCCAATATTCTCCTTTGCTTTTGGATGTCAAACGTGTGTATTGAAAGCAATTCCTATCTCCTTCTCCTCTTGAACATGTACTAGATTCAATATTTCTGTTTCATATCCGTAGATTCTGAAATGAAACTCTGGACTGTTAATTGAAACATTTTTAAAATATACATTACGTGAGTTAGTGAATCATTGCATTAAATTGATTTTGTACATGTTCTTCTTTTGAACTAGATTCAATTATTGAAACATTTGTAAGACATACATTACCTGAGTTACTAGGATTAGTGGATTAGTTTTGTATCTGTATTATACTTTTTATTGATTTTCAGACAGCTGTTCATTCTCTATGATGCCCTCCCTGAGCCGTCTCTGAAGGAGATCAGTGCCATTGTGGGTAGTGCTGTCAACATGTGCACTGTAGCTTACCTACTGGTAATAGGATTATTTTAATTTAAAAAATAAAAATAAAAAACACTGTAGAGTCATCATTGTGTAAGGGGAACCAATGTTCTTGAATTTCATGTTTCACTTGATCCATAAATTTATATCCCCAATGCTGTGACCCATGACTTTTATCAACATGTCAGTTCATAAAATCTTCAGTAAATGCAAGTTATCCACAAAAGTACATCCTACTGAACAAGTGAAGTATTTTTTTGCTCTTGACACATTGTCCCCACAAATTAAAATGATTTACAGTATTCGTTTTTAATAAGGTAGCTCTAATATATGGCCAGAGGAAAACTTTACTTAACATTTAATTTTACTTGAAATTAATAATTCAATTTTTAGGTTGGTTTCTTTGGGTATGTGGCGTTCTGTGATACCACAATTGGTGGCGATGTCATCACCCAGTTTTCAGAAACTCTAGTGGTGGATATTATACAGATTCTATTTGTTCTGTCCATTGTTGTCTCATTTCCCCTCATCATTTACCCGTGTCGAGGAAGCTTCTATACTCTGCTGTTTGCTCAGGTGGGTAAAGAAAGTAGAGTCCTCAAAAACCACCCACTACACTCAATGTATGTTATGTACCATTAACAGTTGTGTATACTGTAGATTCCTAATTATATGCATGGAATTATTTATCGTGTAATTTTGCAAAATAAAATTACTCATTTTCATTTTTTGATGCTGAAATCTATGTAAAATCTCTTGATAAAGTGTCCATTTACAGATTATCTTTCTCGCGATTTGATGTAGAAGAGCCCATTTGCAATAATAAGTTTGAAAAATAAGGAATCTACAGTAAAACGAAAATAGCATAAAATCAAATTGTTATTTATTTTCATATATAGAATTTACAATCTAGCATTTATAAGTCATTCTGCAATATTAAGTAGTCAATAAAGAATATATAGTATTCTCTTTTTAAGCTAGAAAGCTCTAGTTTGCATAACCAGCAGACAACTTATTAGATATATGTATTGATACCTAACTAAAGCATTACTTAAGAGACACTGTAAATTTTTAAGTCACTCCCTGTTTTGAAAATATTTCCTTGAAAGAGCATGCATGATATTTAAAGTACATGTACAGGGATAAATAAATATTTTCTTTCTTCCAGAAGCCCAAACATGAGGACATAGAGTCTCGGCCCATAATTCCAGAGATTCATTTTAAAGTCATCACTGTGTGTATAGTCATGTTTGCAATGATAACAGGAATTCTAGTCCCCAATGGTAAGGACAAGAATTACTGTTTTGGTGATGCCTATAAGTGGAATTTTTAGCTAGAAGTAATATAAGCAATTTTGTGGGTAACCTCTGATGTGGAATGAATGAATTGAATTGAATTGAAAATATTTTATTGACAAAGCCAAAAGGATAAGACACAAGTTCTACAACAACTTAGATAGTCTTCTCCTTGTACAAAATTTTATAACATTGCTATAAAGTACAATTATTTTTCAGTAACAAATCAATTAGTGGTGTCAAAGACTGTAATCTCTTGATACCAGAATACAATTCTATATTTACAAAAATTAAGATTTTTCAGAAAATCTACCACATTCTTTTAAAAAAGTATGAATAACTTTAAAAGTTTCTACATTTTGTTGAGTGGAGAATGAATCAACACCCCATAGCATCAAATGCACATGTATAATATACAAATTGTTGGTGATAGTAAATTTTAGCAATCTCAACAACCTTGCTAAATTTCTTCTTATATGGCTGTTATTGTCAAATCAATTAAAAGTTTATATTTGGCAAAGATTTATTTCTTATTGTTGAAGAATATAAACATGTACACAAATGCAAGAGTACTATATAGAAACAAATCAAATATACCTGATATCTTCCCCTTATTGTGCATTTTTAAAAATTTTAGTTGAGTTTGTCCTTGCGATGAATGGAGCTACAATGGGAACGTTGATTTGTTACATCTTCCCCGCTGTGTTCTTCCTGAGAGTCATGACTGGATCATCTGACAAAAAGAACATTGCTCAGGTACACACCAAACTTTTCACACCGAGGCATTGTTTTTTGTCATCACTGATGGCATAAAGGGTTTCATTAATACATCTTTGTGATGCATTTTGTGTGGTAAAGATATATGTATTTTAAAGTAGAAAAAAATTGAAGCCAGCTGCTAACATACAAAATTTATCATCAAAATTTGATTTTTATCAGGGATACACCCTCTTGGTATAGTAAAACTGTGTCCTTATTAGATATTTCTTTTATTATTTTAGTTTGTTTTCATTGTTGGAGTTACAATCATGGTCCTATGTACGTACACAACACTGAACTCCCAGGACCATGTCAAACCAAAGCCAGTCATCACAGACAAAGCAACAGTGGCAGCTAAACAGAGTATCAAGTCAGAGGAGAAAATCAAGAAAGATAACCCTGTTATTGATGTATTCAAGAAGACTGCTGGGCAGGTCATAGGTAATCAAAGCAAGATTTATTAGAAAAGTTTATTTTGTCAATTTGCTATACATGAATTTTTTTCTTATTGATTTATAATATAGTTACATTTCTTATATGATAGATATTTACATGTAAAAATAATATTATAGATAAAGATAGAAGAGTGGACCCACCAGACAAAGACAGTAAAGTAAAGTCATTACCTGAGGATGACATAAGACAGGAACCACCAAATCCCCACCCACCTGACAAGGGACCAGTAGAGGTAAAGTCTACGGCCAGATCTGAATGTTACTGCATGGTTGGGTAGGAAGCTCTTAGTTTCATGTATATTGCCGGGGGGGGGGGGGGGGGGGGGGAATTAAACTTGTTACTGTCCCTGTTATGGAGAGTCTAACAATTAAATGTGTATCAATTAACCAAAAAAAAATTAACATTATGTCAGAAGACAAAGGCACATGATCTGTGACATTAAAGTATTTTTATAAAATTTATTTATTTAGTTCAAACAACATGCAATTCAACATGTATGTTTTCAACTTTTAGGTGAATAATAGTCATAAAGAAAGTGTGAAAGAGACAAAACCAGTGAAACAGACAAGCACAAAACTGGTAAAAGAGAGTAGCAAGGGTAGTAAAAGACAAAAACAAAGAAGTAAAACCAAAGGAGAGGGACCAGAAACTGTCCTCAGGGAGGAAAGAAAGAAGAAGACCATGAAGGAGGGAGAGGATCCTGTCAAGGTATTAGATGAGGGGGAGGCTGTGGAGGGGGGAGATAATGAGGAGAAGGTCAAAGAGACGGAACAGAAACAACAGGATCTATTGGACGAATTAAAAAAGCAGCAGATAGAGCACAAAAAACTGATCCAGGAGCAGCGGGAGATTCTCAAGGAGCTAAAGGAACACAAAAAGGACGCCCATAAAAAGGAGGAGGGGGCAAAGGTAATAGGTCAAATGTCAGGTTAATCATCCCATATTTCACATCCTCAGAATGTAATAGCTGGTAGATTTTCCACACAAAACTTCGATATGTCATCAGAGCCTTAACAGTACTGGTCTAGACTGGATTAGAAATAAAATCTCAGATTACATTGTGACTTCGATATGTCATCAGAGCCTTAACAGTACTGGTCTAGACTGGATTAGAAATAAAATCTCAGAGTACATTGTAAAAATTTTTTTTACTCTGATCCTTAGATTATATGTTTTTTCCTTGTTCTTCTTTAAAGCAAACACAGGCACCGTTAAATAATGAAGGGCAGGTTGTAAAGCAGGATGCAGGACCAATTCAAAAGAGAAATGTACCAAATGTAGATCCTCAGCAACATCAGAACATTCCAGCACAGGCACCGGGAGTAGGCCAGCAACAGATCCTACAAAATGTGCAACAGCTGCAGGGTCAACAACAGGGTGCACAAGGTCAAAATCAACTGAACCAGCAGGCTCAACAGGTGAATATACCTGGCCAAAGTCAGTTCACGCAACAGCCTCAACATGCCAACCTACAAGGTCAGGGTCAGTTAAATCAACATCCTCAGCAAGCCAACCTACAAGGTCAAGGTCAATTCAACCAACAGCCTCAGCAAGTCAACCTACAAGGTCAATTCAATCAACAGCCTCAGCAAGCAAACTTACAAGGTCAAGGTCAATTTGTTCATCAAGGGAATCAAGGCAAGATTATTCCAGCACAGCAGTTAGATCAAACGTTTAAACCACAACAGCAACCGATAAACAATGACAATTTCAACATTCCTAATCAACAATTTCAGATAAAACAAGCACCTAGTAGGAAGGATGGAGAAGTGAAAACTCTGGACGGAGACAAGCCAATCGTTGCTCAGGAATCTAGACTTTCTGACAATATGCAGAATAAAATAGGTGGTCCAAAGACAGTGGAGAAAAGTCAGAAAACAGCAGAAAAGAAGGAAGGAAAAGTCAAAACTCCTCACTCTGATATCTAGAAGAAATTTAACTTATAGGTTAATTTTTGTTCAACTACAAATACTTCAACTGTTTCCTGTTCATGATGTTATTTATGAGATATATGTATCAGTGTTATGTACATGTTTTGGGGGAATGTATTGATGAATGTCCTAAATGTACAGATGTATTTTTTATTAAAAAAAAAAAAGAAGTGTTTAATAATCAGAGTATTTTATACACAATGTAAATAATTATTTATTTTATATGTAATAATGAAATATTTATTCTTGAAAATAAGTGTCATTAAACATTCCTGCCTGGGAATATTATTGTTTTACCATGTTGTGTATAGTATGACTTAAATTGACTTTAATACATGTAGTGGTCAAACCCCCAAAAATAGTAACTGTGCAAGTGTTTGTTTTAATGGAAAGGTTGCAAGTAATGGAAGAATGCAAGGAATTTTCATTGTTTATCTCTGAGGACAATGTATGTACATGTTATTGAATAGTTTGGTGTACATGTATGCTTTAGTTAAAACACTTAAAATATCGAAAATATTCTCTGCAAATAAGTACACATATCTTTTTTTAAAGGCTTTTTTTGCTTTACATATTAAGGGATGTCTGTGAATTTGTTTTATCTTAGATATACATGTAGTATCTTTCTAACTGTCTTTCTGGTTTGTTGAAGAAACTGCATTTTGTTACTAAACAATATCTTACTTTATGAAAATACCAATGTAGAAAAAATATCAGAGAGATTTCATATTTTTAAATTATCAGTGTATGCTTATTGCAGGATTCTTGTTGTGGGTGCTAATTTTTGTACTAAAGTTATTGTCTGTTAATGCTACACTTTGTTTTATAATGACTATTTTTTATTTTTCAGATTAATTTTTTAAGTGTGAATTAGAAAGTGAAATAACTGTATTCATTAAAATCTTGATCTGGGTTCAAAGTTTGTCAGAAAGAATTCTATCCAGATCATGAAAAAGTACAAAAAATATGGCAGAGACATAAATATATAACATAAATGTTATTTATGTCTCTTAATATGGCTATTTTTTTTTTTTTTTTTTTGAAATATAGTCTTAAAATTCAGAGAAAGAATCCATCTGTCCATATTTTCAAATGAGAAAAATATCATTTTGTTTAAAAAAAAACTTCTGATGAGTTTTAAAAATAATTATTTTTTTTCTGTAAAAATTTGGCGACCGTTTCACTAACAGGTCGGAGCACGTAAACGAAGACATAAATTGTCCTTTTGAACGAATTTTATTCTTGTGTACAAATATGGTTATAAGAAAATGTAAACCAAAGATACTTTTTATTGCTGGCAGAAAGGTAATTAATTTTCCTCAAATTAAGTGATCTTATTGAATGTTCATTTATGAGATTTATTGAGTTACTGCTTCGTGATGTAAAGCTGTTGTTCCTTATCTTTGTGGGTCTCTCCACAGATGGAGTGTAAGTACGATTGTTGAAATGAATCTATTAAAATTCATTTATTTTATTTTCTATTGAAAATAAATGGTACTAAACTTGAGGGTTTTTAATACTGTTTATTTAGGACGTTTCCAATCACTGATTTGGGATGCATCCCCCCCATAAACCCAAGACAGTTTTACTTTTTTCTCAGCTTTCATAAGACAGAAGTTCAAGTGAGCTTTTGTAATAACAATTTGGTCAGCACCTAGCTTATGTCTGTAAACTTTCACAATTTCGAATTCTAACACCCCCCTCACACCGGGACTGCGTCCTCACGGCGATCGCACGGCGTCCATAAAAAATGCAAAACACCAAGGTGATCGCAGTAGAGTATCCTACAACGCCATGACACTGCGGCGAAATCTCCTCGAACGCGGTATGTTCGCGTAGGGTCTCCTATCACTTTGGGCATGCACAAAAGGCCCTGTCACACCAAGATGCGTCCATACGGAGGGAAATTGAACACATTTCTGTAAAATCTTCACAATGTGAAGATGTCACGGAGTCCCTATGGCGAGCGACGCGTTTCTGTGGCGTTCTACTGCGTTACTACGGAGATCTCTTCGCGATTGACTGCGCTTCCGCGGGGTTTTCACGGCGTGTTAAGAGTTTTCACCTCGCGTTCACGGCGTTCACACTGCGCTGGATACGTTCACAATGCGTTCTTCACCCATGGATATATATATTCAGAAGGAATGTAAAACATTTTTTTTAAAGATTCAAGTTACATGATGAACTATTCATGCCAAAAAATATAATTCTTAGTTTAAAGTGACCTATTGGAATAATTTCATACTAAATGATTATCAGTCTTATTATTAAAATCCTTCTTTTTTCAATTTTATCGATTCAGATGTGTTGTTAAAACTTGTTATTCGTGTATTTTCTTTGATTTCATTATGAATGTAAAAAAAAAAAATAAACACACTAAACAGTTGCTGCAAATTTTAAGTTATTCCACCGCAACACAACTGAAACAACAGAATAAATTCTGATATAATTTCGTTAGAGTTATTGCTGATCAAATATGCGGCCATTGTTCCTGTTTTGTGAGCTGGATGATCAACAACGTTTTAACAACGCAGTGGTATTGCATTGTAATCGCAAACAGACGCTGTAGAAACGCCAAGGGAGCACAACGATCGCAGTGGCAACTCTGTGTTGTCATTGTGTAATCGCAGTAAAAAAATAATTACTAGATAATTAATCACATAACTGCCGTAAAAGCGCGATAGAAACGCATGCAGTGACATCTCAAAGGAGCCCGCGACATCTCCGTGAAAGTGCATCTACTATCACTGCGTTTATGCTGCGATCATGTGCGTCTTCGCGGCGTGCGTACGGAGCTCCTACTGCGTTGTTGGAGATCTAAACACGCTGCTACGTCGTTCATACTACGTTTCGACTGCGTTCTTATCAGACCGCAATCACACGGCGCGTACTTTGTGCATGCCCAGAGTGATCGCCGTCCCTTGGCGTTTTAGGAGACCCTACGTGACTCAACAGCGTTCAGTGGAGATCTCGCCATTTTGTCACGGCGCTGTACTATTGCGATCACCTCGGTGTTTTGCATTTTTTATGGACGCAGTCCCAGTGTGACAGGGGTTAAAGTACGCGCTGTGTGATCGCGGTCTGATAAAAACGCAGTAGAAACGTACTTATGATTGTAGTATGATCGCCGTGGCAGCGCGTTATTATGTTCCCCAAACGAAGTTGGGGAACATATTGTTTTTACTCTGTTTCTTATTATTATTATTATTTTTCTTCTTCCTGGGAAAATTTTGTCCACGAGTGATCTTGTAAACTACACATCGGACTAAGGTAAAATGTTTTTAGGGTCAGTAGACATGTTATGTAGATTTGCCGAACAAAGGTCATTTTGCGCGCACGTGCTTGCAAGAGCGCGCACGTGCAACACGTGAAATGACCGATTTAATTGATTTTGGCGTAACTTTTTACATTTTTGATGAAATGCTTTCAAACTCATAATATAAGGATATATTAGTGGCATAGACAATATGACATGGTCAAAATAGCAAGATCTCACGCGCATGCACGTGCGCTGCGCTGTGATTGGCTGAAACTTAAGTGTCTATATCTTTCTTGTTTTTCGACGACATCCTATGAAATTTTGAACATAGACATGCATTAAGATATCCTACAACATGATGTATTGCAATTATCATGAAAACACGTGCATGCACGTGCGCTGCATTCTGATTGGCTAAAACTTTAAATAGCTATAACTCCCTTGGTTTTCAACCAAACAGGATAAGATTTGTAACATAGATAGATATAATGAACTTCTACAAGAAGGTATGGTCACCATGCACATGCATACACGTGCATGTACGTGTGCTGTAATCTGATTGGCTGAAACTTTAAACAGCTATAACTCCCTTGGTTTTCAACCAAACGGGGTGGGATTTAGAACATAGAAAGATGTAATGGACTTCTACAAGAAGATATGGTCACCATGCTCATGTATGCACGTGCGTGCACGTGAAATGAGTTAAATCAAAAATACACTTGAATGAGCGTATTCCTTGATACTTTTGGATTAAATACTTTAACAATTAGTATATAAAAAATAAATAGACTGTGTAGACAAGATTATATGGTCAATACGCACATGCATTTACATGCGCACGCGTGCAGTGCTAAAATTTGAATGAACTTGGCGTTGTCAAAGTTTCAAATGCATAGATTTTGTCCTATTTAATGAAGCTTACAGGGAATATGGCACCAAAAGGGAGTTGGGGGGCGTTTGGGGAACATCTGTAACGGTCCCCGTTACAATTAGCACTAGTTTTTTGACTGCGATTACACAATGACAACACGGAGTTGCCTCTGCGATCGTTGCGCTTCATTGGCATTTCTTTGCGATTACAATGCGCTTTGACGGCGTTGTTAGAGAGTTGTCATCCAGCTCTCAAAACAAGAGCAATGGCCGCATATACTTGATCAGTCAGCAATAAGTCTAACGTATTTGTTGCACTTAAAGCATTGAAGTAAAATTGGGAAGAGAAAATTAGGTCCCGAAAATTACACCAGGATTTGTTCTGTATGTAGTTTCAGTGGTAAATTTGTAGCAACTTTTCAATGTGTTTATATTTTTTTACATGTATAACAACATATTTGAATCGATAAAATTGAAAACAAGAAGGATTTTAATAATAATACCATTAATAATTTAGTACGAAATTAGGCCAAATTAACTTGTTTCAAAGTGTATTCATGTCTTTTTCCAATGGGAAATAATTACAAATAAGTAAAAAAAATAACATACCTTTAATGTAAGTATGCTTTTACATAAGAAGTTATTCATAAACAAAAATATTGATTAAAATGCTAGTTGAAGTCTAATCGTTTGTTTCTTTGCCTTAGACTGCCAGATGTTGCCGAAATTTGAAATTGAAACCTTTATGCAACGATTTTCATTAAGGTACTTTGAAGTGTGAAAAAAGGGTCTTGTAAAAATCTGAAATTTGAACTCTATTATTGTAAAAAAAAAATAAATACGTTTACTTAACTGTTGCTTTCATGACCACCTAAATAAGCATAAACTTATTCAAATGGAGTAAAGCAAAAATATGTACTTGTGTATGTATATTGTAAGCTTTCTTGAGGAGTTACATTTCTCTATATATTACAACCCACTTAAGTTTAAAGATCAGCAAAAGGCCATGGCACTCGCGTGTTTTTGTTTGATATAATCATTATTACACACTCCTCCTTGATATATTTCAATTAACAAAAGGACTTTTAAAAACCAAATACAAATCAATACACGAAGGACGGTGCCGTAAAGAAAATCCATACCTGGCTATTCATGGTTTAAAAATATCATAAATAAATGCATGACTCATATGTATTTCCCACTTTCTATATTAATATCCAGCATCTCAGAAACATAAAATGGATAGGGTGAAGGTTAGAACCTTGTTATTGTGATTGAGACTTTAAACAATGAGTGACTACTTAAAAACAGGGGAACAGCAACGAAGATGACAAATGAAGAGGAGCCTCTAAAATTCCCTCGATATTCTGGATGGCTAGACAGAAAAGAAAATGTCTTTATTTCTACGAGGCTGTGGTGCGTTCTGAGCCATGGATATCTCCATTATTACAAGTAAGAAACTGGAACTGTTAGCTTTTTTTTCTATCTGTTGCAAAATGTTCAAAACAGTGACAAAATTCGTTAAATCTCACCAGGATTTCTTTTTTAATTTCTTGTTAGGGACTGGAGACAAAACTTCTATGCAGAGAAAATAAATCTGAGAGGTCTACAGGTAGAAGAAATAGGGAGGTCCTGGTACTGGTATAGGTTCAGAGTTGGAGACCTGGAATTTAGTACATCAGATCACAAACAAGGGAAAGAGTGGTTTTCATTCCTTAGGAACTCCAGTAGAGGTAAATTGTATTCTTTTATAGCGCATAGAAGTGATTTATATTCCGTGTGACTCTTTATACGTACTTTTAAATTCTATGAACTGAAAAATTGATAACGTTGATAGCGCTTATCATAATTACAAAAAATTCAAGAGTCTTAAAACTAAAAAATGTGCAAATATGCATTTCAAATTTTGCAATGAAACTTTTTATTCCATACAGCTATTCATTGCATCATTTAAAACTTATCAAAGGTTATTACATTCTTTCAACATAAACATTTTCCTACATTCATTAATTCCTTTAAAATGCTACTCCTTCTACAGTTTTAGTCTGATTTCAATATTACTTGGCACACAAGTAGACTACACTAAGATACATAAAATAGTGCATCGGTTTTTGATTTCGATGAACGCTGTTGCTATGGTTACTAAAAATAGAATTTTCTGTGAAATTCCTTTAAAACGTGCTCCTGGTACAGTTTTGGTCTGATTTCAATATAACTTGGCACACAAATAGACTACACTAAGATACAAAAACTAGTACATTGGATTTTGATTTCGATGAACGGTGTTGCCATGGTTACTAAAATAGAATTTTCTGTGAAATTCCTTTAAAATGCTACACCTCTTACAATTTTGGTCTGATTTCAATATAACTTGGCACACAAGTAGACTACACTAAGATACATAAAATAGTGCATCGGTTTTTGATTTCAATGAACAGTGTTGCCATTGTTACTATAAATAGAAATGTCACAAATCTGACGAGTTATGATCAGCCAACCAAATCATGGACATTGAAATCATAAGTTTTTCGTACAAATAATTCCTGCAGATCACACGCCAAATACGCCCATCTTCTTTAGATCTGTTCTAAAATGTACTTCGGTCCAAATATGTAACATTTAATTTTTCTCGTTTATATATACAGAAGTTTCTATTTCCACAGAGATAGTATTCTTATTTAAGTGTTTTTGATTTTCCACATTATTAGCTCACCTGAGCCAAAAGCTCAGGTGAGCTTTTCTGATCAAAATTTGTCCGTTGTCTGTCGTTGGTGTCGTTGTTGTTGTTGTAAACTTTTCAAATTTTCATCCTCTCTGAACAACTGGGCCAATTTCAACCAAACTTGGCACAGAGTATCCTTGGGTAAAGGAGATTCAAATTTTTTCAATTGAAGGGCCACGACCTCTTCCAAGGGGAGATAATTACGAATTTTTGTAAAATTAATGACATTTTTTAAAAATCTTCTTCTCAAGAACCACTGGGCCAGGAAAAATGAAACTCACGTGGAAGCATTCTCAGGCAGTGCAGATTCAATTTTATTCAAATGATGACCCCAGGAGGTAGGGCGGGCCCGCAATGGCTGATCAAATTTTTACACAGGAATATAAAGGAAAAATCTTTAAAAATCTTCCTCTCAAGAACAGCAAAGCCATGATTGGTGATATTTATATGGAAAAATCTTCAGGTGGTGTAGATTCAAATTTGTTCAAAACCTGACTCCCGGGGGAGGATAGGGTCACAATGGACGATCAAAGTTTTTTAATAGGAATACATAGGTAATTTAAAAAAAAAAAATCTTTTTCTCAAGAACATTGAAGCCATTAACGGTCATATTTACATGGAAGCATCTGCAGTTGGTGTAGATTTAAGGTAATACAAGTCATGACCCCCAGGTGTAGGGTAGGGCCACAATGGACGATCAAAGTTTTACATAGGAATATATAGGAAATATCTATAAAAATCTTCTTCTCAACATCATCAAAGCCATGGTTGGTCATATTTATATGGAAGCATCTGCATGTGGTGTAGATTCAAGTTTGTTCAAAACATGACCCCCGGGGATGGGGTGGAGCCATAACGGACGATGAAAGTTTAGCAAAGGAGTATATAGGAGCAATCTTCAAAAATCTTCTTCTCAAGAACACCAAAGCCATGATTGTTCATATTTATGTGAAAGTATTCACAGGTAGTGTAGATTCAAGTTTGTTCAAAATCATGACCCCTGGGTAGAAAGGAGCCACAATGTAAGTTTTACATAGGAGTACATGTATAAAGGAAAACATCATCTTTTCAAGAACAGCAAAGCCATGGCTTGTGATATTTATTTGGAAGCATCCTCCGATAGTGTAGATTCAAGTTTGTTCAAATCGTACCTCCTTCCCCTTACCCCTTCTGCCTTTTAGGAGTTAGGTTGGGACCGCGCATGCATTTAAGCTTTTTTTAATACAAATACTAAACTAATATTTTCTTTTTTCCTAGCCACATTGCTCAGGTGAGCGATGTGGCCCCTTGGTCTCTTGTTCAGTACATTTTAACACTTAATAACCTGAATTTCATTTACTTCAATACTTACATAGGTTTGGTTATCATCTTCCTAATCTTTACAAACTGGTGTTTGAGGAACTGAAAATACAGTGTGTCACAAATGAAATGCTGGAACAGTGCAGTCGGGATGACCACGTGGACGAAGGATGGATGCTGCTCTACCTTATAAGGCGACTACTTTGGAGATTTGCTTTTGCAAGCAAACGCTTTGCTCTGCAGTTGGCAGAGTCGTGCTATATTAATTATGTGCTCTCGGATTTGAATCATCTGTCCAAGACACCTCTCCCAGAATGGAATGTATGAATTTTATAGTTTGATTTTTATTTGATTTGAATTCGGATAATATTTAAACACATTTTTATTAAAATTTTGTATGCTGTTTATGGAAAAATGAGAGCCCCTTTCATTATATTCGTATATTTTTTAGGAGGGCAACTATCTTTTGTTTTCAAGCTTGAACTGCCTGCAGCAGTGTGCTCGTACGAATCGTATGAAGACTGCATTTTATGCGGCTAATGCACATATCATAATTGGAAACATTCGTCAAAGAAGCAATTCAAGAAGTATAAACTAGTATTTTTATGATTCTAACGACAGAAAGTCCGTATTATTTAACTTTTAGCCACATGTAGTTAGACTTTTACTTTTTTATGTAGATCGATTAGATTTGGAAGGCTAAAACTATTCATCAATATAAATAAAGTACGTGAAATATCAACTATCATTCAGTCCATCCCAACTCGTCACCAATGCATATATACACATATAATTATATATATATATTGCAGAAGTAAAAATGGCCACCCTTCTTACACTTTCCCATATGTTACACGAAGAGGACTACCATGCATTGAAAATCGACGAGGACTTCATGACATACTTCCTCAACTTAATTAAAAAAGCCATTGAAAATAAAAGCCATTTTGTGAAAATTTGTTCGATTACTGAACATTATACTGAGATCAGAGAAATGTTTGATGCCTTCTCCAAGGTCTACCTATTGAAAGAAAACCAAAAAGTCATCGACAGAATTAACAAAGAAGACCTGACGCTTCAAATTCTTTATATTTTAGAAAGGGCTGATGTTGATGAAAAACTATTTGCTCTTCAACTGATGAAGTCTATATGTACTTTCAAGATCGGGAAAGCAATTTTTCAGGTAAATTTGAATGACTTATAAATAGTTGTTTTGTTAGATATTGTTCATCGAAAATTGTAAATGATAGTATATGTTAGTCTCCATAGAATAGAACAACGACTCAAAATTGGCGGTCTTTGTCATAGCTACATATTAATGAAATATATGGAGACAACGAAAAGTATTCTAGCTCAAAAATCCATTCAAACAGTACAAATCATTAGCAGAGCAAACACGGACGGAACTCTAAAACATCAGATGTGTGTGATCGTGCACCATGCGGGAATGAGCATCCCCTGTCGGAAATAACGGAAAAATTAATCCTTCGACAATTTTGTGTGTTTTTTAATGGCCTAACAATTAGTGTGAAAAAACGTCAGTTAGCATTTCACTTAATGATAGACTATTTGTTGTAAAATAATTAATGGTTGTCAAATAATTAATTTTGCAAATGACCAGTGGCAAGGTAAGTAAATTTGCATGCTGAGTTCCATTTAAGCAGCTGTAGATAATGCTTAAAATAAAGTAAAAAAAAGTAATGTTGACATTCACTATACCAATATACACTCTATTGTTATTGTATTCTACCACATGTCATTAAACTACAACGAGTTAGGTAGTTAAGTTGCTCATGACACTAAAATGACACGTTTTCTACCCAAAATATTTCTTTGCATACAATGCTCTCACTATCTCCTTTCAGAATCAATATTTTGACAGTATTCTGAATGAAATGGGAATCCTTATGAGACACGATGATTTACATTTGCGCAAACAAGCTGAAATTGTGTATGAGTATCTCAAACCAAAAGGTTTGTTTTTCTGACGAATTCTTTGGCATATTTTCATTGAAATGTATTTTGCTGACTATGAAAAAATCAGTAGATACTAATTATTAATAAATAAATAAAAAGATAACTAAGCACAAACTAATATATATTATTTCAGCATTTCTTGCACATTTCAAAAAAGGATCATCGGTTTTTTCAAAATAGTTATTAACAACAGTTTGTTGTATCTAGTCTAAGTTACTTTTGTAATCAGAAAGATATTTTTTTACGAATTAAAACATCATTTATAATATCGCAAACATAGGAAAGAAAAAACTGCAGTTCCTTTTTGTAGGAGAATGGAAGAACTCTTCTCGAAAAGAAGCGGAAATGGAGGCCCTCTACTTACAAGCTCTGGCAGAAGGGAGTACACTGGACAGAACGATTCGGGTCATGTTTGTGGGGCACAAAGGGGCGGGGAAAACTACCCTTTGTAGGAGATTTCTAGGCGAAAACATTACAAGTATCCGAAGCACAGAGGGCATTGATATTTATATCGAAAAGTTTACTGTGGATCTAGAAACTCGAAAATGGACCATTGATATTGAAGGTGAGGTACCACAAAAATTGATTTTCGAAAAGTTTTGAAAGATCCCAAGCAAAGACAAAATTTCTTACGCATCATTATAGAAAATTAATATTAACATTTTCAAAACTTGTTTATTTTTTTGTGGATTTCAGTTTGAGATCCTGGGAAAAATATAATATTCAATATCATTTTTAAAAAGAGATCAAGAGCATATCAATTGCCGTTTTCTGTTAGACTGTAGACAAATAGGAACCTTTAATTCCAGTCTAATTTCCTGGAATACACCCATGTTTACGTCTGGTTGTCTTCACTTTTTATTGAAAATGATTGTTTCAGAAATATTTTTTTCCAGTATGTTGGCAGCGTTTTGCAAAGAATTCCTTAGTAGGTCAGTTGATTTTATGTCGGTAGGATGTTCAATTGAAGAGGTTTGTTTAAAAATTAAACAATACATGTACAAGTATTCACTTACTTTCAAGATGGTTTTCTGCTAACTGTCAGCTTGGCACTCTTAAGAATGATGTAGCTATCTATAATTTCCGCCCCCTGGTGCTCGCCTGTCGTTTCCGATCGTCATCAAATGGTCTCCAAACTTCACCGGATGTTTCGACCCTAAACCATGACATTCCCCAGTTGTTGGGTCAGAAGCTAGTGGTGGCCAATCCACTACTCGATGGATCCCGACCTCCAACACAGATCATCTCGGCGGTGCCATATACTGCAGGATGACTTTTCTGCTGCTTCTCCCAATCTCCTTGCTGTTGTCTTGCCTGCTCTTCCTGATACACCTAATCGTGTGAGCAGCTTCCACATTGATTGCGCTGGGAAATCTCTACAGCCGATCTCTATTTGAATCAACCAGACACTCCAGCCTCTATCCCTGCAGTCTGCCTTGAGGTTTGTATACTTAAACTTCTTTCTCTCGTATGCCTCCTCAAAATTTTCTTTCCATGGCACAGTCAGCTCTATTGCGACCAACGTCTTTGACTGCTGGGACACTAAAACTGCGTCTGGTCTAAGGTTAGGGAAAAGTAACTTTCTATCTAGATCGACTCTGAGCTCCCAGTTATGTCCTTTTATCCAACACAGATTTCCTCCTGGGTGGTCTTGTTTCAGCCATTGCTCTACCCTGTCTCACAAACTGTATCTGTCTTTGTTTCTTGCCTGCTGGTCGTTTCCTTCTCCTCTCAACCTTCAGCACATCAGCCAACTCCCACAGGACTATTTCCTGTCAACATCTATATCTTACCTGGGTCAGCGCAACTTGGCATCCTGATAGAATATGCCCTATTGTTTCTCTCTTTCACACACAGCTTGCAGATAGGATCTTCCCTAAACCCCCACTATTGCAAGTTTACAGGAGATGGAAGTGTGTCATACACTGACATCAAGGAACGAGATTCTAAACAGGTCCTGCCTCCAAAGTTCTGCCAAGGTTAATTCCTGCTCTGGTAAGTTCCACTTCATCCAGACCTCCTGCTTTCTAAGTTCTGTTTATTTTGCTGATGCTGATGCTTTTGACCACTGCTGGAAGTGTGACATTCCCATGCCCTGTCGCCCAGTGCTTGTGTCTCCGGTTATGTCTCGTAAGTATAGCATAATCTCTGCCTGATCTACTGAGGTTTTTGCTGACCACTTTCTTCCTGTCCTTGTCTGGATCCCTGCTTCTGAGACCCTGTCACCTGCTGAGTCACGTAACGTCATTACCAAGTGGCATTTTGCTACCCTACCTTGAATTGTTACACCAGAGAGGATACTGGTATGAGTAACTGGGTTGAGTTGCTGTAGAGTCCAATCGATGTAAATGATTGTGGAACTCCTAACAACTTCCTCAGAATAATAATAATTTTTCTTTCCATGGTTTCGACCGTAATAGTTGCAATTTCATATACTAGTATGAGGAGCAGCCACAAAAGTCTTGGTAGGGTCCCATGCTGGTAGATCCATGCCTTATATTTTCCTGGTACTCCGCTTTCATCGACCCTTTTTAATCAAGTAAGGAGCTTCTTCTTTGTGTTCTCAATGCTGTCTTTGTCTGTGAGGGATTCATTATACCACTTCCCCGAGCATTTAATCGGGTTACCTACTATTGATGGGATCTCCTCTCCTTGAATTTGCATCTTGACTTGCCTCTTGATACGCCCCTTCCCTGAAACGAGGCATCTGGATTTCTTTGGCTTGAACTTCATGCGTGCCCACGAAACGCTATCCTGCTCATCTTGCCTGTACATGTATATGGGTCGTTGTTTGTCACAGTGAGATCATCCATAAAGCCTCTGGTTGGTGGCTGATAAATCCCCGGGTCACCATCCCCATACCCATTACGAACAGGATAGGAGAGACTGTACATCCTGTGACTCTCTTTCTCTACTCTTTGTCTGGATGTGGTGTAGTCATCGACAGTGAACCGGATCTGCATTTCTCCGATGTAGCTCGAGACAATTCCCTGAACCTTCTCTCTGGTATATGGTACCGCTCCATCGCAGACTAAATCAGCTTGTGGGACACAGATCCATACAGGTTTGCTTTGTCAAACCACACTGGTGCAAGTTTTTGGCATCCTTTATGAATTTTAACTTATGATCCTTGTGTGTTCTACACATCCAGGGTACCCACATATGCCTGCCTTCTGAATAGTTAGATCTATGTACATTGTACATGTATCTTTTCTCCACCATGTACCCTGATATTCGCTTTTCTAGCACTGAAATGATCATTTTCTGATTGATTTTCCTCGAGTTCTTCTATTCCGGTACAAAACATCGCTCTGCCTCTTTCAAGCATACCTGTATCGTCCCTTTCCTCCAATCTATTCGAAAAAGATGCCACAATCTTCTCAGTAACTTTGTACTCCTCTTATACATTATGTATGGTATCTTATTTGGTCCAGGAGTTGAGCCTGATATTGCGTTCTTGACCCCTTCTGTCAATTCCTACAATGTATGCTCCTTTAAAAACATCCATCTCAACCTCTGGTGAATCCACTATCACCTCATTAGGACACTGACCCAGTGGTTCTTCTCTGCGTGAGTCAGAGTGTGTCTCATTTAAATACTCCTCCGTTTTTTTTCGCCCGAGTGGCGCAGTGGTTAGAGCGTCTGCTCTGGAATCACGAAGTAAGTAGTCAATCCTTACGTTGTGGGTTCAAATCCCACTGTGGGACGTGAAGACCAGTCCTTCGGATGAGACCGTATAATTCGTGGTCCCATGTCCCCGTTCGTTGCTGGCACAAAAACACCCCTCCCTGCTCAATGGCCCTGAGTGCCATGTACAGGACAAAATGTGCAGCTCTCCACCGGCAAGTGGTGGTGTCTCCATATGAATGAAAAATTCTCGAGAGGGACGTTAAACAATATATACAATCAATCAATCAATCAATCCTCCAATTCCTTCCTTTGAGCAGTGAAAAATCCCTGACCTTTCTTAGCCTGAAGCACCTTCATAAACTTAAATGGGTTGTTCACAAACCTTGCTCTGCTCTTCTCTCTTTTCTTCTTCCTCTGCCTCAGTTGCTCCGTTCTCCCTAGCCTTGATAGCTCTGACCTGACGTCATCCGTCAACTGTGCTATTGTTGCTTTTTCCCAGTCCTTTGCTCTTCTAAACTGTTTGTTCAGCTCGTTTAGTTCTTGCCGAAATTCTCGAATCTCGTCTATTTAGGGTCTTATTTCTTGCCTTTCCTTCCGCTCTCCTAAACGCTCTTTCATAAAGTTATACATGATATTTGTAAGTACCTCTATCTTCCTCTCTACATTCCCTTGCATTGTTGACTCAAGGATCATGCTGACCTTGTTATCGAAGCCACTTCACACGGCTTCAACATATCCCTTCGGTCACGATATCCTTGGCCTCTTTCCTTGCCGTTTGTCTGTTGGCCCTGGCTACTGGGTTGTGTCCTGGCCAGGATCCTCCTGCGTCTCACCAGTTAGTTTTGTGCACTGTGTCCGGGTTGTCACACTACCACATCGACTTCTTGCTTGGTGTATCTTTAGTCTTCGGATGTTCTTGCAGATTTTGCCTTTTGTACATCTTGTTTCAGCCTTTCCTCATCTACTGTTAGTTGCACAATCCTTCTCACAGTCTCAGGGTTGTTCCTTGTCGTAACCGTTTGATCTATCTGTTGGAGCCTCTCATCCTCTCTCGTCTTGGGAGGCTCTGGGGGTGTTGATCATTTTGTTCCATCAAAGCTAATTTCGGTGTTCCCTCACAGGGACCGTAGTATACAAAGGGAAGCTGCCTCTTAGTACCCGTATCCAGACTATTCCTTGCAGTCACATGTCTCTCCAGTGTCAACAGTCTTCCCCAGTCTCCATCCAGTCTTTTCTGAAAGTCACTGGTTTCCGAGATTAATACATGTAGTATTCACTTACAGGAGATGGTTTTCTGCTATCAGCTTGGCACTCTTCAGCATGCCTATAGCTATCTGTAACTTCCGACCCCTGGTGCTCACTTGTAGGTTCTGATCGTCATTAGATGATCTCCAATAATCACCGGATATTTCGATCCTACACCATGAAATCCTCCAGTTGGTGAGTCAGCATTGGTGGCCAATCCACTACTCGATGGATCACGACTTCCGGCACAGATCACCTCGGCGGTGCCATATGCAGCCGGATGACTTTTCTGCTGTTTCTCCTTGATGCTGTCTTGCCTGCTCTTCCTGATACGGCCAATCGTGTGAGCAGCTTCCACACTGACTGCGCTAGGAAACCTCTAAAGCCGTCCTTTATTGGAAACAACCAGACACTCCAGCCCCTGCAGTCTGTCATGAGGTCTGCATACGTAAGGCTCTTCTGCTCATGTGCCTCCTCACAATTTTCTTTCCATGGCACTGTCAGCTCTTTCGGCCAAAAGTCTTCAACTGCTTGACACTAAAACTGTATCTGGTCTAAGGGTGGTTTCCACGATGTTAGGGAAAACTAATTTCCTGTCTAGATCGACTTTGAGCTCCCAGTCATGTCCTTTATCCAACACTGATGTCCGCTTTGGGGATCATGTTTCAGCCATTGCTCCACCCTGGTTTTCAAACTGTATCTGTCTTTGTTTCTTGTCTGCTAGTCGTTTCCTTCTCTCCACCTCCAACACAACTCGCGCAGGACTATTTCATGTCAACATCTATATCTTCCCTGGGTCAACGCAACTTAGCATCCTGATAGAATGTGCGCCATTGTTCCTCTCTTTTCACAAAGAATGTTGTTTATATTTGGTTGAAAAATATTGCAACTAGATTAGGAAATAACGTGTCTTCTGAGAATGAAATCGGCATTAAATAGACACGAGGGAGCTACTGACAGATTTTACCGTAAAACAGCGACAAACAGAAATGCAGTTGACCGGGTACAAGAGTTATTTAAAGTAGTCTAGGTGATTAAATGTTGGACATGTCATTTAATATCATTTGAGAGAAGTTGTCACATAACACAGTCGTTACTACAACCCATCTGACCACCATCTATGACTTCCTACCTTTAAACTACATAAAACGTGCACAGTTGGCTTCGGAAAGTCTGTGTTTTGGACAATATTGTGATTGAATGTTTCCTTTTAAAATGACTCTGGCAAATTCTCTGTACAGGTTTTTAAATTTAATCATGTTGATGAAATGGGGATGATTTTGAGTGGTGATACTTTTATATATATATATATATATATATATATATATATATATATATATTATTAGCCACGTAAAACACTGTAGAATAGCAAGATCAAACAAAATCTTTTTCCCAAAAATTGCTCGTGGTATACAGTTGTATTTATTTTCCCCCTTTTTTCTAATTTCAACACTGATGATCCTTTAGAAAATAGCAGATCCAAAATAGCTGTTGGGGTGAAGGACTTTGAAAATTCGAAGTTTCAGGAATCTGAAATAATTCGGGAACCCGATGCTCTTCAATCAGCTGGTAAATACAGCGAAGCTGAGGATGCTAGAGCGGATGGCATTGATGGTGCGCCTGATTTTATTCCTGATGTTCATGACGATATCACAGAATGTGAGAGCAAGGAAGAAATAAAACCATCTCAAGAAGAAATGACAAAACTCATAGAAAATGATTCTAATGAAAGAGCAAATACCATGCATAAAAATATGAAAATAAATTTTGAAATAGAGGCAAATGTAAACTTTCCGGAAAAGTTTGCCCATGTTTCAATGTGGGATTTTGCTGGAGAAGATGTTTTCTATGCGACACATCATGTTTTTCTGTCTCCAGACGCAGTTTTCCTTGTCATAATTGACCTAAGTAACTCGGAAACGAGCAATTCGGATGAAATCGGTAACATACTACGAATGAATAGAAACAAATTAGATACGTTAGAATCTTAAATTATTTTAAGATATCTTAACAGAACTAAATATAGCTTTGGTAAAATTTCAGATTATTTCAAATCAAACTCTTGGGCTCTTGGTCATTCAGTGCATAATTCAATTAATTTATTCACTTAACTTTTTAAAGTTAAAATGTAAGCTTTTTGATGATATAATAATCAATTGATATACTGTGGTATTCAGTGTTAGTCAACTTAAGTTTAAACGAATCCTGTTTTCTAATTTTCTAATATTAACTTTCATCGAAAACTGTGTTTACATTTCATATTTCACATGAACTAGTATTTCTTTGATGATTTAGAAAAGACAAGGTTTTGGTTGAGGTCTATATTAACCTATGCAAAGGTTAAGGACACCGGGGTTAACTGTGGCTTTCGCTTACCACCAGTTATATTTATAGTAACCCATAAAGACAAGTTGCCAGGAAAAGTAAGTTTAGTTATTCAGAGCCACGTTCACACCAGTAAAAGTATTTTCGTTAATGAAATACAATTCTCTTTAATTTAATTGTAAACATATTTTACGTGATTCTCTCTTAATTTGATAGAGTGAAGAGGAAAAGAAAGAGGTTGCATTTAGTTTTCTTGCAGATGTTCTCAATCTGCCAGAATTGCGTGGGATAGATCATTCTTTCATTCGTGGAAGATTTATAGTGGACAACACCTATCTCTACTACGATCCAGAAATAGAGAAACTGAAGAATTGTATTGTAGAATCGGCCAGGATACAATCCAACTGGGAAAAGGAAATTCCTCTTCAATGGGTGGCTATTGAGCGTGAAATATCTGTTTTGAAAAGCAAAAAAATTAAACTTATAACAGTTGACATGTTGAAAAATCATTTAGAGAAATGTGAAGTGACTTTGTCTACTATGGAGAACCTGGAAGGGGTACTTGAACATTATCATTTAAAAGGTTTTATAATATTCTTTTTGGGATCTGAAAGGTTAAAGAAATACGTATTTATTGATCCCCAATGGATTGTTAATGCTTTCAAACAACTGATCAGACCTCCTTGTGCTGAGAAAAAATTTGATAATGAGATAATTCGGAAGCAGTGGAATTCGTTGTACGAGGAGGGAACACTTACAGCAGAATTTGCCAAAGAAATTTTCAACTTGAGTGGAGATGTCCAGCTCGTTGAATATGCTGATGACGTACTACACAGTATGGAGGAGTTGAATCTCATTGCTAGCATAAAGCCCCACTGGATAGTCCCAAACCTTCTGAAAAGACAAATATACACTTCATTAGTGCAAGATTTCTTTGATGATCAAAATATCAATATCCAAAAAACGTGCGCTTATTGCTTAAAGTTTCGAGAAGCGTTCGTTCCTGATCCAATTATGGACAAGGTGGTTGCAGGTTGTATTTCAAAGTGGACAAAATTTTATTATCTTAAGGAAAAGCCAATTCTCTACAGAGGACTTGTATGTTTGAAAGTGACGGAATCTTGCAATTTGATGTTATATTGCAAAGACAACATGATACAAGCAATGCTATTTAGCACGACGGAAACTAATGCAACATTTGGTGGAGTTGGAAATTCTGTACGATTATTTCTGAATGACTGCATTGATGGCATATTCAGGACTTGTTATCAGGAGAGTATGAAACCAGTTCAATATATTCAGTGTAAAATTATGGAACCTGATAATTCTTCATTAGTTCTTGCTGACGAAATATTCCAACAGGGTACACGATACTGCTGCGGCAATCGAACGCTTTCGCCTCATCCTTTGACGCACCAGAACCTTCGACAGTGGTGGGAGAGGGTAAGGACCTGCCGATGATTATTACTATCTTTCTTTCTCTCTCTCTCTCTCTCTCTCTCTCTCTCTCTCTCTCTCTCTCTCTCTCTCTCTCTCTCTCTCTCTCTCTCTCTCTCATATTTATGGAATTTAACTTTCTTTTTCAGGTTGAAATATACGTTCCGCATTTTCAAGGTAAAGAAACGTTCTAGTTTGAAAAAGGTTATTTGCTTTATTAATATACATATCATTGGAAGTATATATGTATTGCAGTAACTGTCTTCTATGTTTGAAGATATCGACGTTTTCTCAACACCGCCAGAATCACCTGACTCTAACGACTTTGATGCACCTAAGTTTCCCTTCTTGGAGGAAGGTACATTTCAAAAGATTTTATATTTTATAGTTATAAGTCAGATGAAGTTTCCAAGACCTTAATGAAATTACAGTATATAATAAGCTGAAATACGTATAGATAGAAATTTATTTTTATCTCTTAGATAAGACGATGCATGGTGATAATAGATTCAAGCGTTTTGTTGACTCCACGCTAACTGTTGACGTTTGGGAAAACCTCCACACTTTGAGTCAGTCGGTGGGCTGTTTACACTCACCGTTACTTATTTCTACTGTGTTTCGAGTTGGCACAGCATCAGTTATGTCCGTGGCTCATCACGTCATGCAAATCACAGGTCTGTACAATTTCAGCATGCATGAATAACATACAATGTGACAGACCTCACAAAAAAACAAAAAAATATCCATCATCAAAAAGTTTGTAAAAAAAATTAGCAAAGCAGAAATATGCATGTTTAAGAAATAACAAATTTAATGTCCACGAAATACATTTAAATGATAATTCAACTAATTAGCGAGACAAAATTTCCTTTACTTTTGGTTATAGCTTTGTATAATCTTAAGGATATATGGAAGAATGAAATTTTCGCGAGCAAACCGTCTCAATTGTCTCAACATTCTGATACGTGTTACAAGTAATTCACATCATGAAAAAAAAAAATATTCTGCAAGTCTATTAACTTTAATTTAACTTTTAAAAAATTTTTGGAACTTTAATTAAATGCATTCATTATTCGACACAAAATAAGAAAGACTCTTAAAACTACAAAAATCAAAATGAGAAAAGATAATAAAGGGTTAGTGAATAGAAGAATAATAAAATAGCTCTCAACTCAGCACAATAATCAGAATACTTGAAATTTCCTATTTTGTAGAGACGCAAGGTCGCAACGAGTTTGCTCCTCATAATAGCGATAGATTACTGGCAGATAATGTATATGTTGAGTTCAAAGGATCAAGAAAAGATGCTAATAAACTATTTTACATCAGAGGAATCCAGTACCTTGATCCTCGGAAAGATGTTTGCGTGCTAGAACTGTTTGTTGATGACCCATCAAATCTTCCACCACCATTCAGAGAATTTTGTCTCCCAACGGCAGATTCGATATTAACTTTCATTGGCTTTGGTCATCCGGGTCACAATTATAAGGCATTTGAACCAAAGGTTACAGTATTGCATAGGGGCTCAAAGCGAGTTCAAAACTCTGTTGAATGGGTACGAAAACATCATGTTGATCTAAAAAACATTTTGCAGCTAAACGGAAAACCAGTGGAATGGGTAGACAATGCTTATTCCATGCTTGAAAATGAAGGTGTAGTTGGGCTGAATTGTTTCATGCAACATGGCGCATCGGGTGCTCCTGGCATTACGATGACAAACCGTGGACTAGCGGTGGCTGTCATGCTACAGGGTGGATTGCCTAAATTCTTCATGGACATCGGACATTATATTGACCAGATTCCCTTGGAACAGAGGATCGAATATGGAATCACAATGGATATTATTTGTCGTGATCTTTTTCAACATGTACCTGAACTTTGTAAAGATATATTTGGACCAAATTTTGGTTTTTAATTGGGAGAATCTTTTCTGTGTCAGAATATTTCTCAGAGAAAATGGACAAATTAAAAGTTAAATTCAAACAATTTTTGTAGATCGTAATTAAGAGTCCAAAATTAAGTTAATCGTTCCTGAAACAGTACATTTTATAAAGGAAATGCTAGATATTATCAATTTTACAGTTATCTTTCAGTTGGGAAGTTTCCAGTACATATTCGACCCAGTTGAGTGGCATCGTTTTGTTTGTCTTTTGAAACAGTGTACAATTATAGACAGATTATAATCAGAATTATCGCAAACTTTTAAAACTGCGAAAGATGGGAATGGGACCAGTTTGACCAGTCACCATGGGAGCCATGGAGGACCTCATGGTGACTGGTCAAACCTTCTGTTTGTTCCTTGTCATAATCAGATACACTAAATGCTCACTCCCAAGTCTTCAAATACATGTTTTTGAAACCTCTGGAGATATATACAAATTAATGTTAATACCAATATACTTTTTCTACAATTATCTTTATAAAGAGATGTTCAGCTTCTTCTCTGAAACTGCTGAACCAATTTCAGCCAATTTTAGCCTGTGGCATCTGTGGCTGAAGGGAAACAAAATTTGTGAATTTCACAGTTCCTGTCCCCCTGGGGCCTGAGGGGTGGGTCCAAAACCACTAAAATTAATGCAGTCTTTAAAAATCGTCTTCTTTGTTACTGGTTATCAAGCAGTCAAACTGTTGGCAAGAATTTAATGAGCATTGTGTCCTCAATTGTGAAAATCATGGCCCCATGCAGGGTCAGGGGTTCTGGTGTTTACCTTAGGGCGGGGCTCTATTGATTACTAGTATATCTGTTAGTGAAAAATGCATTAATTAAGCGCATAGTTTTAATGAACAAGAATGCCTCTTTCAAAATTGTGAATTATATTGCCCCAGGGTTCTAGTTTTGGGGCGGGGCTCTTTTGATCATATAGTGAAAATGCATTAAGTCTTTAAAAAATCTCTTCTCTGTTCGTGGGGATTAAATAAACCAACTAAGTACATAGTTATGATGAGCAAGAATGCCTCTTCCAAAACTGTGCATTTAATGTCCCAAGGACCAGGGGTTCTGGTGTAAGGGTGGGGTTCTATTGATTTTATTTTGAAAATACATTAAATCTTTGAAAGTCTTCTCTGCTACTCGGTAATAAGAAATGAACTACCTATATAGCTATAATAAGCATGGTCCCTTCTTCAAGAATTGTGAATATTATTGTCCCAGGGTCAAGGGTTCTGGTGGTAGGACGGGGCTCTATTGATTATATAATGAAAATAATTAAATCTTTTAAAATCTTCTCTGCCCCTGGATATTAAGCAGATGAACTATCTATATAGCTTTGATGAGGGCCCTTCTTCCAGAATTGTGAATTTCAAGGCCCCTGGGTCAGGTTTACCATAGAGGGTTGGGACTCTACTTTTATACTGAAAATGAGTTGATTGTGTGAAATCTGCTCCTTGGTATTAATCAAACATTTTTGATAAGCAAGGGTCAGAGTTTTATATGTGCTAGGGGCACTATTGATTATTGCTGAATATTACTGATTATTTGAAATGCATTCTGTGCTCCCCTACCTTTCTATGGGTATCAGCTAACCAAATTAAGCAATTGTTAAGTGTACAGATATAAACAATGGTGCCTCTTTCAAAATTATGAATGCCATGGCGTCTAGTTTAAAATATGAACCAAATTCAATCATTGGAAAGTTGTTGCATGATGCTTAAGTGACCTATAAGGCCCATGGGCCTCTTGTTTATGTAATTATGAAAACAATTTTTGCTAAATTTAAGGAGTTTTTATGTCCTACCTTGAGTATGGGTACTTCTTATCATGTCTATCTTTCTCTCCTTTCTTTCTATCACATTTTGCCTTTAGCTCAGTTTCAAAGATACTAGTTTATTTCAAAGAATTTATCCCCGAGTATATCCAAACTTCGTCACCATCTAAGCGGATAACAATCATACTTCATATTCAAAATTTTTGATCTTGTACCCCTTTACCCTACTTTTCTTAAAGACTTTAGCATAAATTCAAAGAAAAAGATCAATTAAGATAATTAATTCTATCAAATTGTTACTTTGCCAAGTGCCCTGCACTTTGAAGATATACATGTATTTGCAGGACTTTAGGGAAGGTCTTAAAAATTTCTTAGCAACCTTGCCGCTGCAGATGTTGGCATCATTAACACACCTCACTGATCAATGGTCTCTAGTTAACGATTATAAAGGTTACTAGAATTTGAGACCATTCACCAATAAATGGTGACGTCTCCATCTGAGTGCAAAATTTCTTGAACAACAATCAATTAATCAAAGCATTCCCTGAAAAAAGTATATTTTTTTGTATATATGCTAATATCAAAATGGTTTATTTTGAATGATTCTTTTCAAAAACTTGTGATTAGAACGCCAGAAAACAAATTGTATGATCCGTGATCATGAAGCTTTGCTGCCACATTATTTTGATTCTGTATCCACACCCTATCTCCTTTGTTGAGTAAAAGATGTAGAGTCTGTCCAGATTGAGGATATGTCTTTGAATGTGAATACAGTATAGACATCTTTATCCCATTTTTAACTATCTTCAAATGCACAGAATTCGTTGGGTAACTCATAAGGGTGCTGGATATAGTGTAGAGACCGTCATATGGGGCCATGAATATCCCTGTCGTTGGATTATATGCTCCGCCCCAGTTAGTTATCACTTGGTCATACTTGACAATCCCGTGGGCGCTTACTGTTGTAACCTTGGAAAGCTTTGCAGTAAATGCAACCACTGGTCTTTGGTGTGCTGAAAACAAATAATATATACATACATCCTTTGAAAAGAGGAGGCAAAAATTAAAACATATGAAAAGAAAAATAAAAAATGAAAAAGTAGCCACACTTAAAAAGCTATTTGGGGCAAAGGGGGGGGGGGCATTGGATTTTTTTTTTAGCAAGATGAATGGTTTAACTGTTTAAAAGTCTAATTATATTTAAATTACCTTGTTTTAACAATGCTTCAACAAAAAGTTCCGAACACAACCAAATTTTATGAATCCATTTTTTTTTAAATTACCATAACTATGCATCAACAAAAATTGGGGATGGAATTTTTTTTTTTTAAAAAGATGAATGGTTTAACTGTTTAAAGGTCTTGCAGTCTCCATGTTTATTTGCCCTCTCACGACTGACTACCTAAAAATAACCTGACTAGCTGAAAATTTGTTAACATTCAAAAACGATAGTTTTTAATCTTCTTTTTATCCCTGGATTTTCTAATATCGTCAATATGTATATGTATTTTTAAATTTTCTGAGTGAAAAAAAATCCTAATCAACTAGTTCCTATATATCGACACCCCCCTTTTTAACCCTGAACCGGGAAAGGGCTATTAACCTATTTCAAACATGGCTTCAATAACAACCAAAAAAATATTCCTGCAATGCTGAAGACTTCGTTGATTAATCTCGGAATCAATGTTTCAGTATAACATTTCCGAAATCTAACTCAAAATAAAATCTTTCGTTTTTCTTGTCATGGCGAAGGTGAAAAGGGATTTTGGGCATTTATTTGGGGAATTACCCTCGAACTTAATCTGATTGCCAATTATTTAATGAATCTTGCTAATTGTCTTCTCTGTTCTTGTTCGATCATACTGTAATATACTCACTTGTAGAGCAAGCTGAACCTTCGGATATGACCAAAATCAGGAAAAGCGCAACGTAGATGGTCGACATTTTTAATTTGTTTTCTGTGTAAAAAAAAAAAAAAATGAAAAGCTCCATTATACGAGATAAAAATGTTATTTATAGATATATTTTAATAAAATTTTCTGTGAATTATTTTAAAAAATTTGGTTTCAATGCATTCCACTGTTAACCTTATAATATTAGTGAAACAAAAAATATTGAAAATGTTCGCGTTTATCTGGGACAACCCTCGTGCTTGATTTTTTAAAAACTTTGTTACGAATAACTTTGTTCCACCCTTAATTAAATATATATAGAGTATAAAATGTAATAGTTAAATTTAAAATCATATCTTACAATACTATTAGAATGATTAAAAAAATATATTTACTCACACTTCTCCCTTTCCAACTGTTGATATTTAAAATACATACATGTATAATCACTTAAATTTCTTTTACTAGTATAGGGTATATATGTATATATATTCAAGTATTAATTTTTCTACAGGTGTGTATTTCTGTCGTGTGTATCATTTTTCGTTTTAAGCATCGTCATATGGTTCTGGTAAGTGTCAAGTTCCGCGTATTGTGTATTTCATCCTAAAAATTTTACTATAATTTTACATGTACATACAATTCAAGTTTTGAAAGAACAAATTTCTTCAGACTGCATTTTAGTTTTTTTTTCCTTCAATTTCAAGGAAACATGGCTAAGGGTATTCAAAGTTCTTTAAATGAATATTTCTTTGCATGAATGAACCACTCCCATCTTTATATAGAGTTACTGTTAGGAAGAAGAGAGGCAAAAACAGGATGAGATGGCTTTGGTTCTGATTTATTCAAGTCATTGTCCCTGGGATTACTAGTAGGTTGGGACCAAAGTTATAAGGGATATAAGTTTTGCAAGGGATGTACACGTACATATGAAAATATTTAAAACATCTTAATATGCAAGAACAACTAGAAAGGTCATGATAAGTCATAAAAATTAGCATTTCATTACAAAAAGCTAAAACAAAATCTAAAGTTATCACCTGATTTTTTTTCTATTTTATAAAGTTAAAAACAAAATGGCAACAATGTTCATCATATTACGTCCATTTTATGTACAAGTATTACGTATCAATTCTTAATTTACATTTAGATGGAAATTCAAAGCTTGACTTGCGTATTTTTATACAGGACATCAGGGTAAACTTATGCACATTTGTAATACCTGAGTTCTATCAGCAGAAAAATACCTTAGAATCAGAATTGGGTCTCTTTAGTGTGCAGTACAGAGAGGGTTCTTTTAAAAATGCAATGCAATTTTACATCATAACTCCTTATGACTTACAGAAAGTTTCCATTGAATTTAAGGTCAAATGGTCAAAGTTCAAAGGCAGAAATTTGACATAAAATTATACATGTACTAGTATGTATTTGTTTCAAAGTTATATATCTAGACTTATATGCCCCAGAAATTCATCCATTAGGTTTACAATATACTTTAAGAATGAAAATAACTTTGCTATAAATGTCAATTCACTACAAGGGTGTATAGCGTGTATACCGAATTGGGTAATTATTTAAAGGAAATACATTTTCTTACTCCACCTTCATCTTTTATTTCATGACATCCATTCACTTTTCTTCTAAAGCAGCTGAGTAGAAATTTCCCTGAATGAAATTTTGATGTTACTCTAATGTCAATAATATAATTGATTAATCAAACAACCTTTACAATGTACATATAGCCGCAGTAATTTATTCCTCTCCTTTGAAAATAATCTTGTGCTATAAATGTAAATTCAGCATTACTAATCATAGAATTAGAACTTTATTTTCACCAATAAAAAATTGCTTGACCTTTTTTCCACATTATTTATGTTTTAAGCTTTCATAATTCACACACTTGTTGTTAATACCCCTTTCTCATTTTCTTTTGTTTTCACTGTGCTATTTTAGCATAATTACTAATTTTTTTCAAAAAAAGAAAATAAAGCAGAATTAAACACTAGACATTTATTTGAAATTTGTTTTCACTTGTGTAATGAAATTTTATGTCATCAACGTGACCTGGAAAAAAAATAAATGGAGGATATTTACTTTTCAATGTCAATAATATAACTGATTAATCAAACAACCTTTTTCAATGTAAATATTCAAATACCTGAAAATAATATCCTTGTATTTACATTAGGCAGTAAAGAACAACTTAACATTGAATTAAATTATGAATCCTGTGTTATATAAAATGGCCTTCAATGGGGGCAAATATCATAAGGCTTGCTAATTCAAACAAACAGCAGTGCAGACAAAGGTTTTCATTATCAAAGTGACAGATAAAGAAAAGCCTACAAATTTTCTGCCCCAAGGGATTAATTGTACTTCTCTCAGCATTTTCTTCTAAATTTACAATAAGAACTTTTTCAGTATTAATGATAGAATATTTTTATACACCTACATTAAAAAAAATATTCTTGAATCTATATTTTAAAAAAAAAAGTGAAAAAAGTGAGAAAAAAAGTACCAAATCAAAAAATTATCAATTTCTTTTCTTTTTTTTAGAATTCAATGAAATCATTTCATAAATAAAAAATTACACACATTTCAGAGTGTTCATAGTTCCAAATTGATTTAACTTCAAAACAAACTTTTTGCATTTTCTTTTGTTTTCACTGTGCTATTTTAGCATAAGTTTACTGAATAACAACTTAGCATTTTCTCTTTGCCAATGCATTCTTATATAAAGTTAAAATAACCACCCCAGCTCCAAACCAAGGGACATAGAGAACAAACTTAGCATCAAAATATGTATTTTTGAAATTTGTTTTCACTTGTGCAACCATAAAAAAAGTCAAGTTCATTCTTATGCATAAATCCACCACCCCAGCTCCAAACTAGGACTGTAATTAAACTTAGCATCAAAATATGTATTTCTGCCTATAGAACTACCATACCAAATTTAAACTCATTGGACAACCATAAAAAAAGTTATTAGAAAAAAACAGAAAATTTGTGAAAAAAAAGACAGACGAAATGGAGGATATGATTACTTTTTGCGGGGCCCTAATTAGAGAGCTGCCAAAATAGTACATGTATTCTTCCCTATCAAGTTTTGTAGAAATCAAATTAAGCATATTCATTTCATTTATCCCAAGTTCTACATTTCAGATTTTCCAATATCTAAAATTATGTTGTAGACTTCCATAGAATATCAAATAGACAAACAAGCAAGATTGGAAAATTTTATGGCTATACACATAAAAACTGTTAATGTTATGGTAAAATTTAAGAGTAAAGTAATTGGTAACTTACGATCATGATTCCAGCAGCGTAACATTCCCAAGAAGGAGAAGAAAAGAGCGAAATGGACTACACCAACTCCCCTGTTTTTCGCACATAAATGCCACCTCAATTGATGACCATATAGTTCTAAAATAAAAATTGTTTAATAACTAATCATACACATATTTTTTTACAAACCTCATTTGTTTTCTACGGGGAAAAAGGAGTGATTACAGTTTTCATTAAAAATATATTTTCTGAGATCAGAACATCTTGAAACTATTTTTAGTGAGAGAAAGAAAGAGAGAAAGATTAGAATTTTAAGAGATATTCTGAAACTTGTGACATTGTCAAATAAATACTATTACATGTACATGTATATATGCATTTGCTGAGAACTATTGTATAATTACTTCTTGAGAAGAATCTAGCAGTCCCTGTCAGTGAAGCGTCCCTCCTCTTCATCCAAGGAATCACCTCACCAAGCTTCAATGTTGAGAATGGTTTGTCAGCTGTAAACACAACAGGATGTGTCATTAGAAGTTAGTAAATTTTAAATTCAATCTAAATTGATTCAAGATTGAAAATTATTTCAATTTTTATACTTTGTACAATACACTTCTTTCACATTGATATCTCATTGTGAACATAAATGCTATCTGGGCAAGTGATTATACATGTTCTGATTGTTTTGAGGGCTAATTTTGATTATTCTATTAAATGATAGTTAACATTAAAATACAAATTTTCATGGGAATAAATTTCATGGATTTGTTGCCTAAAATGGTTTCCTTTGCATTCATTTTCATTGTTTCGAATGTAACCCTATTCATTATAAAGTAATTTAATATCTGATTTCATTTAGGATTTTCATTTAGATTTAGGATTTCATTTTTAAAAATTGTAGCTGCAGAAATTATAGTTTTATGGACTGGTTCTTTATTTTAGTCTTTGACCACAACTGAATATCTTGCAATGCAATTATTGTCCAATTTACGAAGCAAGATTTTCTAGGCTCATTGGGGGAATATTTCACTATTTTATATTTAGAGTAGATATGTCATTTAAATGTGGGCCTCACCAGTTCTACATTTTACAAACTTTGCAGAATCAAAACATGAAGGTTTCTTTTGAGAGAATAAGCTAAATTAAGAGATTGTATTGGGCCTGGTTAGGTTATTCTAACTAATCTCCCCATTCTAAATTAATTTTGTATCATTAAAAATAGATGCAAGTATTGTAACTGAAATCACAGGAGTCAGCAGTTTTATCAATAAATCAATGTAAACATAATGTGACAAATGTAGTGACAGCGATATTATAATCATGAAGTTTTAACCGTATTACTTGAATACATTTTTTTTGTGCATTGTGTTTTGATACGACCCCCGAATTCTTTCAGATGATGTGTATTGTCCATACGTTATTTTCTTTGCTTTTCGAGATTTTAATGTTGTTATGATGTTAGATTAATTGTTATCTATCGCTTCCTATATTGTATACATGATCACATAATTAAAACGGTGTTTGTTTAGCGATTATTTGGTAAATTGTTACCTGGTATGTTTTCTCTTTCGCCACATGGTTTGTTATTCCGGAAGTGCGGTTTCCCAGAATGCATTTTACTTAAAATGTTAAAAGTTGTAGGCGGCGATTTATTTAATAAATTGTATGTCAATCTTCTTTAAGTATTACGAAAGTTATTTTGTTTATACGAGGGGTGTTAGAAAAGTTCGCGGACAGGTTCTATTGTGAGCGCGCTATTTCCACGAAACCAGTCAAAATTTCCAGATAATATTTTAACCTTTTTTCCAATTAATATACAAGAATTTGGTGCTCTCCAGTGATTATTGAAAAATATACAGCTTTTTTATTTTGATAAACCTTGCTTCACGGAGCATGCTACATTTTGGCAAGTTTACATCACAAAGACTCTTTATTAAAATTAAAAATTGCACAAATTTTAGCGCAAAGAAATTTATGATATTTTACCTGCCGCTTAAGCATGCAGGAAGCGTCACTGGGAGAAATTTTGAACTAAATTGGAGGGTAAATGACTTTTTTATAGCCGTTTATAAATTATCAACGCGTAAAAACACAGCCAAAAATCGGAACGTCATTGACTGTCATGGAGCACTGCACTACGTAAAAATTATCTGTGCAGACAGGAAAATGTCTGAAAAGAGATTTAAATGTTCAAGATGCTGCCGGGAATTTCCTACACATGCAAAGAACAAGTTTTCAAATGGTTGTAGCTTAGTAAAAATGGAAGGATTAACATTTTGAATGATTAACTCCATCGATACTTCAATACTCCCTTATGGCATGGACTTTGCGTTGCGCCTATATGGTTTTGCATAGTTTCCATACCTGATCTAATGACTGCGTAGACTTTTATTTATTCTTTTAAGATCTCAATAATATCCGAATCAAAACAGAAGACATTGTAGTAGAAAAGTAACATGTCTTGATATAGATATTCAATTTTAAAGTAGAAAAAAGATAAGAAAAATCTGAAGAAATGAAAGATTTATAAAACTGCGACAAAGCTTATTGAAAACTGGTTGTCACGTCACTAACGTCAAGTGATTGCTCCGTGAATCCCATGACCCCATAGTAAAAATAGCTGTAAAATTTCAAGATTTTATTATATGGACCTGATTTTTTACATATCAATAAACAAAATGTAGGAATTTATTCAGACATAGGTCGTACTTCACAGTACACAATAGATTTTCCGTAATTCAACGTGTCCGCGAACTTTTCTAACAACCCTCGTAAAGTAGTTATAATATTTTACTTGTTTCTATTCTATGGTAAAACATGTACACAACTTTTTGTTGTCGTGGGAATAAGGTTATCGCGTTGTGATTGGTTGATGATCAGGTGCGCGATGTTTCTGATTGGTTATCATATTTTACGTCACTTCGTAGTATTTCATGACGTATATATAGTAAGAACGAGAGTTGCAGACAGCCAGTAGATTACAGACAGCAGATTACACAACTGTATCAAGGTGTGTGTTTAATTTAGTTCTTTGGGTTAAATAATTTGATAGTATTAAGTGGTGTGAGGGGAAAACTTTATTCAGAGATTGAATAATATTTATTTACCAGTATATTACTCAATACTGGTGTAGATTTTTATGATTACTGGTTCATTACCAGTTTAGGATTAAACTTAGGATTTCAATAGGTCTAAGAGAGTTAGACTTGCACATGAAATATTTAATTACTGGATAAGACTCCAGTTATAGAGACACATCAACTGACATGAATTGAGTCGCATGCGTTTGTTAATTTGACTAAATAAAGCACCAGAGCAGAAATCACCAAAAACGCGTTGCATTTCTGTCAGTGTGCTCACGATGCTCATAGGTTATGTTTACATTGGTTTGTTGATAAAACTGCTGACTCCAGTGCTGAAATAGGATGATTTTACCTCTACTTTGGACTTTCAGTAGGGCGTGACTTTCTCGGCACTACGTAATGGCGAATACTAGTAGATTCTCATTGGTTACGAAATTAATAACATCAGGAAATTAAAATTGTTGTTGATAACGATGAGATGACTTATGTCCCACCTCTGTGGCGTGAGAGAACTTTTAATTGGCTATTTACTACACCAGTTGACTTTCGGCCGCATTTCTATCATATGTATATTTCAACAGTGAAGGAAAGCTATGTAAATTTCAGAAGCTAATTAGGCAACGTCGAGAATGCCATGCCTTACTGAAAGTCCAAACTAAGCGTGTAATTCTTCTACAAGTATTAATCCTTTCCTATGTGAACTTCAACAGGATCAAACAAGGACTACTGATTTTGCCAAAATCCGTAGTTGTTTGATCATGTTATGTCTCGTTAAATATACCATTTAGATAGCAATTTACTTCTATATTTCCATTTTTTTTTTTTGAAATGTGGAAATAATCCTCTATCTAAATCAGTAAATGGTAACGAGCCTTGTTAGGGCCAAAATAAAAAATACCTTTGTTTCCCCTAACGCGACCGACCCAATTAAATCGCGCCGACTGAAAAGATTTTTTAAATAAGATGATTCAAAATTTTTTTTATTGTCAACCAAGTTTTATAAAATACAATTTCATGAAAATCAGTTTTTATCAGAACGGCCTACATTGTTCTACTGTGATTTTCAAGCATTTGATGGAAACAAAATAGCGCCCAGATGTGATTACAGAGAAGTAATTCTTCATAAAACAACAGCGATGTCTCAATCTTATGCCTTTAGCTAACTAGAATTCTTCACTCTTGAAACAATTTGATAATAAAATTTACTGTTCCGGATGTGTCTTGGCGTCTCCATGTGAGTGAATAAATTTTCGAAAGGGACGGTAAACATCTCTCTGTTGAATTTCAGGTATGTAATACATGGAAAGGCCATGCAGCCTCATGAGCAGATGAGGGGCCCACCTAGTGAACACATCATTCAATTTCACTGCATTTTATTTAATTTGAGTTTTGATCTAATAAACAATTTATCTATGTTCCCATGTTTACTATATGACATAATGGAATCATAGGAGCTGTTGTAAATATGTCTACGTATTCATCCTGATAAATATAATTCAGTTATAAATACTTTTTCATGCCTTTATTTACGGGTTAAACTTCGTGACTATGACATTCTTTTATATAGTATTTTTATCATTTGTAGATTCGGTTTGGTTCATTTAAATATTGTTTAAATACTCTTCCCAAATAGTTTTGAAATCATAATTCAGCTTCCTGAGACGTCCAGTGTATTTTTCTTTAATTAGGCCCTTGAAGATTGGTTGTTTCTTTGCTTTTAATCCCTTCGAGATTTGTTGGGACGACGTTTGCACATTTCTTCATTGCTCCAAATTTAGACGTACTATACACACTTTTTGCCATGAAGCAGTGGGGATTTTTTTTGAGCCAGCATCTTCTGCGACACTGGACATATATTTTTATGGTCCCTTTTGAAGGACTGTTTTCAACGTTCCTCATTGGTATTTGAACCTGTGACTTAAAATTAGCCACTTACGTCTTAACTCCAAAGCAAAATGTTCTAGAACCACTGCAAATCTCATGGCCCTCAAAAAAGTACATTGTCTGTCTATAAGCACTGGAGGCTGATTGAAGGTTTGAAAAAATATATTCGGATGTCCAGTCTTTGCGACTTTGCGTCTTTGAGAATCTTGTCTTTTTTTATTCGATCAATATAAATGTACTCTGGCGTGAGATATCTCACAAGTTCATCTAAATTACATTTGTGAATTAATTAATCATAAATTTTGCTTTTAAACGGCTTATGTTTGATACTTAGCATTTTGTTGACAAATCACTTTCTTTTGTACTCTTCTTATTCAAAAATGTAATTTTCCATTAAATCAATTTAAAATGTTTTTTTTTTTCAAAGCTGCTGTCAGAAAATAAAATTGTTTACCTACCTACCGACCCAACTTGAAAATTTAGGGTCGGGTTAGGGGAAACAAAGATATTTTTAATTCCGGCCTAGGCTTGTAAATTATAAGTTTTCCCTGAAATTGATATAAAAATACGCACGTGTTCCGTAATATCTATCAGCTTGGTAAGCGCCATGGATTCGGGGGTTGAATTCCTTTGGGAATTCACCAAAATTAGAAGCATTTTGGACAATGTTACCCATTTTGTCGTCCTTGCTCCCCGGCACCGAAGGTCAGCTTAGTTAACTTGTACAACAAAGTATTCGGATACAGATAAATGAAAAGATAAAAACGTTATAAAGATTGTATAGTTTAAATTTTAAATTTTAAAACTGAAATAAACTCTTTATTATTGCTAGAGTAACTAAAAAGATACAGAAACCCAAATATTTTCTCATTTATAAAATATAAGACTTACTTTATGAACAAACTGTGCGTTTCTTGTAAAGAAAAGATAACTCTGTCAGAGTCTGTGTGAAAGAAGAGAGACATTTCCACATTCACTGTAACATTGTTCATCCATTTGATGTATAATATGAAAAAGTAAATTGAGATTGTGTTGCAATGTTTTAATCGGATGTTCTCAGCTGATAGTTAACAGATTTATGTGAATTGCTCCAGGTAACGGGCTGAGTTAATTATGAACACATACTTAGATATTTCATCAGCATGACCAAATAGTTTTTCAAATACCTATTTATCACTGTTTATAATATGAACTAGATAAGCTGTGTGTAGGTTAAAACAGGGTTGTTTTAAGCTTTAAGTTGAATCCTAGATCCTTCACTCATGCAAGTTGTGCTCTGAAGCTAAATAGGCACTTAGGCCTAAGAACTGTCCAAAATTTTCACATCCTTTCCTCCAGAGAACCCTCATATCCCTGTAAAGACATACTAAGATGAGTAATATGTCTTCTCTTTCATTTGTGGCAGTTTGCATAATTAGATGTATTCAAAATAGAATATTTACAAGTATGCAGGAAACTAACCATTCTAACTGGGACATGTGTCCTGAGTCTTTGACTGAACATGTAGATTCTGTTAAACACATTGTGATTATAATCCACGGTAATCAATCTAGACATTATATCTGATTCAATTTTAAAGATTGAGTATCTCCATCCCTGTGTTGTCTATCCAGGGTTAATGAGAGCAAGTGTTAAATATGGTGTGGGGACTATTAAAATCAATTAGTTATTAAAATTTAGGAATTTTTATATTGTTAATTATCAAGTATGATGCTATTTAATTTTTCAGATTGAGCAGTCTGACATATGTCAGCATCTGTGCATCCATCCTAGTCATTTTTGGAAATGTCTGGACAGCACAGTGAAACCTCTCCAATTACTAGTCTTCCATCTGTTGTGGCATCAAAGATCTTGAGCTTTATACCTTGGCAGGAAAAAACAATTGTAGCCAGTGTCATCACATCTTGGGCTGAAGCCCTAAGATGTACAGAAGCCTGGGGCTGTGTAAAATATGGTCCGGAAATTGAAGAAAATGTCTACTTTGCTAGTGCAGGCAGATCTGATTTTGTGACCTGTGTGAAACAATATGGGAATTTTATGAGATCCATTCACCTTTACTTTGGATACACAATAACTTACCCTATGGAACCTACAGGAGAAGAGATTTTGATGCTTATACATAAGAGATGTGGTAATTTAACAGCACTTCTAGTAGAACAAGAAATCCCAGAAGGGTCTCACTCTGTTCTCTCATATCGTTGGACATCTTCAGTTGGTGTTCTCATCAAAAATATGACCATGGAATTCAAGTCTCTGAAATCCATTTCTCTCAGGCAACCTATTATCGTATGGAACCAAGATGAAGAGAATATGCTGATGGTATTAACTTGCACTAGTGCTGCAAGTAAAATCACAGAACTGGAATTAACCTACCTCTCTGTTTTAAATCATGATGGAAAACTTCACTTGCTGAAAAACTTCACAGGTTTGAAGAAGTTGACTGTTCGTAGAGAGAAAGTAAATAATGACATTCTGTTACATCTGGTAAAACACTCCTTACAGGAGCTAATTCTTTATCAGGAAGAGGAGTTACCATATGAAGATCAACAAGACCTTGGAGAAAATTTCTGGTTAGAAGTGAAAAAGGTGTGTCCTGCATTTAGAGTGGACTTGATTTTGAGATATGTGATGATTCTAAAGATTCTCTTTCCGTCAAGTATGCCTCTCAGGTACTTAGTGTTGGATTTTCTTGTTAATGTGATGACGAAGGGAATTATGGATCACATCACGGATTGTTATAAGGAGACACTACAGAGGTTCACATACACCAACTCTTTCTTAGAAAATGAGGAGATGGGAGATTCCAGAGTTCCCGCATCACTTATCTGCCTCACTCAAAAGTGTTCTCATCTTGAAACTCTAGAGTATGGATTTCCATTATCAAGTGCTTCAATTTTCTTAATTTCCCAGTCAAGGAAACTAAAGAACTTTGTTGTCCCATCTGTAGAAGTTTCCTATGTTAATGATATATCTACAGATATCTTGGGATCCAAGGCAGAGGAGTACATAGATGTTATAAATACTGCTGATAATTGTAGAAAAACTTTAGAAACAACTGTGTCTCACATACTAGGGTATCACTGGACATTGCATGACGGTCCACTGAAAGTGAATGAACGAATTAAATTTTGATATTTGTTTTTACATAAGGAGTTTTCTAGAAATTAAAGGATTTTAATTAGCATGATTAGTTTGCATTCATTTTGTGTAAATCTTTTGGTTTCCTTAAAATAAAGCTACTGGGTCTAGTCCCTCCACTCTCCAGACAAACAGAAGGAGATTGCTCTCCATGTTGAGGCAAGTTAATTAAAAGTTCTAGCCCAATTAAAGTTTTAACCTTTTGTAATTGATGGATTTTATCTTTGAAAGTTTTTAGCTCTCCTGAGCTGAAAGCTCAAGTGAGCTTTTCTGATCACCCATTGTCCGTCTTCCGTCCACCTATAAACTTCTCACATTTTCAACTCGAGAACCATGGGCCAATTTTAACCAAACTTGGTATAAAGCATTCTTGGGTGATGGGGAGTTTAATTTTTTTAGCTCACCTGAGCCGACGGCTCAAGTGAGCTTTTTTGATCACATTTTATCCGGCATCTGTCTGTCTAGCTGTCCGTCTGTCTTTAAACTTTCACATTTTTGACTTCTTCTCAAGAACCCCTGGGCCAATTTCAACCAAACTTGCCACAAAGCATCCTTGGGTGAAGGGGATTCAAGTTTATTCAAATGAAGGGCCAAGCCCTCATTCAAGGGGAGATAATTGGGAATTAGTGAAAAATTGGTGGCATGTTTTAAAATCTTCTTCTCAAGAACCACTGTGCCAGGAAAAATGAAACTTATGTGGAAACATCCTCAGGTAGTGTAGATTCAAGTTTGTTCAAATCATGACCCCTGGGGGTAGGGCGGAGCCACAATGGTCGATCAAATTTTTACATAGACATGTATAGGAAAATTCTTTGCCGATCAAAGTTTAACATAGACATACATAGGATAATTCTTTAAAGATCATCTTTCCAAGAATAGCAAAGCCATGATTGGTCATGGGACTACTTTCAGATTTAAACTTTTCAATAATAAACCAATTTCTACTTTTTTCTAACCACAATGCTCAGGTGAGCGATGTGGCCCATGGGCCTCTTGTTTTAAAAAGGGTCAAGTCCTTTCAAGGAGAGATAGTCCAAAAAAGTCATCAAGATGCCCATGGGCCACATGGCTCAAAACTTAATAGCTTTGACCATGCTGTTCTTTACCTGATTTTCCTCTTGTAAAACCTTTTGTGACCCCACCCTACCCCATGGGCCATAATTTGGACAATTTAAAATCTACAATACCCCATGATGCCCTTTTGTGGCTCCACCCAACCCTTGGGGTCATGACTTGAACAATTTAGAATCTACACTACCCCATGAAGCTTCTACGTAAGTTTCAGTTTTTCTGGCCTAGTGGTTCTTGTGAAGATTTTCCCTATATATTTTAATGTCAAAATTAGGTTCCCTGTTGAGGCCCAGCCCAATCCCCCAGGATTATGATTTGAACTATTTTATAATCTCCACTAACTCGGTATGCTTCCACACAAGTTTCAGCTTTTCTGGCCCAGTGGTTCTTGAAAAGATTTTTTCTATATTTTTCAATGTAAAACTTGGATTCTCTAGTGCAGCTCCGCCCTACCCCTTGGGGACATGGTTTGATCAATTTAGAATCTGCACTACCCAAGGATGCTTCCACATAAGTTTCAGCTTTTCTGGCCCAGTGGTTCTTGAGAAGAAGATACTTAAATGGCTCCCTATTTTTGTCTTTTCTTGTCTATTTCCCCTTGTGAGGGGACTTGACCCTTCATTTTAACAATTTAAATTCCCCTTCACCCAAGGATGCTTTGTACCAAGTCTAGTTAAATTGGCCCAGAGAATTTTGAGAAGTCAAAAATGTGAAAAGTTTACAGACAGACAAAATATGATCCGAAAAGCTCACTTGAGCCTTCAGCACAAAAATCAGGAATGCATATCCTCTATGAAAACTGTGGCATATACTCTATTAAAATAAGGAAAATCACAAGTGTTCCGTACTCCAAGTTAGTTGGTAAAGTTTGAGGCTGACTAGACTTAAGGGAATGAAATAATGTACTAAACAAAGATTTTAAACAGGCTATTCTTGACCTAAAAACTTCGTTCAAGGTCACTGCACATCCATTGACCAGTGGCACTCTGAGAGTGAAGTATGAGCCACATTTGACCAAGGAGAGAGAAGATATGCTCCAGACAAGTATTTTTCACATAATTCTGTGATGACACCTTAGACCTAGAAAATGGTTTCAAAGTCACTGCACATCCTTTACCAAAAGACACTGTGTGGTTGAAGTATGAGCCAGATTGGGCCAAGGAGAAAGAAGTTATGCTCCAGACATGAGATCTTGGATGGATGGATGGACAGACTGAACACTATAGGCCGCAGCACAGAGGGGCCATAATTGGTGATCAAAATGTAGAATTTCAATTTTTTACCACCTATCCAAAGAAAAAGAAGAGAGAATTTTTGTTATACATGTTCATTTTATTTACACAAATTCAGTGAACATATAATTGTGACAATGATGTAGAGATGAGGCAAAAATGAGAAATAAAACACTAATACTTAAGAGACTTTCATACAATTTGTTAAAATGAAAATTTATCAAGATGTTTTCGACTATGAAAATCAACCTATAGAAAATAAAATAAGTTTTCGCCTCTTCGATTTAACACCCATCACAGGTGTATGTATTAACATCTTGTCACTGGTACCTACTTCACAAAATAAAAGTCAATATTCAAAAGTATTGTCTATCTATTTTAAAAAAAATACACATAAAACATAAGACATCAGAACTCCTTTAAAACAGCTTCACACCTGGCCTGGCCTTCTCCTCTAGATAACTGGACTTGGGATTTTACCAACAAGAAGTATCCGAGGAGAACAGGTACCTAGTCTGTGTTACACTGCGCGGCATTCACGATCACAAAAGTATAGTTCTGAGGAGTTTTACATGTCCAGTAGCTTTATTAAAGCTCGAGTCTCTTGGTCAATATGACTGATTTGTCCAGTATTAGCTGCCTATTCTTTAGTCCGTATCCATCTAAAACAAAAAAAATTAGCATATTAAGATTTCTATTATTTGTGTCAAATTGCAATAAATTGTATTTGTTTGAATATTCATAACAGAAAATATGGTTATTAGCACTTCAGAAATATAATTTATTAATGTTAACTAGAAATGTTATAAATTCTTGAATCAAGCAACAGCCCAAATTGTTTCCTTGTATAGGCAGAATGGATGATTCCTCTGTTTCCCCATTATCAATTAGATAAGGCCAAAGTTTTTATTTTTTTTGGTTTACGATTTTTTGACACAAAAATTTTTTGACAAAAAAAATGGGTGGTCGAAAAATAAAAATAAAAATAATTTGGAACCTTGACATATTTTTTTCTAAAGTAGCATTGAAATGTATTCAAATAAGAATAATAAACACATAAGATTTTTTCAACATTATTATTTTTTCTTACCATTCGATTTTATGTCAACAAAAAAGAATCACATGTCAAATGACTCAAGAACAGAAATGGGAGTATCAGGCTTTGTTACTGTTGATGGTTTTCATTCTTCTGACTTACAAGAACGAGGTTTCCATAAAAGACACATTGCACGTCTGGGACAAATATGGCTAAAATTAAGTGAGTCGGCTATTCTTTGGTCAGCCTTTCCACTTATGAAAAAGTATTTGGAAACTCCAAAAGTGATGGATTGCTTTCACAAAAAACTTTTACCTTATTTAGATACGTGTGTCCAGGGACCAACCTAGACCCAAAATTTAAGGAGACAATTTTCTCCCTCAAAAATTTTTAGGGAGAAGTTTTGAAATTTAGGGATACTTCTTGGCGTGCGTATGTGGCACACATTAATAAATCGTTATAAAATTATTTTGTTGTTTATAACTTACATACATTTCAATAATTTTTTCTGTATAAACATTGTATTTAAAATGATTAAACAAAAGAAAGAGAATCTTAAAAGATATTTCCCCCAATTACAAGGTATATAAGTATCTAGAAAAAAATAATAAAACAACATTGACATAAAGACTAATTGTTTATCAAACATTTTTTTCATTTCTTACATGTATACATGTAGTAGCACAAAATTAATCATAAACTTCTAAAATTTCTCTTCTCATTAGATTTCCAGGCTTCTGGCATAGTCATAATTTTGTTAATTTTTCTTCAAACTTTGTTTTCAATATAAAATTCTTTTTCTAATAAAAGTTTTGACGCACATCTGCATGCCGATTGAACTACTTATGTTTATCGGATCCGATGTGTGACTTCTTAGGAAGTTAATAACTTCACAATTTAACAGTAAAATTATGTCTGTAGCCACAGCATGAATTAATTATTTGACAATAAAAAGATCTAAAATCTTCTCCAACATCTTTGGCATGACATCGATAGCTGTCCAGCTGTTTTGCGTCTTGTTGTGTATAACTTGTAATGATCGACTTTTTCATACCCGGAAGTGTAAAATCTAGAGGAGTTCCGACGGAGTATTCGATGCATTGGTCATTAGTATAGAAACAGTCTGTAAATGAGTCGCCCCCTAGGTTGGTCCTGACAATCTGCATTTGTGGAGGTCATTTAAATGTTTAAGATGTGTTGTAAATTATAAAAACAGTCGTTTGGTCGAGAAAATTTTGGATGAAGAGTCCAGTTTCGAGTGTCAGACACATTATTTTTATTTTTGTAAATAGGGAAAAATAGGGTCGGCGGAATCGTAAACCAAGAGAAAAAAAACTTTGGCCTAAGAACTGTTCAAAGGAGATAGTAATATTTTTTGGATGCTGCAAAAAAGAGGGCACTTCAGTGAGAGTGAAAAATTTTGTTTATCTGTTTAAAACTTTTGTTAAATCTATATAGCTGGGGTCAGTCGATACAAGATAACACTGCTATATCCGTGAATTCGCAATATCAGTGTTCTTACTAAACAAACTTACTGTATTTATTATCAGTACCTTTGAGTTATAAGCATCCAGCTCTGCGTCTAGTTCCTCTGCGGTCATCTGCGTCTTGCCACCACGCCCTCCTCCTCTTCCCCGGCCTCCCCCACCCCTTCCTCGTCCGCCCCTACTACCACGGTTTCCTCCACCCCCTCGCTGTCTGTTGCCACCAAATCTGTTTTAAGAAAATATACATATTGTAATTTAGTATATACATAGTGGACATACCTTTCTTGGTTTCCCATAATTTTGTCTCAAATTTATATAGACAAAGAGAAACTTATGTCATGCAAAACTTAGTCATGTATCATGGAAACTCTGAAATTGTCAATTCTTGTGACATACATGACATTTCATTTGTCATATTGAAGTTTAGTATTGAGATATGTATCTGTTACAATTAATATGTGTAATCGGGAATTTCGTGTATTTCCTGAATTTTAGGAAATACATGAAATTCCTATTCTGCTTAGGAAATACGTGAATTTACTGATTTCAGTAAGGAAATACAAGGATTTACTGAGTTTTTCAATACTTTTTACACGTATTTACTGACTTTGTTTTGGTGAGATAATCTAAAATATGAATCATAAAATATGAACAGATGCACAGTATATTCAGTGTTTATATTGGTAAGCATATCGTGTGAGTAAATAATATTTTGAATAAACCTTTATTCATTAAAGTAAAGTGCCGCGCCACAGCATGATACGCCCGTCAAAAAAATACAATTTTCTTGAACAGTTTAGCGTGCAAGAAAATCATGTCAACCTTGATTCTATGATTTCCATGATTTTTCCATTCCTTCAAATATTTATCAATTCCCTGTGATGTAGGCATTAATTATAATAAATATTACATCATTCTATGCTGGTTGTGTAAGACCTTGTCAAATGCCCATCATATTAAACAATATCAAATTAGTCTTAACACCTTTATCTATACCAAATTAATTTTGAAAAGAAAAGACTGGCCATCAAATGACATATGCTATAAACTGACCAGCATTTCTTCTGTCTAATCCCCAAAGGAATAGGATACAGGTAAGACTGCTTGATCAGATAGCCTTCCTATATTGAACTCATTAATTAATCTTTAACTGGATGCTTGTCTACTCATTACTACCAAGAGATGAATGGGTCTGCAATTTTTTTTTTAAACATATAAAATATTCAGAGATTTTTTTTTGGTTGAGATTTAATGTCCGACAGGTTTTAATATTTGATTCATATGGACATACTGATTCCACTCCACCCTATATTTAAAAATTAGTTTTTAAATTAATAATATTATATAATATCAGATTAGTCTATTATGCAACATCAAATTAGTTTTAATTACTTTTCATCAAATTCATTTTAAAACTTAGGCTAGCCAACAAGAGCTATTTTTAATCCAACAGGCTTACCCATCTGTCCAATACCCAAGGGATAACACCAATGCTCTATTAGTTAGATCCTCACACTCAAAACTCATTAATTTCTCTCTAATTTGACATGCAAATTTCTGTTATCAAAATTCTTCTTGGCCAGTGCTTAAAACTCATTAATTTCTCTCTAATTTGACATGCAAATTTCTGTTACCAAAATTCTTCTTGGCCAGTGCTTGATAATTACACTCATGGGAGAGGTAGGATTTCTCTAACATATATTATGTTTGTTATAGATTGCTTTTAAATAATATATTAAAAAAATATATTTTCTTGATTTAACACTTTATAATAAGGACAGTGCAATACTCTTACATTACTTGGGATGCTTAAATGAATAGTAAAAAGACACATTTTTTAAAAAAATTTCACTTAAATTAAAGGTCACAGTGACCTTGAAATAAGTCGCGACACACCTTCTACCTAAGATGCATAAACTGGCCAGGTTTGATGATTGTAAGTCTTATAGTTTTCTAGTTATGGACCGGAAAGGATTTTTCCATATTTGGCTGTAACTTTTTAATAAAAGGTCAGAGCGACCTACTTTTTGTGCATGACACACCTTCTACCCAAGATGCATCAGATGACAAAGTTTGATAATCCTAGTCCTAATAGTATTAAAGTTATGAGCCGGAAACGAAAAAGCTAACAGACAGACGGACACGAAGCCTGTAACATAATACATCCCGTCTTAAGACGGGCGTATAAAATTTTTTTTTTAAAAATCATTACTTGTGAATATTAGCAAAGATAAACCTGATGACATACGTCTTTCATTTTTCTAATAAAGAATAATAATAAATTAGTAAAGACTAGTTCGAATACATCATTCTGATGTCGAAAACTCAAAAAATAAATACTTCCTTATGAATAGATTTGAATTGTGAATATGAAGGGATCCGTTTTACAAAGAAAATACCTGAATGAAGAAACACGAGTAGGGGTTATGTCCTGAGAAATATATATATTTTTAAAATTAATTGTGATTTGATGAAATGAAAAAAATTGTATTTTACTGATAAAATACATTTCCTTAGGAAAAACATAAGAGTTAAAGCAACATTTAATATGAGTGAGAAGAGGGTTTATGAACCTTAAATGGGATTTTAAAAATACAATGCACCGACTGTCCGAATCTTACCCAGAATTGGAAATTTACGGATTACCTACGCTTTGTAGAAACAATTCTTATTATTTGCGACTTCAAAAGCATTCATACTAGTATTACAGAATGTTTTAAAGCATATGTATAGTCATCCAGCTTAGTTCCGTAAAAACGTGTAAAATTGGCTAAAATTATTAGTAAATACACGAATTTCCTAGCTGTTCAGTAATTACGCGTATTTCCTGAAACGACCAGTAAATACATGTATTCCTGATTTCACATATTTACTGTAACATATCTAACTCACTGATCTTCCATTTCCCCCAACAAATCTGTCTACGAAAGCAGCTCAATAAATTAATTTTTAAAAAATTCTACGATTCTTCTAATCAAAGGGTCAATGGGTAGATTTAAATAAGAGCGAAATTGGAATTAACAGGTAATATGATAATACACACCTTCCCCCACCCCCTCTGGATCCGCCCTCCCGTCGTCCTATTCTGCTGGACATTGTGACTGTTTCTGTTGCACCAATTAGTTGTATATTCATTGGTCTACCTGCAAAACAATTTCAATTCTTGATTATTTTTTCAATTACTGTAAAGGTAATCATCATATTTTCTTCAATAGTATGAATCATTCTCATCTCTGTGGATTTATTGTTTTTTTTAATCACATGTAATAAAAATATATGCACCAGAAAATATTTCAAGCATAATTTCTGCAGTATAAGGAGAACTGCCAACATAATAGGAAAAATGGTAAAGTCTAAGAGGAAGTCCAGACGGTTCTTAGACCCCCAGTCATAGACATTTTCATTACTTTAAATTTATTTTAGATCTCAAATTAGCATAGAAATTGATTTCAATAACAAATTTGCATAAAAATGCTAAATGATAAGAATTGCAAGTTTAGTTAAGACTATGTCTTCAGCATTATGATGGTGTCAGATGCTGAACGAGGACAATTATATTTGAGACCCTCAAAAGGCCTTACGCTAAAGTCTTAAGTTAAGGGTTGGCAGCACTGATGAAAGCTAGCTTGAGGTTGAAGAAAGTATTAAAACAATTGACTCTCAATATCAGGTTTGCTCTTTACCATCTAAAGGAACATTATTGTACTGTTTCATGGCCTTCTGGGCATCGGGGCGTCTTTCAAATACAACCTCTGCTGTTCCTATAGATCGTCCAGATTTGTCGTAATGGACTGCAGCCATCTTTAGGGGACCAAATTCGGCAAATAACTCCTGTAGTACAAAGAAAGAATTGTTCCAGTGAAGAAAGGATTACAGAAGTAAATTCAAAATTGATATTGAAAAAAATACAACATATTTCTATTAAGATCATCCTTGACATTATATCAGTAATCATACGAGACCCCCTTGGTTAAACTGTTATAGTTCTGCACCTGTATATCTGAGTCATTTACTCCGAAGTCCAGGTTTGAGATGTGTAGTTTTCCATCTCCACTCCCACCACCACCGCCTCCAAATCGCTTGACTGGGGCCGCACCACCATCAAACATGTCATGTTGCCACACATCAGGTAATTCCTTGGGCTGAAATATATTATCAAGCAAATGTTATTTGTATACGGACAACACAAATTTATTTCATAATGATTAAAACTAACACTGCTCAAAATAATTATATAGTGTTGATTTTAATGCAGATCCTTTGTTTTATGAAACTGCAAAGATATTACTCATTTGAAAATTAACTAAAAGTTTCTAATTTTCTAAACTTGCATAGACTTGAGACGCAAAACATTTTCTTTACTTTTCATACCGACTCTGATATGACATGATATTGAATGAGACTACCACAAAACTTACACGACTGTATTGTTGAGATCTCCCCGTGCTATTGCGCTTCTGTACGCCACCTCTAAAGGCACCTCGGCCTCCTCCTCCACGGTTTCCCCGACCCCGACCACCGCGGGGGCTTTTGTTGAACCTTCCACCGCCACCGCGTCCCCCGCCTCGACCTCCTCCGCGCCCTCCCTTTTTGTTCTGTTTGATTATGTCATCTAAACTTAAGTCCAACTTATCTCCCATTATTGATCAATGGACTCCTTGGCCTTTCTTTTAATAAGATTTTTAAAAGTTTTGTTTGTCGCGTGGGTTCCCGGTTTTCTTTTATGACAAATATGGCGGCACTAATGAATTGTGGGTATATAAAATAATTTTAGAACAAATACAGACGGAAATGATATTTCCGAAATATTATATGACTTTTTTTTTAGTTCACCTGAGCTGAAAGCTCAAGCTTTTCTGATCTGTCTGATCACATTTTGTCCGTTGTCCGTCTGTAAACTTTTAACATTTTTGACTTCTCAAGAGCCAATGGACAAATATTGCCATAATTTAGAAAAAAATGAACTGAGTCTACATGTAATTTTCCAAAATTCAGGCGCGTAGCATCGTTTTTGAAAGTGGGGGGGGGGGGGGGGGGGGGGCAGCGCAGCCAGAGAAAAAAAGGAATAAGTTGCCCAAAGTCGAAAATCCTATTTCGTGGGGGAGGGGTGAGGGGGGGGGGGGTTGAGGGTTGAAGTAAACTTTTTCTCAGTATGCCCCTGAAAATTTGCTGTCACTACATGCAACGAATGCCCAATAAAAAGCTAGTGAATTGACTGTACATACTACTACATTACTTTTATGTTAATCAGCGAAGCTTAAAAAAGATGTGTTTGTGAAAATACCGATTCCTCCCACAGGTACTTGTGGACAGGACCCCCTCCCCCCCCCCATATTCAACCCCGGGGCTTATTTGACAATTTTTTTTCACAATTTATATTTAGTACACTTATTCAACATGTTTGCGATAGGAATAAATCGTCAAAATCCCAAAATAATCGCTCCACAAAAAAATACCCCACTATAATGTATATAGTGGGGTATTTTTTTTGTGAAGCGTTTTTTTTTTTGGGGGGGGGGGGGGGGGGTTGACGGTTTGTTCCTATTGCAAACATGTTGAATACGTGTACTAAATATAAATTGTGAAAAAAAATTGTCAAATAAGCCCCGGGGGTGAATATCGGGAGGGGGGGGAGGTCCTGTCCACAAGTACCTGTGATTCCTCCGTATCGCAGCTTATGGCGAGGGCTAGAGTTTCTCAAATGCAAAATTAACGCCAAGGTCAGTGTCAAAAGGTTAAAATTGTTGGGATCCAAAGGAAGGTCTTGTCATTGATTTTTGATTTGAACATATTAATTTTTTATTGTTTAACACAAAAGGATCGGAAACAAGTTCTTACAACATACACGTCTTGTCATTAGGAACACACCTGTGAAATAAGAAAGCCCCAGAACTATAAGGGGTTCAAATGTTATGAACAAGGTTAAAGTTTTTTGAAAGTGGGTCAAACTCTAACGTCAAAGTTAAAAGGTCAAATATATGAAAGCTCTAGCACCAACTTATCAAAAGTTTTGGCCTAGGTAATTTAGTTTTTAAAATGTTTAGTAAAAAGTGGTTAAGGTTAAGGTTAAGGTCACGTGGTCAAATTTGGTGGTTCAAAAAGAAAGGTCATGTCCCAAGGAATACACCTGTGAAATATAAAACCCATAGTCCCACCCACTTAAAAGTTATGGACAATGTTAAAGATTTGCGGAAAAACAGCTATACAGAGAGACATAAAAACAGACGGACGGACGGACAGGGCAAAAACTATATTCCCCCGTATCTTCAATTACTGGGGCATAAAGATACAATGCAGAACTTCAGTTGCCTAAATAAATTTTCACAGACATCAATTATTTTGTTCAAAAATATATTTGCCAATATGATGATTATTAGAAGACATATTTATAGACATAGACATAGACCACAGGCACCTGACGTTACTTATTTTTCTTTTAATAAAAAAATATACACATACCTAGTACATGTAATAATACATATCCCTCTTCATTAATATGCCTGATGCCTTCCTCCGTATTTTCCTTACATATTTAGATGTAATGTAATGTTTTAATAATGTTTTTTTTCTTCCAAAATTGTCTTTAAGTATTCAATTTGTTTTTCCCCATTCATTCATGTATACATGTATTTTGTGAATTCTTTTTATCCTAAAACCACAGGTACTTGTGGACAGGACCCCCCCCCCCCGGATATTATTTTGGGGTTTTGATGATTTGTTCCTATTGCAAACATGTTGAATAAGTGTACTAAATATAAATTGTGAAAAAAATGTCAAACTAGTGCTAATTGTAACGGGGACCGTTACAGATGTTCCCCAAACGCTCCCCACCTCCCTTTTGCTGCCATATTCCCTGTAATCTCTATTAAATAAGAAATACTTTATGGAATTTAGACTTAATGAGTCTTCCAGAAAAATACAAAATATATTTAAAAATAGGCATTGCACGCGTGTTCATTTGCGTAACGACCATATTATCTTGTCTACACTATCTAAAATTTTAATATACTTAATATCAAAACATTTAATCCATAAGTATTAAAAAATACACTCATTCGAATGTATTTTTAATTTTACTCATTTTGCGTGCACACACGTGCAAGCACGTGCATAATGACTACACCTTCTTTTAGAAGTCCCTTATATATATCTATGTTCTAAATCCCATCCTGTTTCTTTGAAAAACAAAGGAGTTATAGCCATTTGAATTTTCAGCCAATCAGATTGCAGCACACATACATGCGCATGATTTCATAAATTTTTATCTTTATCGTATTGAAGGGTATCTAAATGAATGACTATATTTTAAAATTCCAAACATTTCGTCAAAAAACAAAGGAGATATAGCCATATAAAGTTTCAGCCAATCAGATTGCAGCACACGTACATGCGCGTGATTTCATGATTTTTCCTATATCATATTTTTAGGATATCCCAATGCATGACTATGTTTCAAATTTCAATGCATTTCGTCAAAAAACAAAGAAGATATAGCCATTTAAAGTTTCAGCCAATCGGATTGTAGCACGCACGCATGCGCATGCTTTCATGGAAATTTTTATATATCATGCTGTAGATCTTTATAATGTAGGACTATGCTCAAAATTTCAAAAGATTATGACAAGAAACAAGAAAGATATTTAGACTTTAGTTTCAGCCAATCAGAGCGAAGCGCACGTGCATGCGCGTGAGATCTTGTATTTTGACCATGCCATCTTGTCTATACTACTAATGTATCCTTATATTATGAGTTTCAAAAAAATTCTTCCAAAAAAAGAAAAGTTACAGTAATTTCCATTATATTGGTCATTTCTCGTGTTGCACGTGCGCGCTCTTGCAAGCACGTGCGCGCAAAATGACCTTCGTTCGGCAAATCTACATAACATGTCTACTGACCCTAAAAACATTTTACCTTAGTCGGATGTATAGTTTACAAGATCACTCGAGGACAAAATTTTCCCAGGAATAATAATAATAATAATAATAATAACTAGTGCTAATTGTAACGGGGACCGTTACAGATGTTCCCCAAACGCTCCCCAACTCCTTTTTGGTGCCATATTCCCTGTAAGCTTCATTAAATAAGACAATTTCTGTGCATTTTGACTTTAACAACGTTTTCTTAGAAGGATACCAATTATATTCAAATTTTAGCATTGCACCCGTGCGCATGTGAATGCATGTGCGTTATGATCATATCATCTTGTCTACACTATCTACATATTTTAATATACAATATATTAAAGCATTCAGTCCAAAAGTATGAAAAATCACTCTTTCAAGTGTATTTTTCATTTCACTCGTTCAAAATGCACGCACGTGCGTGCACGTGCATGATGACCATACCTTCTTGTAGGAGTGCCTTATATCTATCAATATTCTAAATTCCATCCTGTTCGGTTGAAAAACAAGGGAGTTATAGCCATTTCAAGTTTAAGCCAATCAGATTGCAGCACACGTGCATGCGCGTGATTTCATGATTTTTTCCTATATCATATTGTAGGATATCCTAATGCATGACATGTTTTAAATTTCAAAGCATTTCGTCAAAAAACAAAGTAGATATAGTAATTTAAAGTTTCAGCCAATCAGATTGCAGCACGCGGGCATGCGCATGTTTTCATGAAAATTCTTGTTAATATATCATACTGTAGATCTTCATAATGTAGGTCTATGTGCAAAATTTCAAAGGATTATGACAAGAAACAAGAAAGATATTGAGACTTTAGTTTCAGCCAATCAGAGCGAAGCGCACGTGCATGCGCGTGAGATCTTACTTTTTTGACCATGTCATTTTGTCTATACTTCTAACATATACCTATAAAATGAGTTTCAAAGCATTTCATCAATAATTTAAATAGTTACGTCTGTATCAATTATATTGGACATTTCTGGTGTTGCACGTGCGAGCTCCTCCAAGCACATGTGCATGCACATGCTTTCATGACAAACCTTATATTACAGGCTGTAGATCTCCCTCATATATGACTATGTTCAAAATTTCAAATGATTTTATCAAAAAACAAAAGAGATATTGAGACTTTCGTTGCAGCCAATCAGAGCGAAGCGCACGTGCATGCGCGTGCGATCTTGCTATTTTGACCATGTCATCTTGTGCATACTACTAATATATCCTTACATTATAAGTTTCAAAACATTTCGTCACAAAATAGAGAAGTTATGGTTATATCCATTATACATTGGTCATTTTAAGTTTTGCACGTGCGCGCTCTTGCAAGCACGTGCGCGCAAAATGACCTTGATTCCGCAAATCTACATAACATGCCTACTTACCCTAAAAAGGTTTTACCTAAGTCGGATGTGTTGTTTACAAGATCACTCGCGGACAAAATTTTCCCAGGAAGAAAAATAATAAGAATAATAATAATAAGAAACAGAGTAAAAACAATATGTTCCCCAACTTCGTTTGGGGAACATAACTAGTTCTAATTGTAACGGGGACCGTTACAGATGTTCCCCAAACGCTTCCCAACTCCCTTTTTGTGCCAATTTCCTTTAAAACTTTTTTAATATGCTGAGTATTGCAGGATTTCATGAAAGAATTTTAAAAGCTACAATGATATCAACTTTTTGTCATTTTAACGCATTGAACGCAAAAGCACGTGCATGCACATGCAAGGTGATAGAATCAATAAAAAGTCAAAAATATTAATGTTACCGTTCTTCAAATACATTGTTCATTTTAGGCATTGCGCATGCGCAAGTGCATGCAAGCACGTCCTCGCATTTCATTTTGATAGTAGTATCACGTAGGAATCCATTATACCTATCATATTCTAAATTTTATCCTCTTTTGTTGAGAAACAAGAAAGTTATAGGCATTTAAAGTTTCAGCCAATCAGATTACAGCACACGTGGATTCACGTGTTTTCAAGATAATTCTTATATATCAGGCTGTAGATCTTCATAATGTATGACTATGTTCAAATTTTCAAAGGATTATGACTTAAAACAAGAAAGATATTGAGACTTTAGTTTCAGCCAATCAGAGCGAAGAGCATGTGCATGCGCGTAAGATCTTCCTATTTTGAGCATGTCATCTTGTCTATACTACCAATATATCCATGCATTGTGAATTTCAAAAAAATCCGTCAGGAAATAGAAAAGTTACGGCTTTATCCATTATATTGGTAATTTCACATGTTGCACGCGCGCGCTCTTGCCAGCACACGTGCATGTACGTGCTTTCATCAAATTTCTTATATATCATGCTGTAGATCTTCATAATATGTGACTAAGTTCAAAATTGCAAAAGATTATGACTTAAAACAAGAAAGATATTGAGACTTCAGTTTCAGCCAATCAGAGGAAAGCGCACGTGCATGCGCGTGAGATCTTGCTTTATTGACCATGTCATCTTGTCTATATTACTAATATATCCTTACATTATGAGTTTCAAAACATTTCATCAAAAAATAGAAAAGTTACGGCAATATCCATTATATTGGCCATTTAACGTGTTGCACGTGCTCGCTCTTGCAAGCACGTGCGCGCGAAATGACCTTCGTTCGGCAAATCTACATAACATCCCTACTAACCCTAAAAAGGTTTTATCTAAGTCGGATGTGTAGTTTACAAGATCACTCGTGGACTAGATTTTCCCAGGAAGAAGAAAAATAATAATAATAATAATAAGAAACAGAGTAAAAACAATATGTTCCCCAACTTCGTTTGGGGAACATAATAATAATAATAAGAAACAGAGTAAAAACAATCTGTTCCCCAACTTCGTTTGGGGAACATAATAATAAGAAACAGAGTAAAAACAATATGTTCCCCAACTTCGTTTGGGGAACATAATAATAAAGGGGAAAAAGAAACCGAAGAATAATAGAAGGGTCTTCCGCTGAAGACGGAAGACCCTAATAAAGGTAAAAAAGAAACCGAAGAATAATAGAAGGGTCTTCCGCTGAAGACGGAAGACCCTAATAACTAGATACGATCTCGTTGCGAGCAACGAGTGGGTCTTCCGTCCGATTCTCGATGAGATGAGATAAGATTTTGATTGAGATTTTTATTTGGATATAATGATTATATTTTAAAGAAAACAATTTTGCTTTCGTAATGTGTAAAAAGATATTGAACATTACTCATAAATTCGACTTTTGGGCCCTTTTGGCCCCTTTATGAGGGGTCTGTCCTTTTTTTCTTCAAATCATCGTAAATCTCTCATGATTTTAAACACTTTTTGTTCAACAACTATTCAGAGATTCTTTTTCGTTTTCTAGTTATTTGCAAAAGAAATATTTAGGGGCCAATCTTTTAACTCCTTAATGGGGACGTTTAGCATAAAATTAAAAAGGTTGCATATTGTTCAGAACATGATTTTGAACATCTTTTGTTCAATATTACTTATCGAAATATTTTTCACTTTTGAGATATAAAGCGTCAAAGATTTAGCATTCTGGCCTCTTTTGGCCCCTAATTATGGTACATAAATAGGTTCATTCTACATTCTATATACATCAATATGTTCGAGATTCCACATTACATGCTATACACGTATGCGTAGTTTTCATAAACAAAACAGCATGGTAAGAGAGGGAAGCCCGGTAGGCCAGCTACATTGACAGAGTCGACCAAAACGAAAAACGAAACCCAAAATAGGGCTTGAAATTCAAAAGCAACTAGTGCTAATTGTAACGGGAACCGTTACAGATGTTCCCCAAACGCTCCCCAACTTCCTTCTCGTTCCATATTCCCTGTAAGTTTCATTAAAGAAGGTAAAATCTATGCATTTAAGACGTAAACAACGTTTTTCCAAAAGTATACCAAGTATTTCAAATTTAAGCAATGCAGGCGTGTGCATGTGATTGCATGAGCGTAATGACGATATCATCTTGTCTACACTATTTTACTCATTTGCACGTGCACGCACGTGCATGATGACCATACCTTCTTGTAGGAGTCCATTATGTCTGTCTATGTTCTTAATCCCATCCTGTTTGGTTGAAAAACAAGGGAGGTATAGCCATTTAAAGTTTAAGCCAATCCGATTGCAGCGCACGTGCATGCGCGTATTTTCATGACAATTATTATATATCATATTGTAGGACATCTTAAAGTATGCTTACGTTTTAAATTTCAAAGCATTTTGTAAAAAAACAGAAAAGATATTGAGGTTTTTGTTTCAGCCAATCAGAGCAAAGCGCACGTGCACGCACATGCATGCATATGAATGGTGACCATACCATCCTGTAGGAGTCCTTTATGTCTATCTATTTTGTAAATCCCATGCTGTTTGGTTGAAAACCAAGGGAGTTATACTCATTTAAAGTTTCAGCCAATCAGATTGCAGCGCACGCGCATGCGCGTGATTTCATGAAAAATTTTATATATCATATTGTAGTACATCCTAATGCATGTCTATGTTAGAAATTTCAAAGCATTTCATCATAAAACAAAAAAGATATTGAGATTTCTGTTTCAGCCAATCAGAGCAAAGCGCACGTGCATGCGCGTGAGTTCATGCAAATTTGACCATGTCATCTTATCTACACAACTTATATATCTTTATATAATGAGTTTCAAAACATTTTATCAAAAAATATAAAAGTTACAACCATATTAAATATATCAGTCATTTTACTCATTGCACGCGCCCGCACGTGCATGCGAATGCGCGCAAAATGACCTTCGTTCGGCACATCTACACAACATGCCTACTAACCCTAAAAAGGTTTTAACTTAGTTTGGTGAACAGTTTCTGAGAACACTTCCGGACAAAAAAGTACCGGAGAAGAAATAAGAAGAAAAAAGAATAATAATAATAATAATAATAATAATAAGAAACAGAGTAAAAACAATATGTTCCCCAACTTCGTTTGGGGAACATAATAATAATAAGAAACAGAGTAAAAACAATATGTTCCCCAACTTCGTTTGGGGAACATAATAAGCCCCGGGGTTGAATATCGGGGGGGGGGGGGTCCTGTCCACAAGTACCTGTGCCTAAAACAAATGAATTTATTTTTTTTTTTAATGAACACACAGAGAGAGAGAGAGAGAGAGAGAGAGAGAGAGAGAGAGAGAGAGAGAGAGAGAGAGAGAGAGAGAGACTCGACTAACTAGTAGAACGAGTTATCTAATACTTTATTATGCTTTTCTTCCTCGTTGATGGTAGCGGTCCAGATTCAGAAACAACTACTTACTTCCGCATTTTATCTCAATTAATCTTGTTTGATGAGATGCACAGACTCATTATAAACAATGACGATAATTAAAGGACTGGTCAGTCGACAATGACAGTTCACAGGGAAATGATGGCGGTGGAACAGGACTCCAAAACCAGACTATCTGTCTTCTCCAAGGTAAGGCTAGTCAATGTCACACTTTGACATTGAAGAATTATCGATTCGACCTGGAAAAAACATTTTATCGAGAAATTCTTTTCAGTTTCCATCTAGAAAATGGCATGTATTTCAGGAATGTCTGAAGTATACTGTGTCATGTAAACATATGACCTGCAACATCAACAAAGTTTACTAGGGTCATCCCTGGTTTACATCTTTCACATGTGTATTTATATATAAGTGTTGATTTCACTATTAATGGTTTGAGTAATACATTATTACACATTTTGTTGTAGATTTCTATGTATATCTTTATTTATCTCAAAACAAAAAATGAGGAAGTTAAATTCTTTACATATTAGCTGTACATAATATTTCCATGCATATGATATGAGTAAGAAGCACAAAAATAATCTGATAACTTATCCTTGTCCGGTTTGTATTGAATTTTCCATGCCGAGGATCTAACGAAGATTTTAAAAGAACATAAATCAGATAATAATGTCCTGTTAGTGTTACTTATCTTTTCCATTGATAATTTGTACACAATGAGCATTCTGACCAAATAAAAACAAACTTTGTTGACTTATTTTGTCAAGAGCTCCGAGAAAAATGATACTCAAGAGGAAATCCAGTTGATGCATTAACAATGTAGTTTATATCAAATACCATTGTTGATTTGTATTGAATGTTGCTTAAAAATCTGAAGATAATCTTGAGAATGATACAAGATAGTGGATACAGGATGTAAACAGTGATCTGGACATATTGTACAAATAGGAGTCTTGTCTTAAAAAAAGATCTTTTGATGCCAGCATAAGACAGTTCCTGTGTGATTTAATGTAAACTTCCCTGTCTCTTGTATGTTTTTATAGCTTTGTAATCATCCAACAAAATGTTACCTACTATTAAAATAAAAATGTTCTACTTTTAGCATTGTTTAAATGCATTATATAATAGTATAGTTAGAATAATCTAACTGTGTCTCGGTACAAGCCCTCACCACAGTTAGAATACCACCCATATACTCGTAATGTAGCAAAAAATTGCAGAATCGCACCGAAACGATTTTGAAGGATACAAACGGATTTGCACTGAAAATAACTTGCAAATTAATCATAACAAACCTTTTTGAGATTGCTTATGCCTTTTATCCCAAAAAAATAATCCATATAAATACGAAAATCCAATTCATTTTCTCAACGTTTTTCTCTCGATTCAAATTACCTCCATGTTTACATTCGGAACTCTCTAGATTGTTCCTAGTAAATGCACTATGCGAGTTATCGCCCGTGTTTCTTTCTGCTACATTACGAATACACGGAACGAATTCTATCGTTAAACCGGGTCCGTAGGACAATATCAATTTAACGATAGAACATTCTATCTAATAATAGTATTGTTTTAAGAAGTTATATGGCACTTGTTCTCACAGGAACACTTGAAGACACTCTATCAATGCATGTACCATTTTTCTTTTATGACAGTTTTTTTAATACTTTATCATGTTTATTCAATGGAAACATGATAACAGATAACTTAGTGGCAATTACATCCGCAGATGTCCCCCTATGATAACCCTCACTAGGGGTGCCAGGGGCTCCCTAGATTGGATAGTAAAATACATGTATTTGAAAGATGTAACAATATTTAAATAAATAGAGTATATAATCATGATAATCATGTTGTATATTGACAAAATACTTAATATACAGATACAGAGAGAAATTATACCTTTATGTTGCTGGGGGAACACACAAGAACATTTAATATGACAGTTAAAAAATGAAGAAAACATTTTCATTTAAAAACTTCTAACATTAAAGAGGTAAACTTGGTAGTCTATCTTGTGAAAATCTTTTTGAAACTTTAGACTGTCATTGACTGACAACGTTATTATTGTCCCATGAAATTTCTCTCCTTATTTTTATACATTGCTGAAAAAAATACATTTGGAAAGGGAAAACGAAATGAATGTAAGCGATTAAAAACAAAAATAAAAATCTTTGCATCCTTCCTTTGCTTCCTGTTCCAAATTTGTTTTCCGATTTGTAACATTGTTATTACATGCTTTATGGGAGCTTAGACCTCTAATTGTGTATGGATAATTTACAAAATTTGTACATCTTTTATTTGGTTATTGCTTGTCCTCAATATTGTTGGATATATCTGCCATAAGTAGTCTCGTGTGAAATAATGTTCTGTGTCCTATATTTGCTGTCCTACTGTCTTCATCGCATACATTCTGCTTGAAGTGAAACCACATGATAATCTGAAATGGCAATTTGCTCATTGAATTTTAGTGTCCATGTCAAGTTACTGGGAAGGGAGGTGGTGTTTGAGGAGTAATTGTTCAAATGCTGAGGTTTCTTATGACCCACAAGATGGTTGCAGTAATGTAGTACTAGGACATACCAGTATATATGTAAATGTATAATAATTTGTAACAGGGCAGCCCAGGCCATGATTTTTCGATGTATGCTATCTTCCCTCCAGGCCTAAAAACAGTCCAGTCCATCCATGTTCATCTGATCTGTTTATTGCACTGAATATGTCTTCCTTTGGAGATGTTTTATACATGTAGTAGTTTTGAGAAAACCTTTCTTCCCCTTGCAAAGACTGCTGTCTTTCCCATTTAGAGCTGCTTCATTTATACAGTCACCAAGGTGGACAAGTTTGGTCCTCTATAGGGGTTGTAGAGGAACACCATATTTTTTTAAAGTCATATGAAATTCCAAGACAAGTCAATTTTTTTCTCATAACTGCTACATGTTAGGTCACCATTACATCTGTCAGTATAATTTATCCCTCAAAGCTTTGGGAATAGCTGTTACTTTAGTCTTTAAATCATTATAGTTTTCATTTCCTTTCTATGGAACTGAGTTTACTCTCAGTTTGAACAAGTTTTGAAGGAAATACATTGCTATGTAATGTTGATTATATAATATCTAATAATTTATTAAAACTATTAGGCTATGGTTTTACATTGTCAAATCTGTGTGGTTGAGTGTTGTTTCTACATAAGATGTACTGTAATGCAGCTGTAAAGGATTGTTTGTTCAACATCCCCTCAAGAATTTTTTACTCATTTTGAGATGCCTCCACATGCCATGGAAGGCTGAAAATGAAGACTTTTACTTGTCACTTACAGCCCTTTGAATTTTCTCTCTTACCAGCAGCATAACTGAGAAATTTCAGAAATATTGTGCTACTCACAGCATTTTTGAGAAGTTGTATATCTGAATATGATCATTTTTTTTAAACTGAGCAGCTTACTGACAAAGAAGTTGATCTGACAGAGATTTCAACATCCTATTGTTTTAAGCCAGAATCTGTATATCCTATGTTTCTTACAATAATCTTATTACCAAATAAAACCTGTCATTGGGTTACACTTTGAATGACAAATTTCATACCAATTAATGCTAATCATTGGTTTTCAAACTAAATTTTTAATACAGGTTACTCTATCCTCCTGATGAATACATAGGGCTTGGGTTGAGTGTGACTAGGCCACAGAGGGTGCTTTCTTCTCCTAGGCATCTGATCCCACCTTTGATGTTCCAGGGGTCCAGGTTTTTGCCCCATTAACTATTTATTTTGTTTACTAGATTTACAAGATTGATCGGTGTTTGTTTTCTGTATACTTTACATTCTTTGTAGGATTATCACCCTCTCTCTTTCGAGGTCTTGTATTTGGAATGCAATAAAAGCCATTAAAACTACTTATGAATTTCAGTAAAAGATAGGTACTGTACAGGCATTGTTACTTGTGGACAGATCTCTAGATTTAACACACCAGACTCTGATGACAAAATACAATCTTTGAGTTGGCTGACAGATAGTAGACATGCTTTTATGAAGTGTGACCTAGATTTTAGTGAAGTTTTATACAAGTGTATTTAATCCTTGTTAGCTGATGGGCTTGTAACACAAAGGAAATCCTCAGGATGAAGATTTAAATGGGTTAAATTTCACAGAAGGGATTTTTAAATGTATCTAAGAATCCGATGAAATATTTTAACTGTACAATATATTATTATGACTTAATATCTAGTATTGGGGAATTCCAATCATTTTGTTGACATGGGCTGAATCGTTAAAGTATTGATAGCCATTGAAGATTTTTAATTTGTCAGATAAATAAATAAAGTACCAACTGTCGACAGTAATATTTGTTTCCTGATATAAGGGCATTAAAAACCTGCGTAGATGATGTTTTACACATAATAGTCATTTTATGTACATGGACACGTACTTGATATGTTGATAAATATATGGATTTTTTGTGAATGCTATGAAATATTTCAATTCCCTTAACTGCTGTGTGCTGGATTAATTTGCTTATACAACCTGAATTTTTGTGTGTTATATAATTGCAAAAAAAAGCCTCTGTGAGAAAATGACATTACTATTACTGAGTAGACAAAAACTCGTAAGCTTATTGTGGTTAATTAAGAAGAAACAGCTATAGTGTATAATACCACATACTACCATCATAAATCTTACTGAAGATGGAGAATCGTCATATAAAACCTCCAAAGACTTTGTTTGTTAATAAGGTAAATCTTAGTATACTTACCCGGTACTAAGCAAAGTTTGTGTAATTTGTACACCACTAAACACTGATAAGCAAAGGAAAACTTGTATGTAAAATGTCACACATTTTGCTATAAGAGAATTTTTAAAAAATATACAGATTATATTCAGGTATAAATGATGTAACTCAAAACATATATGTCCTGCATATATTGAATTGACAATTTAATTTATTAAATGAAATTTCTGTAGGTCTGTTTGTTTGTATGTTTTTTGAAATATATGCCATTGCATGTACATACCGTATACATGTATACTTGAAGAAACTGCTGATTGTTATTCAGAGAAACTTATAACAGCATTGTTTATGTGTACAATAAAGGATTTTTAACTTGGACTATAAGAGATGCAGAAACTTATTTATTTCTGTATAATTTTAGATGGAGAAGATGATAGTTGCCATGGCAAAGTCAGACAACGATGGCATTGTTATGAGGACAAAGAAAAATCTATTTAGTGACCAAATTCAATCCTTCTCAGGTAGGGTCAGTCATCTAAAGCACAAGTATTGGAAGAATGAAATGAAAAAAAAATCTTTAGAAGGCAAGGCTCCATTAGAAAAATGAACTGTTTTTGCCTGGGGGTTTTTCACAGTAAAAGCAGGCATTGTTAATTTGGGTCTGTATATCTGTCTGTTACAAGTCTCTGCAAGATATCTTGAAAAGTCTTTTTAACTTTTACATTGAAAATTATAACTACATGTACTTACAAAAAATCTGTATTGATTTTGAGGTCAAAAGGTGAATGACCAAGTTCAGAAATTCATACAGTCTTGTTCAGTATGAACACAGATACATGTATAGAGATTTAAGCTTTTTTGGATCATGCCTATTTTATAATAATTCTTGGTATAAATTTTATGGTTGCAAAAACTACTTACTGTAAACCAACTTTGATTTGGGACAACTTTATTTCGTGATTTACCAGGGGTAAAACTAGTTCGCAGACACAGAGACTTGAAGGACAGGTTTGCAACGAGAAATATTCATGATGTAGTGCATATTAAAGTACAAAATAAGGAAAGGGGCATGTTGATCCCAGATTTAAAATGAAACATAGGTAATCAGAGATTACAGAGTTCACCTCAACGAATGTTGTCTTTAAGTAAGGCAAAGTCACACAATAAGCCAACAAAAAGTGTACATTCATTTATGCAGTTTTGATCTGATACTTTGGAATAGACCTATATAAAAACTTCAAATTAGTTCTTTGTCACAAAAATGTGATTAAAATCCAGCATCTGTAGCAAGTTTGAGAGTTTTCATCCCTTGATGCATCATTTGGGCAAGTTTGGTTTATATAAGCCTTATAGTTTCTTGGTAATAGAACTGCACCCATAACTTTTACCTGGTACATTATCTGAAAGATGTATGTTGAATTCAGCATCTAGAGCAAATCCATTAGTGTGCATCCTAAGATGTATCATCCATGCAAGTTTGAACAACATAGGGCTAATAGTTACTAAGAAATGAAACTTGCATGAAAATTTAACCTCTTCACTCATCCAAAAAAATGTAAGTCAGATTCAGCATCCGAAGCAAGCCTGGTAGAATGCAACCTTAGACGTATCGTCCATGCAGGTTTGGTCATTATAGGGCTCATAGTATCTTGGAAATGAAACCTGCACCAAAAACTTTAACCTAATCACTCAACTGGAAAATGTAGGTCACATTCAGCATCCAAAGCAGGCCTGGTAATACGCATCCTTAGATGTATCATCCATGCAAGTTTGGTCAACATAGGGCTTATAGTTACTTGGAGATGAAACCTTCACCAAAAACATTGACTTGTTCACTCAACCGGAAAATGTAGGTCACATTCAGCATCCGAAGCACATCTAGTATGCATGCATCCTAAGATGTACCATCCATGCAAGTTTGGTCATTATAGGGCTCAAAGTATCTTGGAAATGAAACCTGCACCAAAAACATTAACCTGTTCACTCAACCAGAAAATGTAGGTCACATTCAGCATCCGAAGCAAGCCTGGTAATGTGCATTCTTAGATGTATCATACATGCAAGTTTGGTCAACATAGGACTTATAGTTACTTGGAGATAAGACCTGCATCAAAAACATTAACCTGTTCACTCAACCGGAAAATGTAGGTCAGTTTCAGCATCCGAAGCAAGTCTAGTAGTGTACATCCTTAGATGTATCATCTGTGCAAGTTTGGTCAACATAGGGCTTATAGTTACTCGAAAATGAGACCTACACCCAAAACTGCACCAAAAATGTTAACCTGCTCCAAAAACATTAACCTGGTCATTCCTTTGCTGAAATTGCAGCATCTGAAACTTTGACTGGTACAATGAAACACATTAGAAACATCTTCCATGCATGTCTAATCAATATAGGACATAGAAGTACTTAAAAAGAAAACTGCTCCAAAAAACTTAACCTTAGCCCGGGACGCCGACACCGACGCCGAGGGTATTACATAAGCTCCCCCAACTTCGTTGAGGTGAGCTAAAAATGGAAAGATGGAGGGGGTTCCATCCTGAAAGTGCCTGTGCAAATTGTTTCCGGTTTAATATGTATTTAATTAAATATACATGTATTTGATAAACTTCAGATTTAAGTGGGGACATAAATTTCCTAAATTAGCCTGTAATGATTATCAATCATGTGATACTACTTCACTTTACATAGTACCATCATTAGTACATGTATCCTCAACTTCAAATTGAGTCTATAATAATTAATCATAGATTGTTTATGTATCAAAGAGTGTGTATATGTGCTTATGTGAATGAGGATTAACTATTTTCCAGTTACCTTCTTTTAAAACAGTCTCCTTTAATTTTATAATTGTCATTGAGCCTTTTGGGTGAAAAAAAATAACTGTTATACATGTTTCTTCATCATTTGTAGTGAATTCAAGATCTCAAGACAATAAACTGAGAAAAAACTTAATTAAATCAAACTTATAATTCCTATTTAATATATAATGTTTTAGATTCAAATTTATGAAAATGAAGGATTGTTTATAATTTAGATTCCAGCACTTGGTGAAAAATGTGTTTGATAATTAAAATTATTACAAAAGTTTTATCTAGTTTGAAATATTTAATGATCAGGTCTATTCTCAGCTTATGGTCTTAATACCTGGTTTTACTTTCCTCACCTCATTGAAAGATGAACTTGTAAAGAAATATTTTTTGAAAATTATGTAACAGGACAAAATTATAAAATTATGTGTATCTCTTCAAAGAGTAAATAGTATCTTGCCCTGTAATTTGACTCAGGCTAATTATATACGTAATGACTGTGACTTTCCCCAGTAACATACATGTATTAATTTACAACGATTTCTCTCTGTGGAACATCTGAAATCTCCTCCTATCCCACTCTTGTCACTGATAATGCTAGTAATACATTTTATAGCTTCTTCAATAGCTGTAGCCGGCTATTTTTCTTCCTTCTCACCTCTGTAGTAATTTGAGTTCTGTTTGACGTCAGAAGGCTCAATCAATTCTCAGTCAGTGGCAGATTATCATCAGTGGGGCTAAATATAGATCTGACATTACACCTATAATCAGCCTGATCCCGTAAATTAAATGTATCAGTTCGTACCTTGACCAGGTGTAGCATCAATATCACATCGGAACAATATACAGGTAAATGCTGCTGGAACAAGTCAGTAATTAATAATAAAAAGAAAATATCTATGTCTGCAAAAGACATTTAATTCTGAGGGAGGGATAGCAACAATAATGTAGGGCTCCTTTCTGATTTTAATACCCCCCCCCCCTTTAAAATCCTGAAATTCCTGCCCAAGCTATAAGCAATGGAGAAACACTGGAAGCTGATATTTGGTACAGAGATTGTTTTGATACAAGGCTAATTCATTACCTTAATGCAAGAACATCCATGCAGGTTCATGGTCACTGGAAGAAAAAGCATGAAATTCTTGTCTGAACGATAACTTTGTAATGATTTGGTATTTTTAAGCCAAAAAAAATGCACACTTTCTGCTTGCTCTGTTTAATCCTTAACTATAGTCTATAGCATTATGGTCTTGCATAATAAAGTGAAATTAAAGTTATCCTGAATAAACAAAGATTTACAGTAGATGATGTTTATGAACAAAAGAAGAGGTGAAGCCTAAAAAAAAAAAGAAATGCAAAAGATGCAAGATGTGTATATGTTCATCCCACATGACAGTCTTTTTTATTGATAATCTTTGCTTAAAGGGTTTTCACCAAATAGACACAAATGTCCTTTTTGTGAACAAATATGCCATTATAATAGAATGTTTTAAAAATAGTTCAATTAAATTGCAAGAGAACAATCTGAGCATTGTGAATGTTTTACTAATTATCATGATGGCATGGATTTATTTCATGATGACACAAAATGTTGTCATTGTGTGACATATACTCCATTTTTTTCTTCATTATTACCCCGGTATCAATTGACAATGAAATTATGTTTTCTACTAACATTTGTTAAAGAACTAACTATTCAAGACTTTAACTTGATTTGTTTAATGTTTATGCTACTTCTGCTGTGTTTTAATGTTTTTCTTGTTTTATTGCAGGCTGTGATATTGTGGACTGGTTAAAGAGAAAGTACAATATATCTGATGTCAAGGAAGCGTGTTACCTAGCAACCAATTTATGTCAATATGGCTATATATACCCAATAGACTTTAAACTCTCAAGTTACATTGTGAAATATGACAGATCTGCAGAATATAGGTTCCAGGTAAACAAGATTTTAATCCAAAATTTATCAAAATGAATACCGGTAATCATTTTACCATCTTTGTCATGCAGGTTTATTCCCCCCCCCCCCCTTAAGCACTTATGTTCAAATTTATGTACAAACTTTGTTTTTTACCCTGAAAGGAAAAAAAAATGCCTCTTTTTTTTTTACACAACTTGGTTAAGGATTCCCATATTTTCAGTCACCTATGCAGACATCTTAGTAAAACAATCAGGTGTCGACACTTTAAGACATGAATTTGCATGAATACATGTGAACACCATCTGTCTTTTTTCATACATGCTCAAATAGTTCTGCATCCTGGCCTGTGAGACTGTGAATAATATTATGATACACAAATAATGTTGCTGTAATATCTCTCATGGAATTAACGAGGCCGAGTCTAATTAATTCTACTTAGGATTTTGATAATTTTCCGTTAATTAAATTTTGCTGTTATATTTGTTACGATTTTAAAATCGAACGTTTACCACGCCGATTTCCTAGGGGAGCATCTCAAGAGTTGTCAAATTTTAATATTAGACCCTATGGGAATTTGCTGGAAAAGTGCAAATTTATCACATTTTTTCAATATTTTTTGTATTTCTGCCCTAGAGATTTCTTTTTTAGTCAAGTTGGTGAAGTTATTGTAAAAAGTCACCAAATTGTGAAATTTTTAAAAAAGTTGACCATCTAGGCTGGTCTTGGAATAAATAACAAAGTTTATTTTTTCAATGCCCTCTACCTCTGAAATTGCCAAATTGTGATATAAATACATATCGGTGTAGATGAATTATTGGCACAGATGAATTTATTTGGTAAAAAATATAAATATGTAGATTGCTGTTATATTTCTTTTGATGTTCTGTCATAAGTTTTTAGTATTATATCCATGGACGTCTTGAACATACAAGCGAGTCATGTCTCATTCTTTGGTGTCATGCATTGCTTACAAAATTGGAAAACAGTGATGTTGTTAGAGCTATTTCAGCATTTTTAGCTCTCCTGGTCAGAGACCAGAAGAGCTTATGCGATAGTAATGCGTCCGTCGTCCGTCCGTCTAATTTCAATATAACTTGGCACACAAGTGTCCGTATATCGGTTTTTGATTTCTGTCTGTAAACAATTTTTCAAAATGCTACTCCTCCCAAAGTTTTGGTCTGAACTCAATATAACTAGGCACACAGGTAGACTGAACTAAGATACATAATTCTTTTTATAACTTGGTTTTTGTGTATCGATTTCGATGAACAGTGTTGCACGTGGTTACTAAAAATAGAAATTTCTGTGAAATTCTTTCAAAATGCTACTCCTCCTACAGTTTTGGTCTAATTTCAATATAACTTGGCACACAAGTAGACTTCACTAAGATGCATAATTCTTTTATCGGTTTTTGATTTCGATGAACAGTGTTGATGTGGTTAAACACCTACAGTTTTGGACTGATTTCAATATAACTTGGCGCAAAAGTAGACTACACTAAGAAACATAATTCTGTGTATCGTTTTTTGATTTTGATGAATGTTGTTGCCGTGGTTACTAAAAATAGAAATTTTCGTGACATCTCCTATTTTGCCGTGGCACACAAGTTACATTAAAAATAGATCTGTTTTTGATTTCTATTTCTGTGAAATTTCTGTGAAATTCTTTCTAAACGCTACTCCTCCTACAGTTTTGGTCCGATTTCAATATAAATTGACACACAAGTAGACTACACTAATATACATAATTCTGTTTATCGGTTTTTGATTTCGATGAATGGTGGTGCCGTGGTTAATATAACTTGGCACACAAATAGAAATTTCTGTGTAGATTTTGATTGTTGCCTTGGTTACTTGTGAAAACGCTACTCCTCCTACTGTTTTGGTCTGATTTCAATATAACTTGGCACACAAGTAGACTACACTAAGATATCGGTTTTTGATTTCGATGAACGTTGTTGCCATGGTTACTAAAAATAGAAATTTCTGTGAAATTCTTTCAAAATGCTACTCCTCCTAGGCTACAGTTTTGGTCTGATTTCAGTATAATTTGGTACACAAGTAGACTACACTAAGATGCATAATTCTGTATATCGGTTTTTGATTTCGATGAACGATGTTGCCGTGGTTACTAAAAATAGAAATTTCTGTGAAATTCTCTCAAAATGCTACTCCAAATACAGTTTTTGTCTGATTATATTATTATGTGGCATGCAAGTAGACTACACTAAGAACTTAAAAAGACTTAATCAAGGATCATTATTCTATTTATTGTTGTTGTAAATTCCCAACTGCTTAAGTACTTTTCTCTCCCGTTGCTATAAGTACAAACCAGTAGAGCTTCAGCCTCGACAGAGACTTCTGGTTTCCTAATAATCGTCGTAATATCCCATTTTCAGACCAGAAAGCATTATAGATAATGTTAATTTTGTATTGAAATTACAATATTTGCTGCAGGTGTACTGTTGCACATGCAACTGCATGAAATCAAAAAGCTTCGCATTTAATTTGTGAGAAGTTTATAGAGCTGTGCACTGTGTACATCCCAAACAAAACATGAAAACTATGAATTTTTCTTTACACAGGCTCCATATTTCTGGCCATTCCGTAAAGATGGGACAGCAGATAGCATCAAATATGGTAATGTATCAAAGGTGTTACTCAGAAAACAAAGTACAGTAAAACACACTTATAGCGAACAAGCTTTTTTGGAATTAAGGCTTAAATAATTAAAGCTAAGTTATTTTCAATCCCTGTGTGGTTAAAATTAAACATATACTAAAATAAACTAACAGATATAACAAATTACATTTATAATGAAGCAAGATTGCTGGTCCCTGATACTTTGTTATGTGTGTTTTATTCTACGTGTAACTTCAATTTTGAAGAAATATATAGGTACATGTATTACTTTAAATAATCTATTGAGATATAAATATGGGTTAGTCTCCAATATGTATTTATATAACAATAGATCATGTAGAATTTTAAAAATGACATGTTATTTTTTATGTTAATATGTGAAACTGAACTACATGAATAATAAACATCTTACTAGAAATTGTATTTTAAACCCCTGAAATTATTTTTTCAAACCTCGATGGAATAAATGAAATGCTTTGCACACATCAAGCCCTTAAATTTATGACAAACAAAAAATTTGTAGACGTATGATTAACCTGTCTTGATACAGTACTAGATGCTTTGTTCAAATAGTGTTGTCTAGGGGAAATGTTTCAAATAAATATTATGCTTTTTCAAACTAATATACTTGTTTTCTTTACAGCAATCTATCTACAGAAAAGAAGTTTAAGAAATAAACAGAAACATGGATTAGAACCTTATGAACAGGTCTGTAAAATGGAAACACCCCAACCCCTCAAAAAAAAAAAACAGCGGAAGACTTCAAGAAGATTAGTAGCAACATGTTTCTGTCAAAGTGAACAAACAGCTTTTTTCAATTGCCTTTTTTTTAAATATAGAAGTAAAAACACCATATTAAAGATGACATTTCATTTTATCTCTGTAAAACTGATTGAAGTATTTTTAATCTGTTCTAAATGATTTCAAGTAGTTAATTGTGATTGTTCTTGATTGAAGAGTACATGCAGTTATAATTAATTAGTTGTATCTTGGATTTGAGCTAAATTTCCTGGATCCTAGATGTATAAATAGTCACCTGGTACCTAACACTTCATGCTGTTCTATCATTGATAAAACCAACTAGGCCATATTAATTAAATTCATAGTATTTTGATACGTTAATTATAAGGTATATTAGATAAAAAAGTTGCAGTCAATAGGTAAACATTTCAGATAAATGTTTTTCGCATAATTTATTTACTTATAATTAAATACTTTTAAAATGTATGTGTGGATCAAGGAAGTTGAGATACTGTGACACGATATTTGTCAGGTTCCTGTGGGTGCTTGATCAATAGGAAGTTTACCATTACATGAATGAATACATGTACATACAGTACTTATGTAGGCGTGATAGTACCACTTTGTCCAAAAATGAAAGTAGATGAGATGGGCAATTAAACAGTTCTAAGAACCCAGACTTTGTCTGTACTTTTATAATGATCTGAGCCCAGTACACTGTAGTACTTGTGTGTACAGAGATTATGAATCACTTATTTTAGAAATCTGAATTTTTTTCCTTTCTTGTGAATACATGTTATGATTCCCAAGACAGAAAATATTTGTATTTGTAAAGATATACAAGCTGGGTGTTGATACTGCTGAACAATTTATTTGATAGAAATACTGTAAATATATAATAAGTGAATACACTTATGCATTTCTAAAAGTTTAGGCTGTGTAAAATAAGACATTCTGTTCGTAAGAAACCTTGTCAGCATGGGCATGCAATAACAAAGAACCATAGGAAAAATTGTGAAGTCTACTGTTTTCTGGGCTTAATACATGTTCATGTAGTAGGACTAATAGTTCATGATTAAATTGAAAAACAGCAAAGAAAGACTAAATTTTTATTGGATGACGGATAAGATTTCAATTAAATGGTTGATTCTGATATTATCATTAACAAATTTATTTCATATATTGCAGAAGTTTGCAAAATGCAACATTCACAAATTAAAATTACTGGCTATCTTTAAAAGATGAATACATTTTATCAAATATATATGTATTGTATATTGCAAATTGTTGTTCCTGCAGTTAGTGTTTTTCAGAAATTTATTACTTGCATAAAGTAGTGAATACCCGGTACTGTAAATTTATGTCACCCTTTAAATAAGCTTTTGTACATTGTATTTTAGGAGGCATTTGACAAACTACTGAAGGTGTTTGCCGATAAGAAAGAATTTATAGAGAAGCAAGCAAAAGAACAAGTCAGGTAAATCTGATACATTGTATTTTGTTTTGTCAACCTAACTCACAGGTCAATCCCAAGGGCTATATATGGAGCTAAAATGTTACTAGTATGTATTTCCGAATTTACCCCAGAATTGAAAAAAAACACTTTGTGTAATGTATTATTAATAAACTCTCAGAGGGGAAAAAATACTGATTATTGACAAAAATATTCCAGTTTAATAATAATTGCTTAGTTTTAAATAAAATATATCAAATCCAGGTTTCTTAAAAGGACATGATTGATTAAACATTATTTAGAAAAATTAAAGTTCTTCATTGAAAAAAACTTTGCGAAAAATTCTTTTGCATCATTTGATAAAAGAACATAAAAATCAAAGGTCCACAGGCAATTTACAATACATAAAAAGTAATTCAAACACAAGCAGTACTGTAGATTCCTAAGTATATGCATGGAATTAATTATTGCATAATTTCGCGAGAAGCACTTCACGGGAAATAAAATTACTCGCCTTTATTTTTATGGTGCTTAAATCTACGTAAAATCTCTTGACCAACTGTCCATTCGTGAATTATTATTCTCGTGATTTGACATTGAAGGGTCCATTCACGATAATAAGTACTCGCGAAAAATAAGGAATCTACAGTAGTAAATAAAAGACATTGCAGTCAAAGAAAATCACACACAAATATTTATAGAAATAAAATCATGGAATTGGCAGTATATGTATGCATGCTGCTACAAATGGCTGTGGATGTTTTCCAGAATGACCAAAGCAGGGTTATATTTTCATGGCCATCAAGCAGCTTCTGTTAGGTGAGCAATGCAGGCCTGCAGGCCACACCATGTGCTCTCAATTCTCAATCTCCACTTTCTTTTTTTTCATATCAAAACATACAGGCATAGGAAACCATACAATTTTTGGATCTTGTTATTTTTTTCAGCTTTTAGTAGAATATATGCATAGTACATGTTCATTGTTCATATAGCTAGCATTGGTTTAACTGTTATAGAGTTTTTTTTATTTGGCATCATCAAAACTTGAAATTATATATAATCAGTGATTTTTTTTAAAAACTCAAAAAGCAAATTTTGAAAATATATGAGAATTGATAAACTTGGTCTAATTGGTTAATAATCCTGAATGTATTAAAGGTTTAAAAATGGTCGTGAACTCAGGTATAGGGATTCATGACATTTGCACCATTATAGATCATGTACTTGTTTCTTGAGATCTTGACCCTTGGCAGTATATTGCAGGTATATACATAAATACTGCTTGAATGAGAGGTGATATTGGCTAACCTTTTTCAGTAATTTTCTGATGATTGTAATCTAAATCATTTATTTACCATTGTTTACATAAATATTCCCACATAATTTATATCACATTAAAATGTCACACCATGTAATCAAATTCACTGCACAATTAATCTTAAGATGCCATACTTAATTGAATACAAAAATTTCTCTTTATTTTCAGAAAAAAATTCTATAACCAAATGTTTTTAAAAAAATCATCATAACACTAATTGAACATTAATTGTTGCATTTAATAGCCAATGCAATACCAATACTTTTAAAACTAATGTTTGTGTATGTAAAAAAAAACTTTTGTATGAATTTTATTTTTTAAAAAAGCACATTTTTCAGTTTCTGTATTTTTGTTTATTTTGAAGATTATTCTATGATATTCAAAAGTGTCTGATTCTTGCTTTCAATTTTACTTTAATTCTATTGAAGGTTTTGTTGTTTAAACAAAAAATGCTGTTTTGAAAAAAATTCATTCAAAGATATATTTTTTTTCTAGTGAAGCAAAGAGGCAGCGAAGAACAGAGAAGGTGTTGTTAGATCTGCAGGAGAAGGCATTCTGGAGAGTTCATCGACCTCCGGTAATTATTTACTGTGAAATCACTATAATTCGTGGGGGGCTCATTTTTAGGTCACCTGAGTCACTCAGGTGACCTATTGCTATCCGTTTTCGTCCGTCGTCGTGCGTTGTGTGTCGTGTGTTAACATTTGAACATTTTCAGCTTCTTCTCTGAAACCACTGCACCAATTTTAACCAAATTTGGTATACAGCATCTATGGGTGAAGGGGAACAAAAAATATGAATTTTTTGGTCCCTGCCCCAGGCTGCCCCCCTGAGGCCTGAGGGGTGGGGCAATAACCACTGAAATTAATGAAATCTTTACAAATCTTCTTCTTTACTCCTGGACATCAAGCAGTCAAACTGTTGGCATGAATGTAATGAGCATTGAGTCCTCTACTAAAATTGTGAAATTCATGGCCCCAGCATCAGGGATTCCAGTGCTAGGGCAGGGCTATATAGACTATATAGTGAAAATGCATTATTTCTTTGAAAATCTTCTTCTCTTTTCCTGGGTATTAAATAAACCAACTAAGTAAATAGTTATGATGAGCAAGAGTGCCTCTACCAAATTTGTGAATTTTATGGCCCCAGGGTCAGGGGTTTTGGTGTTAGGGCAGGGTTCTATTGATTATATAGTGAAAATGTATTAAATCTTTGAATACCTTCTTCTCTGCTTCTGGGTATTGAATAAAACAACTAAGTACATAGTTATGATGAGCAAGAGTGCCTCTACCAAAATTTTGAATTTTATGGCCCCTGGGTGAGGAGTTCTGGTGTTAGGGTGGGACTCTATTGATTATATAGTGAAAATGCATTAAATCTTTTAATATCTTCTTCTCTGCTTCTGGGTAATAAGCAGATGAACTACCAATATGGTTATGATGAGCATGGGCCCATCTTCCAGAATTGTGAATTTTAAGGCCCTGGGTCAGAGGTACCATAGAGGGGGGACTCTACTTATATACTGGAAATGAAGTAATTGTTTGAAATCTGCTCCTTAGTATTAATCAAACCTTTTTGATAAACTATGGTGCCTTTTAAAAAATTGTGCAATGTGTGGACCTAGGGTCAGGGGTTCATATGTGGTAGGGGCACTACTGATTATTTCTGAATATTGCTGATTAGTTGAAATGCATTTTTTGTTCCCCTACCCTGCCTGTGTGTATTTAGTAACCAAATTAAGCAATTGCTAATTGTATAGTTATGATAAGCAATGGTGCCTCTTGCAAAATTGTGAATGCCATAGTATCTAGCTTAAAACATGAGCCAAATTCAATCATTTGAAAGTTGTTGCGTGATGCTCAGGTGACCTATAAGGTTCATGGGCCTCTTGTTGTTTTTGAGGTATTAAGAGACCCACAAATTCATGAACACCATGAAAATTTAACATTTAATGCCCTATTCACACGGAGAGCTTAATTCGAATTAAACGTAAAGTTACTGCGAATTAGCTTCGCTTAGCGTTCACACGGAGAATTTAATGCGAATTATTTTAATTCGAATTAGTTTACTGCGCATTAAATTACTTCGCATTAGCTCCGTGTGAACGCTAAGTGAAGCTAATTCGAATTAAATTTTGAGGCATGCGTAATGGCAAAATTAGGTCAAATGCCACATGTCCGTGGTCAGCTTGAAGTATTTGTGCTATTTTTTAGTGAAAAACTAAGAAAAATTGTGTTAATCACTAAAATGTGTGTACAGACACTGTAACATTATGTCAAATGCATCTGCTCCTGCATAAGGTGACGTGATTTGCAAATGACGTCATAATAGCATTACTGACGCCTGGCCGTAGAAGGAGAATTTTAATTCGCATTAGTTTACTTCGCATTAGCTGTCGCTGCGAATTAAACTCTCCGTGTGAACAAGGCATAACATTCTAAACTATGAACAGTTTTTCATTAAGGAAATCGAATCCCCACCAACCAATTCTTTTTTCTCAAACCACGAAAACTTGACTTTTGGGATGAATTTTAATGAATTTATTACCCTACCATATTCAAGAATACTTTAATCATTAAGAATTTCCCCAGGTTAATTTGAAGGATAATAATCTACCTTGCTGTATATGTATTGAACTAAATGGTAATATTTTATAATGGTAATATTGTATAATGGTAATATTGTAATTTAAGCCTGGTTGTATAAAGACAATGGAAGAGGGACCAAAGAGGTATTTCCAGCCAAGTCAGATGGCAGCGAGGCGAAGAAAGAACAAGGAATCATATAAAGCTGAGGTAGGGACTGGAGAGAGAACCCCACTCCCCTACCCCCCCCCCCCCTCGACCTTACAAACTCATTCACACAAAGACTTTAATTTATGTAAAGAAAGTTATATTCAGTTGACCTTCAGTATCTTAAACACCAATAACTCAAATACCATGGATATGTCAAAACATTTTCTTTCAAATTCCTAATTAGTTATTTTTGAAGTATTTTACCCTTGATATTTTGAGTATTCTGATGTCTTTTTTTTTGTCCCATTGAGGATGAGTTCATAAGATTTTTAATGTTGTATAAATGTATGCATATTCAAGTTCTGCTTGTTGTTCCAGATTAAGTTTCTCCAGAGAGCCCTAGAGAAACCCAAGCCAAAACTCTCTAAGGTCCTTGAAAGGTAAACTGTATATACATAATAAAAATATTTTTACCTATTAAAAGTTTCTATCCAACTTCAAAACATGAAATACCCTCTTTATATATGAGTCATTGTTCTTTTCCCTCAGTTACCTGACCTGGAATGAGCAGTACCAGGAATACGATCCGTTTCTGGATCAGAGTGCAGCGCTTCCATCCAATCCCTGGATCTCTGATGACACGTTGTTCTGGGAAGCCAATGACAACTTGTAAGAATACTATTAATGTGTAAAGAATGTACTATGTTAAGAAGATAGGCTTCTTATACAGCAGTTGAATGACTTCAGTTATATAAACTGGTTCTAAATTTGACTCTGGAAACTCTTCTTACTGAAGATGTTTTTTGTAAAGTGTTAAAGAAAGAATTCATTTTTCCCCCTATATTTCTGCTCTGATACACCCTTTGCTTTTGTAGGGTAAAGATTCCCACAGAATTAAGAGTCAAGAAATGGGGGATTAGCTTTTACAACCTGATTAAGGATGAGCAGGGGCTGACGGAGTTTGAGAGCTTTCTACATACGGAGTACAGTCAGGAAAACATCAGGTTCTGGAAGGAAGTGGAGGATATGAAGTACGGACCTCGGTCACTGGTTGTGGCCTCTGTGGACAAAATCTACAGGTATATATAACATAACTTGGCTACTCGCATAGTAAACTTAATTTTTATCAGCCCATGTGAAAAAATTTTAAACTCCCGATAACCCATTGTGGTACTCAGCAACAATGTAGCTTAGGCATAGCAACAAATTACTTGAAAAAAATACAAAGAAGGATTGTCACATAACAATTATTTGCATCTTCTATAAATGTTATTAAAATGTATATGACATCAAATTTTCATCACTTAATGGCTCAGGTATTTCCAACCCAATTGGGAATAAACTTGAAGTTCAAATCATGATCCCAATGCAGGGGAGTCTATAACATCAGAGACCCTATAATTTGTAATATTTCATGAATATGATTTTAAAACAGTTGAAAAAGTAAAGATGAAATTATGTTACAATATTCAGTAAACTTCTTTTAAAAGTCTACCTTTACTACATGTACATATTGAAGTTCAGGTGAAGTTTAACTGACCAAGGGAGTTTACTTAAAATTGTATTATCATATCATGCTTACAGCAGAATGCTATGGGACATTCAAGAGTTGTACAGAGCTTCGTTTGCCCAAACAGTTTTGTCTGACATATTGGATATGAATTTAACAAAAGTTATTTCCTGTTGGTCACTATATTGGAGGTCAACATGCTTAAATTTCTCAATTTTCAAATGCCAAGTAGTCATGGCCATAGTGACTATAAAGAATGCATGACCAAAGGAAATAACTTTAAGTGAAAAGAACTATATGCGGTATATTGCATATGTTTGCCCCCACAAAAGTCAAATTTTGAAAACTTCCTGAAATGTGCTGAATTCAATAAATTGTACGAGAAATATAAGTTAACAGAAAATATTATAGTTCCAGAGCAGTGTATTCACAATTTCTGTTTTTATGACGTCACAAACTAGTCCGATTTTATATCCTTTTTCAGAAAGAGGACAAAATGGACAAAATTTCAACAATTTAAGCTTTAAAATTTATAGAGCGCATGTGTGTTCAGGAACAATATTGACATATTTCATTGATATTATCATTCTACACATTATATCAAAATATTTATCCTGAACACACATTTGGTCTTTTATTTAAAATATCGACGAAATATGTACATTTTTCTGCAAAATTCATAAAAAACTGAAATTTACGTCATATTTGTGACAACATTACGTACATATGACGTCATTACTTATGAAATTATTCAGTGCTTTGAAGTCAGCATATACTCCCCTGTTTAAGGACTTAATTAAATATTACTCCATCAAAGTTTGATTTTGGGGGGCAAATGTTGGTTAATACCGCATATAGTTCTTTGTCAAAAGAACACTTGTAATAATAGTTGAAGACAGAAACTTCAGGCATGAATAGTTTTTGAATAGACAATGTCTAAATACAAAAGATATTTACATATATTCAAGGCACTGACAGGTACAAGTATAGTATATGTGAAGAGAATATTTAGGTAGGCATAAAGGTAAAAATAATTAGGTCATTATAATACCTTTGTGATAATAAAAAACATAATACTAGACACTGACTGTGATAACTGGCACATCTAGTTCAAACCTTATTAATATTTTTGGTGACTTTTTTTTTTCAACAGAGAATATTTAGCTAAAGGAGCACCAAAAGAAATAAATATAGACAGCAAAACATTAGAAACAGTCAATAAAAACAGAGAGAAGTTGCATGGTAAACCAGATGCTTTAAGGTACTTGTATATTTCCTATTGTTTTGATGCATTTCATTCTGATGGAAATAGTTTATTAAAAATTAAAATATATATACTTAGATTTTGTTTCTCTACTTCCATTTTGCGATCTTCATGCATAAATATACTGAGAAATTGCATCTGTTATGTATTTTTTATAGGGATATCAAATCGGTCAATATTTGATAATCGGTTACTTGGACGTTTTTCCGATCGAGTACCCAGGTACTCAGTAAAACTAAAATTGTAAATACATGTACAAGTCTGTTAATTTAAACTCAGTTAAGCTATGTTATACCCCAATGTTGTTTTTATTATGTTTTTTGTGCATGTTTTAAAAAAAATAGTTAACCGGGTACTCGTTGACATCCCTAATAAAAAAAGAATGTAGAATCCGAGAAAAGATTCTTTAGACTACTGTAGAAGTACTTTTGTCCGCATGGTATTAAAATACGCTATGTACGTGGTCTCAAATTTTCCGCAGAAATTTGCCAAGTGTACTTAAAATAAATGTAAGGCATATAGTGACAGTCTCGGAAATTGGAGTAATTTTCTACCAGCAGATTGAACAGAAATTGAGATTCCGTGGAATTATGACCTCGCGGAAAAAAGTACGTCTACAGTATATGTTAAATGTATTTTTGACATATTTGAAAACCTTACAGGTATATATTTGACCCTGCCCAGGAACATATATATTTACTGATGAAGAAAGATAGTTATCCTCGATTCCTAAGATCTGACCAGTATCTGACCCTGAAAGAGACTGCCCATAATCAGCCAATAAAGAAAAGGTAAAGTATACATTATTTTCAACAGCCTCACATAGTTAAAAATAGTTTTAAACAGTAGAATTTTTTTTACCTTAATTTTTCTTGCAAGATTTATTATACGCCCGTCTTAAGACGGGACGTATTATGTTATAGGCTTCATGTCCGTCCGTCCGTCCGTCTGTCCACTCGTGTCCGGCTCATAACTTCAATACTATTAGGCCTAGGACTATCAAACTTTGTCAAGTGGTACTTTTTGGGTAGACGGTGTGTCCCGCACAAAAAGTAGGTCACTCTGACCTTTAATAAAGATGCTATGGCCAAATAAGGAAAAATCCTGTCCGGCTCATAACTAGAAAACTATTAGACCTAGAGCTATCAAACTTGGCAAATATATACATCTTAGGTAGAAGGTGTGTCGCGGCCTATTTCAAGGTCACTTTGACTTTAATTTAAGTGAAATTTTTTAAAAAATTAATTCTTTTAAATTTTCAATTTTATAATCCTAAAAAATGTAAAATTATAGTTGTATCCTTGTTAAAAAATGTTAAATCAAGTAAAAAACTTATTTTTTCATCATATACTTTACAGTAATCTGTGGGAAATGTTAATGTTGTAAGAGGAATGCAGTTTGTCCCATGGGCATAATTAACAAGCACTGGTCAAGAAGAATTTTGATAGCAGAAATGTGCATGTCAAATTAGAGAAAAATTAATGAGTTTTGTCAAGAGTTAACTGGAAGACCATCTCTGACCATGCAGCTGTTGTCTCTTGGGAGTTGGGCAAAAAGAAATGGCCTCATAGTTGCTTGTGTTAATTAAGAGTTCTTGATGGCTAGTTCAGATAAAGATCTTTCAATTAGATATTTGGTGTAATGTAATTAAAACAAATTGATGTTTTAAAATACAGTATATGATTAAAACTAAATTAATATTGTATGATATAATAAAAACTAATTATACATATTTACATTGAAAAAAAAATACATTTCAATTTTTATATATTTGCAACAAATTGCAGAGTGCCATGTCTTATAAAATTTTATAGTCTAAAGAATAATTTCTGTTTGATGTTTTTAGACTGTAGCATTTTTAATCAATCATAAAATATACAATAAAAAAAGCAGCAGATGGATATTTGTTAAGCTCGAACTTAGCCAGTTTAGAATTATGTGATGTATTATTTCTTATAATTATTGCCTACACTCTTAGAGATGTATGTACAATAAATATGATAAGGAATTAATGGAAATTAGATCATTGAAATCAGTGTCAATCTTGTAATCTTGAACTTGGTAATCAAAGTTACCTGATTTTCTTGCACTCTAATACCAATTTATGATCATTATTGAACAATATTTGACGGGTGTATCATGCTGTGGCGGGGCACTTTATTTTTAGAGTAAATTTTATTATTTAGTGTACATTTACATGTGTATGTCTGTTATTTCAATGATAGATTACTGATAGTATTGCTGTTAAACAGCTTATTTTTCATTCATATTAACTCCTATGAAAAGATAATTCATGATATGATCATATTAATTATCAATGTCATTTGTATTAACTCCTATAAAAAGATCATTCATAGTATGATCATATTGATTATCAATATATGTAAGTTTTAATTTTAGTCAGTGTCCTTTGGTATGTGAGGGTTTACTACTTGGTAAAACATTTTCATTAGCTGGTTTAGGTTTCACATCCACACCTTGTGTTTGCATTATTGGTTCATATGTACCGGTAATAATTCTGAGTGCTTTCATTTAAAGGGAACTTTGTTGATGGTTGAATTTTTTTGTATTTCATATTTCATTTAAATGTAACTGAATAAAGTAACTGAGATTTTTGATGAAGTACTGGTTTGTAGGTTCTTTGGGTTTGGGAGTGGAAAAACCCAGATCAAGCGACAGACGCCAAGCCCCAAGTTACCTCGCCGCAGCACGTCCAGTGAAAGAGAGGCTAACTCTGACATCAGCGGGGATTCCCCCATCCATTCCATTACACCAATGCATTCCTACAGCACGGGGAATCTAAAGGACATGGATATAAAGCAAACCCCCACCTCCTCCAGGTAGGTGACTGGATAAACTTAATGCATGGGCAACATTCAGTTGTAGAGAAGTTTGGATATAATCAGTGGTAGAGAATGGTAGAGTGTGGCTAAAAAAAACGTGTGTTTATTAATAATTCAAACTTTATATCTCAAGTCATAAAACTGAATACCTTTATAATTATGTGTTTTATTGAATGGTATTGATAATTTGCCAAACTCTAAATGGTTTTTTTTTCACCTCTGTTTATCCTGATCTTTGAAATGCATACCCATTCAGGTCTACTTGTAGAAAATGGTGCAGTTAAAACACATACTTATAATCATATATTTTTTTTTTTTAGAACAATATCATATTTTCATGTTATTTGATTTATGAATGGGTATACATGTACTTTTCTGAAGTGTCATAATTTAGCTGTATAGCTATAGAATTGCACACTAATATTCCAAAGTGCCCATTCTTTTTGTCTAATTCTCTCAAAGAGCATGTGCTTTTACTCAGATTTCTAAAGGGCTCAGATAGCAGCCTGCTAAAGAGGTAAGGCTATGTGGCTCCTGTTTTGTTCAAATTCCTTGTTTGTCAGGTCTTGTGGTATGGCTTTATAAAGATTTATTCACACAAGGACAGAATATTTACATATGTCATTAATGTCTCCTCACCAAGTAAAATATAAATTTAATGTTGTATGCATTACCGTTACTTTTTGAGAACACCCAAAAGTAGCTAACACGTACTAGATAATATTGTGATGATTAACAAAGAAAAATAAGAGAAAGTTCTCTAGTTAACAATTAGATTTGTCTGAAAAGTTTGTACTAAAGATGTCCTCACTTTTGGGTGTTCTCAACACATGTCACATGCATGTTAATGGTGTTCACTTGATATTGTGATATTTGTGTTGTGCCCTCAGATCTGAGCAACACAAGGTAAACAAAACACATTTAAAATATGTACTTCAAAATACATATTAATATAATCTACCACATTGTAGTTTGCATCTAAATTAAGTTATTGAAAACTCATTCATATTTTCACGCATTAATATATGAATTTCTACCTTTAATAAGGTTCTATGTAGCGTTGGAGTAATCACGCGTAAGTGACTTATCACACAACTGATGTATTTTGTCTGCTTTTCAGCACAGTATCCATAATATTTTCTCTACTAGCGTTATGTTAGAGATTTATACGTTATATGCTTTCAGGAAGAAATTTAACCTTTTGAAGGTTTGATCTGGATTCTTGAATCCTTTTACTATATATAAGTCTGGTGTGGGAGAATTCACATACAAAAATATATGCTTCATTCGTACAATTCCTAATGCAGCTGTGGGGCTTTAATCTTATAGAGAAGGAGTAATATAGAATTATTTAACCAGGAGATTTCAATTGTAAACAGAGCAGTGGAAGTAGGGAAGAACTTATACCTGTGCTGAGGAATGCTTTTTTTCCCATATATCCTCCATTATTGACCAATCACAGCCCAGTAACATCTATCATTGACCAATCACAGCCAAGTAGCTTCTATAGATATTTGAATTTTTTTTATTTAAAGACCTACATGTAATGAATTTTCATAACATGACATTAAAACTTGTATTCAATTCAAAATGTTAATGAATAAATTTTAACTTTAATTAAGTTTAAGAGAAAAGTATTAATCCACATCATTTTATATAAAATAATGAAAGAGAGATTTGACTTTCGGTTATTGGGCTGCTGATTGAACATATTAGCCAGATATAAATGAAACTTGGTGTGAAATGTTGACCTCTAACCCTTTCAAGTAGATGTTAGGTTTTGGAATATGTTTGTTAGTAATGGAATATTCTATTACCATGGTAGTTAACATATTGGTGGGCTTAATTAGTACAGTAAAATATGCTTATATCAAAGTGTCAAGGAAACAATTTGCCTTACATTTAAGTTATATCCATTAAGCTCAAAATTTAATTTACAACCACTGGAAATAAAATAAATGTCCTGTAAACATGAGTTCATTATAAGCATGTTCAGTATAAGCATGTTTTACTGTACAACCTAAGGTGTCCTGAAAAAGGTAGTTAACAAAGGTTCAGTTATTTAAGAATGTAAGGATAGTTAGTTGCTATGAAGGGGTAATTGGTGCCTTGGATGAAGGGCTTGTAGTCAAACCACAACAGGGAATGGTGTTTGGTAGTGGCTGGATAGAAATGATAATGCTGTAGACTTATATTGTATTTATTATAGCTATACATTTTATATTCAATTATAATTCAATTAATGATGTCTAGGACCTTTTCTGTATGTAAACAAAGATAAAGTAAAATAATATACCAGGATTTACAATAAAGATGTATAAGAGACATCTAGAAAATGAAAAAAAACATGTCATGTTTGAAATATTGGAATTGCTAAGAAAAACTATCATTCTGTTTGTTTTAAGAAGTAAATATTCTCTAATGCAACAGCTCAGCAAGCTTTCTATTTCAAAAATTCAAGTGATATTGTCAGTAATTATAAGAATTTATGGACTTAACATGAAAACAATATAGTTGTCACGGTCTTAATTCATAACTTAATTAATCTAATTTTTTTCTTGGAGATCGAGCCGAGGTTTTGATTTTTTTTAAAAAGTCTGATTTATCCTCAACACCATAATTGATTTAAGATGTGAAAAGTATTTACCGGTATATGCCTCAAACTTACTTTACATTGAATTACGGTACAATGTATATATAATCAGAGTAAGGTACTGTAGCACCCCTTAATAATTTGGTGGAGGAAACCTAAGATTTCTTGATTTGTCAGATAGAGTTGTTTCCCATTGATTATTTGTAACATTAATTTTAAAATTATTAATCTGTTAAGACATGAAATTTTATCTTATATTTTAAGTAAGACTTAACATTTTTATATAGACATGTTGTTGGAGTGTGTTTTTTTTTAATAAAAAGCAAAAAATAATTAAAAAAAACAAAAAAAAAACATTTTTTTAATATTGCATGGAGGATGATATCTTTGATTGTAAGGTAGATTATAACATTCAATTATTCAGCAAGGATGGTAACATTTCCTATATGATTTTATTTTAAGCCTAAGAATTAAACCGACATATGTTCAGACAACCCCTCCTGCTGTCCGGTAGGTATAAGATTACATATGCCCCCCTATCATTTACTCTTCATACTGTATCTCGCAATCTTTAATACTTGAATTCTGAAAGTCAAAATTTAATTCCAGTTGTTTGTACAGAGCAAATTCCATGTTCTTTGTTGATTCTACCCAAATTTTCCAAATTACTATAGTTAATTCCTCTACTTGCAAAGACTAATGTTATGTTAATATATTTGAAGTTCTTAAACTTGATTTCAAACAAATGATGAAACATACTCCATCACATGGCTTTAATTAATATTTACTGGCAGTTTAACCAACATAACACTAGAGCTTAAGATAATGTCACCAATTTAGATTGACTATGAATGTGTCTCTCACAGTATTAATTATTACTTGTATTTTCTGCACGTTTTGTTTAAATTCTACCCCTAAAGGTTACTATTTCTCCTAATATTATACTCACAGGTTATCACAGAGTAAATTCCCAGGAATAACTAAGAAGCAGGGTAAGAACTAGGGTAGAATCAACTGCTTAATTGGCCATGCTTCATTCATCTCTGGCTAATACAGCATAACACTGCATTCTCAATAAAGCATAACTATGCAGCATACAGTATAACACAGTATTTCCTCAATGAAGCCCTAATAATGTCACAACTATAATTCTAGACTACTATGTATATGGGATGGCAATGCTCCTTTAATAATAATACTAAAACCTCAGTATATGGTTGCATATGTGGGGAATTTCCTTTGTGCAGACAAATGGAGCATTTCTTTACAAATCTACAAATGTGCTGGAATTTGCTTGTATTAATAATCAAATGGCTTATTGCTCTTTATATCTATAAACTCTGCTTAATGAATGTATATACTGCAGTGGAAATTGAAGGAATTAATCTTTTTTCGAAGGAGCTGAATCATATAAGCATATGAAGCATTTATCTTCATACAATATATTGCATTATCATATCATATGTGATTTTCTCTTTAAGGTATATTTGGTGCCATGAACAACTACAAAGTTTGCATATCTTGTAAAGCATGTTCATGAATCAGAATTCATTCAAAATTCATCTCCATTTTCATAATTTTTCCTACATAGTTATCATCTATACACATTTGTACGTTAAAATACCAGTAAAGATGTATACATTTATATTTATATAATAGTGTTGCATTATGCATGTACTATGCCTAAATAGTAGGCAGGGTATGGTGCATTTGGTGCCATAGAACAACTGACTGTTAATTATTTATGCGGCAATCTATTTGCAAAATATCGGTGCTTAAACAGCGCACCTGCAAGAACTAATTCAAAATATTCATGCTAAAATTGTTTGCATGCTTAGTTATTTTGGTTACTAGTATTTTCTCTAAATAAGTCATTTACTGTCCCAAAGCAACACATCTTTATTTTCTGTTTTGTTCGTAAGCCTTATTTGTTTGCAGACGTCGATTCTCATTGATAATTTTCTTTTACATCCTTCAATCAAGCGTCATATAGGCCTAAAAAAGCGTTTTAATGACCCTATAAAATCAGTTCATCTAACGATCTGTATGTAATTAGTTTGAAAGTTTGTTGTACACATTAATCTAAAGTTCCTTAGAATAATATAACTGTTTTCAAATAATATTTGTCTATTTTCTCCTTCTTGTGTCAATTGTATAAATTAAGTTTATATATTTCATAAAATTATATCAACCAGTGATCGTCTCTATGGCGTAATCGATAAGGCATATATCTCATGGTCGTCAATCTGTGCATGGAAGAATTTGTAAATAAAGCCGTGCACTGTGTTTTCAGAACTATGCGAAATAATTTTTATATAGTACAGGAAGCATAATAATGAATCTTATTTTGCATGTGTTTTCAGAAATGAATAATTTTGTATAGCAAGATGCTATTGTTTGTTTGTATGCTTTTTTTAAAGATTCAGGATTACTGGTAAAATTTTTTTGAATGTTTTTGTTTTTTTTTCAAGATGTTATTTTAATATCTTAAAGATTTTTTTCCTAAATAATTATAACGTGGATGAGTATATACAGATTTTTTTTTATAATTATATTGCCATTTAGAGCCTCTTTGTCATTGTATCATGTTGAAATATTTTTCTTCAGTGGACTCTCCCCCGGGCAAACCAGAAGGCGGTCTGACGAACCCAGCCGCACAAGGTCAATGAATATCGGCGACCCGCGACGAAAGAGCAACTTGGAAGTTCCACGTTCATTTCCGATCTCTACAGATAAACGAAAGTCTGATGCTGCTACACTGCTAAGTCTGAATGTCCCAGCCAAGAACAACAGCATAGCACCCTGGGAAGGGGAGGACCAGTAAAGGACCAGTTTACAAAGATGTGTTTTAAAAATAATGTTGGACATGTTCTATAGTTCTAGCTGTTATTTGCATATCAGTGCATTAGAGAGTTTACTTATAGAACTGTTTTGTTTTGTTTTGTAGACAATCATATTTTTTCAAGTGACATTCAAAATGTGAAATAGTATTAGTGCAATTGCACAAGACCCTTTTGTTTCCCCCCACTATTTGGTCCTATTGTGTGATATATATGTTGACATTATTTTTTCACAGCTCAAAACCATCTCTCCGATACAGATATTTTTCGCCATTTTATTTTGTATACATGTTTTTAGGTGCTATATTTTTTAATCTGCTTATCCCCCTAGTGCTTTGAATTCCAGTACTATGTTATGTTTAATAGTGAATGATTCCTATAATACATTCAAACCTGTATTAAATCCAACCACGAAAGAAATAAGAATGAGGATTGTATACGTGTATATATACACAGTCATCATTTGGTGATTCTGCAAGCTGTACATAATATCGCCACAATTTTCTGAAGGTTCAAGTCAGTAAAAAATGAATGTACATGATTAACACATATTTATTTTTCAAACTTCAAAAGTATGGTAACTGTTAACTGGTTAAGTGTCGTTTCTATAATGCTAGTACTTGTATGTTCTTCTTAGTGCTCTTCCATCAAAAAAGATTTCATTCAGCTGAACGTATTCCACAGTGTTAAGAAAAAAAAAGATTCAGTCCATTAACTGAAATAAAAAAATGTCAGTTGATAAATTCAGGTTTGTTTTTATGTAAGGGTAATATCTAATGCTTTCTGCTTGAAAAAAAATTTTGTGTTATGGTAGGGAAATAACTGTTTTTTTTTTTTTTTTTTTTTTTTTTTGCATATTGATCTCCAAGCCAAAAGATAGACATTTCTATGAATGCAACAGTGCTCAATATAAAATATCACTTAGTTAAAGTACTTAAATATTTAAAAATGACTTTAAAAATTATGGTATATTCATATGGGGAAATGGTAAATGATATATAAAGTCATACATTTTCAGTATTAAACTGAAAAGCTGCTGAAATCTGCGATTAGTACAGGAATACATGCATAGCTTGGGCAGTTTTGTATTAACTCGATCAGTACTGTATTTAATTTTCTGAAGTAAATCTTAAGTACTTGTATGCATACTTGTAACAGTAAAATGACGTAGGGTAATAATTTTTATTATCATTATATTTCAACAGTTTATTCCTTTTTTCTCAGGTAAACTTTGGTCATGACCTTTTTTCCAAATGTTCCAAATGTACTTAATTTCTTCATGCCAAAAAAGAAAAGGATATTAAAATAGGATTTGATCCCACAAGTTTATATTAACTGCTGCGTTATAAGAAAAAAAAAGGACCATGTTTCATCGCTGATGCTATATAACATCAGAATGGGCACAATCCTAATGTAAGATACCTTCTGTGAGAAATATTATTTCATGGTTATCTGTATATCAGTAAATTTTCAAAAAGTCAAAACTTGTACATGTATTAGCTGATATGGTGATGTTTTACTGTGATGTTTAGATTTGTGTAATATTAAATTGTACATTCCATTCTCGATCTGTTAGTTGTTCATCAAGCTAGAGATCTCGGTTTCAGATATATAATCATGTCAGTGTAATTTGATTATGATATAAGCTATAAATTACTCTAAGTTACCTGAATAATATCACCGTTTATCACAACCAGTTTTGTTAAAAACTAAGTCAATAAAATTTTTGTTTCATACATTCCTTGAAACAAATGTAATTTTTGTATATGACTGTGTACATCATTTTAATTATGCCAAATTAAATGTGCAGGGCTGTGAAATTTAGAATTTCATACTTGAGAAGATCCATCAGTTTGCTTTACATGCATGTTCATTCTAAAAATAATTCCTGACCACCATTGCTAATATAGTGCAATCTAACTCTTTTATATTCGATGCCCTTTTCAGTCCTGATGTATATTTGTATATGCCTATTCATATTTAACCTGTCTAGTCTTATATACATGTATATACATATTTTGTCAAATCCAAATATAGTCACCATGTACTTAACATTTCCCAATATTTTATATTATACATAATTTTGTGTTCACTAAACCAATCACACACTAAGTTGTGGTGTTACGTGTATGTTACTATCACATTGATTGATGACACTAATGTGCGTAGGGTTTATATTGTTGGTTGAGATGCACAAATGTGCATGAAGTGTTTACTGAGTTGTTGAGGTATATGTGTACTAATACTAATTAGTACTAGTACTACATTAATACTAGGTGCAATATTCTTCTAGTCAGTTATTGTATCAATTGATTAAATTGTTATGGATATCAGATATGATAGAAAAATGTGATTTTAAGAAATTATTTTATGCTAGCATATTGTTAAGGATTATATGGAAGGAAACCACAGCACATGAAAATATAGTCTTGCTTTTAAATACTGAATATCTATCTGAAAATAAGGTGCTGTGGAAATATAGTGATTTACAGTATAGAATTTGTTAAAATTTCTTTTGAACTTCAAATTAATGTACATGTGAAAAAAAACTTCTACATGTATGGGATTTGCATATAAATTTTTATGTTTAAGATATAATATTTCCTCAATCGATTTAAAACCTTTATTGTGAAAGGTTTATAGAGAATGTATATTTAATAAACCCACTAGTTTGAATGTGAAAGATGGAGAGAAAAAATATTATTAAAGATATAAGCCTAACTTTATGTTGTATTGTTGATGAGAGTGCTTAGCTTTATGTATATTAATCGTATATATAAACTACACTGTATAAATGGGAATAAAATTCCATTGTTTTCATGTACTATAGAGAAAATGCACTTTAATGACATTTTTTAACAAAAAAAAATGCAATATCCAGAAGATTCTTTTAACCTTTAATTGAATTGTTTTAGAATTGCTTTATACTCATATTAAAACAAGTGAGGAAACCTTTGTTATGTTTGTCTTGTATTCTTGCATTGGATTGACTATATAAACTATTTTTTTCATTGTGAAAAGTAGCTAAAATTAGTAAACAAGAGGTCCTTCGGCTATAATGCTTACCTGAGTTGCCATTCTTTTCCTGTTGGGCCATCTTTTTCTAAGGACATGGTTATATTGAGTAAGGGTGCCTCTTCTAAAACTAAGAATTTCATTGCTCCAAGGTCAAGGTTTCTAGATTTACAATGGTAATTATGTTGATTACAAGTCTAATACATTAATTCTTAGAAAATCTTATCTCTCTGGCCTCGAAGTCAGTGGCACTTACATATGAAGAAGGGCTCTATTGAAGTAAAAAATATATAGTGAAAAATGCACAATATCTGAAATTCTTCTTCCTGCTCTTTTGTATTAATCAGACAAACTAAGTGAATGGGTATGATGAGCAAGAAAGTCTTTTTTTCGAAATTAAAAATTTCAAGGCATTTAGAGGGATTCTTTATTATATAGTGAAAATGCATTGTATCTAATACTATCTGTGAAATCATCATCCTTGTACATGGGTATAAAGGGAAAAACTACCATTGTATATGTATGGTAAGGATGAACTAGGTTGCCTCACCAAAATTATGAATTTCTCAACCCCAGTCAGGGGTTCTGATGGCACGATGGATCCAGGGGCTATTTATTATAAAGTGAAAGTGCGTTATTTCTTTGAAAATCTCTGCTCCTGATATATTGAGCAGATGAACCATCTACATAAATATGATGAGCAAGCCCTTACAAAACTGATATTAATGGACCTAAATCTGTTAAATGGTTTGAAATGAATTAGTAGCTGTGTAATCACGGTAATATTCAATAAAAAATTATATGTAAAGTTCTTAATGTTCTAATCATATAAAAGCTATAATGCACTTTAATTTTAAAAAAGTATGAAAACTTTGTAAAAGAACATACAGAGAGCCTATCAAAACTTCATAAAATTGCATCATTTCAGAAACATGTGGTGGATTTTCTCTAAAATTAACAGATTTAGGTCAGGACAAAAGCTTTCTGCGAACTTGCTGCTTGTACACAGGAATGTGCCAAAACCATAAGGAAATTGTTTGCTGAGAGTTAGCAGCAATGTTTGCAGCAAGCTTGCAGCAAGATTTCCATATTTGGAAAATCCAGTGTTTGCTGCAGACTTGCAACAAACCTTATTTGCATGGTAAAATGTTTGCAGCAATTAAGCTTGCTGTTAACTTGCTGCAAACACCAAAGCTTTCTATATACTGTCATGCTTTCTTTGGCTACATTGCCACAAGCTTGCAGCAATGTTTGCTGCAGATTTGCAGCAAATATTTGCAGGAAGGGAATATTTTCGGTAAGGGAGGGTACCTCTTATGAATTTTCTTCACGAAGGATTTTAATAAAAACATCTGGACAATACGAATATACTAAAAAAATATATTCCTTGCATTACATTTAAAATTCATATACTGTGCAATAGGTAAACAACCTCTCTGACTTACAGTATCGGAGCTAAATATGCGTGTCTATATAAGGTAGTATGCTAGTGCTCTTCTTGTGACTTGGAGAAAGCATATTACATAACTGAATTTTTTTCAACCGAAAATAAGTTCATGCATTCCTCTCCTTTTGTTGGAAGAGTCCAGCCATTCCCCTTTGTATTTTTTCCAGGAGTGTTGCAACTTAAAAAAAAAAATCATGTACTAGAGTAGATAATTACTGAAATTTTACTGACACAATTTTTTTTAGAAATAAAGAGATGTACTTTGGACTGAATATTTTTGTGAATGAAAAAAAACTACACACAGAAACTGAAAAACCTTTATCTTGGGGGAATCTATCTTGACCACAATCTCAATCAAATTATTGATGGTTTCATCCGCACTTCCGGTGGAGTACAAACCAATATCACAGAAGCGTGATGAGAACACATCAAAGCTACGGCAACCAGCGGATATGAATCCGCTGTAATTACACGGCAATAAAGAAATAATCCGTTTAGAATACACCACTTTAAAGTGTCTGGAGGGATACCAAACCCCTGTACCCTTGTACTGACGGAACTTAATAATAACGTTTATTGCCTTTATTGAATTTCCCATAAAAAGGAATTCCTTATTTTTATTCGGTTTATTTGTTGTTCTTATTCATTTATATCAATATTTTCTTTATGTCTTTGAAGAAAACTATCTGTTAATTAAACATATTTTAATTTCTTTATGCAGCATCTGAAGCAAATCAAACAAGAAGCCCTGGAATTAATGCTGCTTATCAGTTGATGTGAATGTATAAATGTCTATTGTTTAATATTTTCCAGTAAGTCTTGGTTTGCATGGAATGTTTGAAATGTGAGCAGTATGACTGCGGTGTCTTGATCTCCATTTATGTTTGTTTCTAAGCATTCTCACGCTACACCGCTCGGATGTCCGATAAATGGCGCCTTTGACGGGTAATTCTTCCCTAATTCCCTCATTTGGCAAACACAATTTGTCATCGAAACACTTACAAGATCTCTCATTGAAGATGACATCTCATAATATAATCTTACCCTTACATTAAAGGCTCCGAGAGAATCCCCGCGAACACTCGCTGATCCATTATGGCGGAGGGCATCATTTCATCTCAAACACGATTCAATTATCGGCTCCGTTTTTGGACAGACTAAGCATTACAAAGGTTGAGCATTACTTTTGTCAGTTTGTGAACTTCCAAAGTGCGACTATTGGAGTTTTTAGCTGGAACAAAAGTTCCAAATTGAGACTTCATCAATAAATACTACTCACATCAGTAGCCCTTTTTTAACGCTCTAGAATTATTTTTGTCTGGTACGGATACATGGGGAAAATGATTTCATTGCAAGTCTTTTTGAAAACAATGACCACAGTGTTCTTAAATTACATGTAATTTGCCATCATCCTCATGTACATATATAATGTAATATGCAGTTCCTCAACTGAAAGATTTGCAGCAACATGGTTTTTAACCTAGGTGTACTATATATGCTATATGAATTATGACAACAAGATTTGAGCAACTGCAATGAAAAGGGGATATAAATTATATGTGATCGTACGATAATAAATTATTACACTGTCTTAATAATTTGCAATATTAATTAATTGAACTTATATTGTATATGATACAGTAAATTATGTTTAATGCGAAATTGCCATTTATAGTTATCTAACGCAATTTTGAAAATGATATGATTCCTTTTTTTAAACTGTTGCTAAATTAAGTGGAGGTAATCTGAATCCACTGAAATTGAATTTAATCAAAACAATCATTACTCTGCGGAATGAGATGCAGGCGGTTAGGACTTAGCAATTAACAGTACGCAGAATGTGGGATATTACATCAGTGCAAGGTTTTGCAATGTGAATTCTTCAAGTAGAATATTGATATATGTAACAAACGTTAATCAGGCTCAAAAGTCCCTTAAAACAACACAAACTGGGTGCAGAGCAAGCACGGACCTATGAGAAAACATCAAAGATGGGATCAGGTATCGCGAAGGAGTAAACGTCTCCCGTCGACCAGACACTACTGCCGTGTGCTCCTTGTCATGATCGGAAAAACGAAAATTCATTAACATTTCACTGTAAATGGTCAGAACTTTCAACTATTAGAAAAGTTATTTTTTTTTAATTTAATTTTTTTAAATAAAAGATTATCAAAAAAAATCGTCTATAGTTATAATTCTGAAAATATATTTGATCTGAACTACTTTTTTGGGGTATTTTTGTATTTTTGCCATACTTCTATCTAGCTGCACACAGATAATAATGGGAAATCAATATCCGTAACCCGAAGCGTTTAACAGGATCAGAAAAATTATTCTTTCATTACCCGGCCAGGATTTAATCTTTCAAAAAATTGAATTAAATCGGAGAAAAATCTACTTGGCAAATAAATCAAATTACAACCTAGTGTTCCCATAACGCCTTCATTTGAACTAGAAGTGCTGCTGGAACGACGGAGACTCGATTTATTCGGACGGACGGCAGATTTACAGAGGAGGGTTCCCCACGGGGAATTTTATCTGCAGGCATCTCACTGAACGCACCAGGCCCAAACGATAGGCCGTGACCGCAGGGTGGAAAAAAATAAAGATAGGGATCAGTTTTATGGGCCCCAATATAAGAATTGATGTTTAAAAAAAACTCATTTTATTTTGCGGGGCTCTCAGCAAATATACGATTCCACTCAATGAAGTATTCTTATACAGTGTGTATATTAATGTTTGTTTTGAAAAAAAAAGAACCATTTGACTATATTTTTATATAATATCATTACTGTTTATCAAGCAAGGAAATGAAATGTTATTTCTTATGTGATACTTTTCGACTATCTATCTCTTACAATTGCAAACACTAGTTATAAATGAGAGATCCCAAAATAAGAGTACTCAATATCACATTGAAAATTAATAACAGTGTCAAAGTTGAAAGATCCTTTCTGTTTGTGCACAAAGATATTTTTTACATGCCTCATTTTTGCCAACTTCACTTTGGATTGAAATTTATAGTTACATAAACCAGTCTATCTTTTTTTCATTTTCTTCCTAACTATTTTACGTCACCTGAATTTACTAAAGTGACCTTTTGCTGTTTTCGTACGTCGTCGTAGAGGAGAACATTCATTCTCTAAAGTCGCTCAACCAATTCTGGCAAAAACATCGATGGGTAAAGGGGAATACAAATTATGAAATTGATGGTCCCTGTCCCCATTTGGCCTTAGGATTGGGGAAAAGAAAACTAAACAAGAGGCCCGTGGGCCTTGTAGGTCATCTGAGAATCACGCAACAACTTTCTAACTATTGAATTTGGTTCATGTTTTAAAGCATAGGCCATGGCATTCACAATTTTGAAAGATGCACCATTGCTCAGTATAACTATACACTAAGCATGCTTAGTTTGGAACAAAAAAATGAATTTCAACTAATCAGTAATACTCGTCAATAATCTGTAGTACCCATACCCCACAGCTAGAACCCATGACCCCAGAGCGATACATTTCACAATTTTAGAAAAGGCACCCTTGCTCACTATAAATGTTTGATTAATACCAAGAAGCAGATTTCAAGATTAATTCATTTACAGTATATAATTAGAGCCCACCCTAGAACCAGAACCCCATACTGTACCCCTGACCCGGGGGCCTTGAAATTCACAATTCTGCAAGAAGAGTCATTGCTTATCATAGATTATAGGTAGTTTATCTGTTCAATACCCAGGAGAAGAGGAGAAGATTTACAAAGAATTTAATGCATATTAATTATATAATCAATGAACCCCGCCCTTACACCAGAACCCCTGATTCTGGGGCCATGAGATTCATAATTTTCGAGGAGGCACCTTCCTCGTCCTACCTGTGTATGAAGTTAGTTTGTTTAATACCCAAGAACAGAGAAGATTTTCAACAAAATAATGCATTTTCTTTTTATAATCAATAGAGCCCCAGCCTAACATCAAAACCCCTGACCCTGAGACCACAATTTTCGAAAAGGCACTCTCCCTCATCGTAGCTAAGTATGTAGTTAGTTAGTTTTATATTCAGAAGCAAGAAAAAAGATTTTTAAAGAAATAATGCATTTTCACTATATAATCAATAGAGACCCACCCTTGTACCAGAACTCCTGACCTTGGAGTCATTAAATTCACAATTTTAGAAGAGGCACCCTTCCTCACCATTATTATGTACATGTATATAGTAAGTTTGTTTAATACCCAGGAGTAGAGAAGAAGATTTTCGAAGATTTAATACATTTTCACTATATTCAATAGAGCCCCACCCTTCACCAGAGCCCCTGACTCTGGGGCCATGAAATTCACGATTTTGGAAGACACTCTTCCTCATCATTACTTTACATTAAATTTGTTTGTTTAATACCCAGGAGCAGAGAAGATTATCAAAGAAATGCATTTTCACAATGTAATCTATATAGCCCCGCCCTAGCACTTGGACCCCTGACTCTTGGGCCATACATTTCACAATTTGGGTAGAGGACTCAATGCTGAATACAATCATGCCAACAGTTTGACTGTTTGATGTCCAGGAGTAAAAAAGGAGATTTTTAAAGGTTGCATTAACTTTAGTGGGTTTGGCCCAACTCCTCAGGTCCCGGGGGGACAGGAACCATGAAATTCATTATTTTTGTTCTCCTTTACCCATAGATGCTCTGTTCCAAAATTGGTTGAAATTGATTGAGCGGATGCAAACAAGAAGCTGAAAATGTTCAATTGTTAACACACGACGTACACCGCACGACGCACGACGGCGGACTAAAACTAATAGCAATAGGTCAACGGAATTTATTCAGGTGACCTAAAATGCAATCTTTAAAAATCTTCTTCATGTTCTTTACTCCTAGATATCAAGCAGTCAAACTGTTGGCATGATTGTAATAAGCAATGATCCCTCAACAAAATATATGAAATTTATGGCCCCAGGATCAGGGAAACTGGTGCTAGTGAGGCGTGTAGCTGAATATATAGTGAAAATGCATTTCTCCTTCTTTTTAAATTCTCCTCGGTCCCAGGGTATTAAGCAAACAGACTAAATGCATAGTTATAATGAGGAGGGATGAAGAGAATTTCATGGCCCGTGGGTTAAGGGGTCTGGTGTAAGAGCGAGGCTCTATTGATTATATAGTGAAAATTCATTAATTCTTTCAAAATCTTCTCCTCTGATTTTGGATATTAATCCGATGAAAATATGATGAAGAAGGGTGCTTCCTTTAAAATTATGAATTTCATGGCTCTTGGGTCAAGGGTTTTGGTGTTAGGGCGGGGCCTTATTAATTATATAGTGGAAATGCATTTTCTTTTATCTTCTGCTCTGCCTCTGGGTAATAAGTAATCAAAGTAAGCATACTTGGTGTATAGTTATGAAGAGCAACAGTTGGTGCCTCTTTCAAAATTGTGAATTTCATGGCATTTGGTTAAAAACACAAACCAAATTAAAGAGTTGGAATACGCGGTCCCTGTAACCCGCGGTTCTCTCGTTAGAATTAACAATTAAAATTTCATTTATAAAAACTGTAGAATGTTCTCATTCGCATTAAATAGTCTGCTTTACTATATATCTTTGAAATGTATAAAAATTATACATACATGGATATGAAAGTTTTGCAGATCAAATTCTTGATCCTTTTCAGAGAGTTTCACTACAGGAAACATAGGTGTATCCTTATATCAAATACACACGTCACATCCATTTTGTCTATTTAATGGTGGAAAAATTAAAGACTGAACGAGATTTTTCTCTCCATTTATGCTCTACTTTGCAGATTTAACTAACAAAAGTTTTATGCAAATACAAAGATTGTTGAAATGTTAGATCGATTACATTCAATCAGGAAAAATTAAATTGTCCGTTGCATTTTATTGGACCTAAATGGAAGGAGCAAATAGCACCAACGGAAGATGGACTTAATTCATATTCCGATACTCTCATACATAAATTCTTATCAGTATACGATCTTTTATCGACGCTTTTATACAATTTAAAAAAATGTATGCTGCAAGTATTCATAAAAGAACAAAACTTTTCAACTCTGCATGAGTGACGCAGTGGAAATCTGTAATTGATCTTTATGAAAGTATTAACGATTTGTGACTGGTCCTTTCAGGGCACATCTAGGATATTTATATCTATTTGGACTTTCTTCCCTACAGAATATACACAGTAACCCTCCTAGATCGATACAGACCGACATTGGAGTATTCAGGACTGTTCAAATGTAAAAATTTATAATTTTTATATTAAATCAACAGAAGTCGAGATTTAAATATTATCTATGTCACTGACACGGATGCACGGAAACTGACTTTTTTTGCAGGTAAGCAATTTTACTTTTCTTTAGAAATGTGTTTATGTTGCTGTTTTGATGTGAATAATAAGAAGTTTTATAATTCCTTTTTTCTATTTAATATTTGCTATTGTGACAAAAATAGTTATAGTTTTTTTAGTGAAAAGATAAATGATACATGTAATTGATAAATGATGATATGTATTTGTTTTGTTTTTATTTGTTTTTGTGTTTTTTTCCCTTTTTTCCATAAAGCACAATCAGTATATATTACTTTAAAAAGAATATAAAATTAAACATTATAAGTTTAACGGCAGATGAAGAAAATGTTAAATTAAAGAAATTATTAGTCTTTGGAATTGACACCAAACTCACACTTTCTGACAACCATCACACGATAGCTTCATTACAGTTTTATAAATTGGATGATTCGGGGATTTGCTCGGTGAGGGAACACTGGCCTTTGATGGGGCCACAGAGAACTCTATACCCATTTGCCAGAACCTCATGTCATTTCATTATCTCTGTTTACACAGAAAGTTTGTTCTTTTAATGAGAATTTCTGTTCGAGATGTCAGTAAGAAGTCCAATGCAAAGTAACTTAATGATAACTTAAATGTAATCATTCCTTTAGATTTCGCTTCGAATATTGCTCTAATATTTCCGAACAATATAATGTAAGTCACATGACTTTTAACATGTTTTGATTTTATCTTCTTTTGGTAGAGATTTGCAATTATAATTAGAAATTGTTGATATTTTGTTTTCATTTTAAGCTATCTAAGATTCAGTGAATATATCTGATTCCTTTCTTACAGGAAATTACCCAGTACTTGTGCTCTGTGTTATGGCTGTCTAATTTGAATCTAAATCTTTTCTTTAAAAAAATATATCTAAAAATCTTTTTAAAAATTGCAAAACGATGGTTTGTAAATGGAAGTATCTATGCATAAACTTAATTCACCAAATAAACATGACTTATATCCCCGATATATAATCAATAGATCGACTAACATTGTATTTCACACAGTTGTTGCATTAAAGTACTCACTCTCCAAACAGGTGTACTGGTCCAAAAAGCATGCATTCCATCTTTCTACTTTTTCTGGCAAAATTAATCAAATTAAATTGTTTTCAATTTACATCTTCCAATTTGTCTAAAAATATATAAATGCATATCCATTTTTGTTCCACCTTCAATCAAGAAATTGAATAGATGTTTAATAGAAAAAAATGTTCATGCGTATACTCTTTGCATGTTTGTTAATTTAGTCTTCAAGCGATCTTCGCGGTGAAAGTCGAATGCTCTTTAATAATTATTTAGAATGCTTACACATGAATAAATGAAAACTCAATCAACTGATAAAATTCAAGTGCTATTTTGCCTAAATACATATAGAAAACCATTTTACTAACGACTTAAGTGGGTTTGTATGAACTGAATGTAGAGCAGTCACGACTGTTAGTTTTAAGAATATTGTTTTAAGTTCATTTTCTCTTGAATTTGCTTCTTTTATAACCATTTTCATTATGCTGTAATTCACGTCACGCTAGACAATGTATCGAGCATACAATAAAAAATTAATGTGAAACATAAACATATAAATGTATAATAATTATTGAAGTAACTGGTTTAATGCAATTACTCACATTCACGAAACTTATCATAAGGGAGATAATTTCTTAGATCGGTGTAGAATGACTGTTAGTTGCAATAGAATTCTTCCTCTCACGGGACCATCTTCGCAGATCGTGTGATTATACTCCACTAAAAGCAAGAAACCATACATATTCACGCCGCCGTTAATGTCTGTTTCTGCTCTATTGTAAGTCAGTGTAGCATTTCGCGTAGTGTTACAAAAGAAAGCTAATCCCTAGAGGAAATTACAATACAATATAGGTCTAACCTTAAACCATAACAGAATTGTACATTTGTTAATTGCAGCATTTGTTTTAGACATATAAAGCACCATTGGACATTATGATGTAACTGTGCTATGTTATCAATAAATTACTGTACATTCGTGTGAAGCAACTGCAGATGTTATTTGATTTTTGAGTGAAACAGCATGCAAGTACAGCAAAGATCAACAAGTACTAGAACTACAATCGTAGATCATAGAAGCATAAACCTTAGAAAATAAAAGGAATCCATTATTTATATGCAACTATGGAGTGCAAAAAAAAAATATACATGCATGTTTTATATTAAAAATGGTCATTCAAAAAATACCAAGCCAGTATGTCGCTCCTCATCATATTACTTTTACTAAATGTAATTTCAAAGCATTCTCTAATATAAACAAAAACATCCCTATCTTGACATTAACAATTCAGCAAGCACAAAAATTTAACGTCTGTCTTCCCACAATTTTATATTTTATTATTAAAATATAAACTTTTTGATAAATAGTTATATCACCACCAAATTATGTATTTTGATAATAAAAAAATGCGGGAAATTTCTTTTCTCAAGAAAACAGAAACAGAAGTACTTTATGAATGGTTTAAGTGCAAAGAAGACGTATGAACTTACTAAAATTTTGTTCTCATTTAGGCAAACTCATGGATTAAATGTCTCCCCAAAGCCTACTGATTGCGATTCAAATTCTGGATTTGCTGTCAGTTAACAGCTTGTCTCGTCGCAAATGGCACGACAATTTAAATTATCATGAAGTAATTTTTAAAGACATTTTATAAGCTTATTTTGAATTTTCATTGTAAGTACATCTTAAATAAATTTTTAAGCTTGTATGTCTCAAAATCTGATAAGGATAAGGAGAGGGCTGAAATAGGCTTCGCCTGCTGCCCAGTCCCTTTCACTTCTTGTGAATAAAACTATGTATGAAATTTGGTGTATAATTTTAAAAAGACTTAAAGTATCGAAATATAGGTGTGCATTTTTAAAGTATAATTTACTCGTAAAAATGCCTCTTTTTCACAAATCAAACGTCTAATATAATATCATTTGTTAAAACTCATGCTCAATAAATTTAAATATATTCTGATCTCTGAAGTATGCATGCTTAAAAAGCTTTCTTCGACAGTACTGTAGATCACTTAATTTTCGCGGCACCTTATTTTCTCGAGATAGTCATTGACTCTTTATTAGCGAGACAAAATTATCGCGCGATTGTTGATATAGTAGTGTTATGATAATCTTATGTACAAATGGTTGAAGGCAAAGGCTTTAAAAAATTTTCGCATTTCGATGCACCAAATTACGCGAAAATAAAGTTCTCGTGAATAAAAAAGGATTTAATGTATTCAATCGCAAAGTCCATTTAAACAATACAGATCGAAAGCAGAGCAAAAATGGACCTACAAAAACATTAAAGATGGGCTCAGGTTCAATTGATGATTATTTTTTTAACAAAAACACTGTGAACCACTTACATTTGCTTGTGTTTATCATGATAAAAAAAAACCCGGAAAAAATGTTGTATTATTTCATTTGTAGTTGGTATGAAAAACATAAGTAAATATTTGTCGTAATAATAGATTTTATTTGCTGATAAGGTCATTGTATCCAACATAGAACTTGCGAAATGATGACGTCAAACAAGACTGATGATATAAATATAAATCAAAGGAAAGACTACAAAGAAAAGGTAAAAAAAAAACTCAAACTGAAGTTTGAAAAACCAGCGTTAATGCTAGGAATGCCAATATTAAAGTTTGAAAGCACAAACGTAAATTTGGAAATGCCAAGATTAAAGGTAGATTACCAACTTTGTTGGAAAAGCCAAAAGTTGGAATAACCGACTTTAAAGCTGGAAAAACCAAAAAGTTCCGGAAAATCAACTTCTGTTTGGAGAAGGGCGAAAGAAAAAAATGTGATTGAAGCAGAATTTTGAAAAAAAGAACTTAAAAATGAAAAGAAGAAAACATTTTCTGTGGTCTAAAACTCGACATTTAGATACATGTATATCGACGACGAATTGTCAGCTAAAATGGTTATTTCCATTCTTATGTCGATACGATATACCAGTATCCCGATGAAAGATGCCACAGAATCTAACACACCTGTTTCATATTTAGATATTTTACTTGAAAATATTTCTGGTAATGGTTAATAACGTTTATGATAATCTAACAACCATGCTTTATGACAAACGAAAAGACTTAACATTGTCAACTTCCATTACTTATGCAGCAATATACATGTACCTTCATCACCTGCATACGGGGTTTATATCTCTCAGTTGATTTGGTACGCAAGAGCATGTTCTACTTATGAACGATTTTTATAACAAGGTAAGTTATTGGCAAATAGGTTGCTGAAACAAGAATATCAGCAGTCTCTTTTAAAGTCATCATTTTGTTTGTTCTATTGTCAATTCAATGATTTTGTCAGTAAATACAATATATCATTAAGTCAAATGATGACTGACATTTTTCAAACGAATTGTCAGGCCAATATTTCTCACTGATTTGTTGACATACTTTCCCATTTTTTCCCGATCATAACAAGCAGCACATAGCTGGTGTGACAGGTCGGCAGGGGATGCTTACTCCTCCATGGACCCTGATCCCACCTCTGATGTTTCGGAGGTCCGTGCTTGCTCTGATCCAATGTTTTATTGTTTATTGGATGTTTGAGCTTGAATGCTGTTCGTCATTTCCATATAGTTCATTTAATATACTTAACTTTTTATAACATTTTTAAAAATCTCTTCTTGTAGAGCTTCAGTTTAACATAATGTCAAAAGCACAATATTATGATGTCAATCTACATATTAGTTTTAAAAATCATTTTGAGATTGAGTTATATAAAATTGTAATTAAGTTTTTCCGCCTGTGATTTCGGATTTTTTTTTTTTATTTATTAATTAGGTGGGAAAAGATGCTTTAAAACTGTAAATGCACTTCATTTTACTGTGATGCGAGAAGAATTGGGCAATGGAAAACCCCGAAATCCCATTCGTCCCCCTAAAATTTACTTTGTTTTGAAAATTAAAATTTAAAGGTACTCGTCATAATTCAAAACTTGGTTGTAACTGATATCCTTTTAACTGTCTTTGCAAACT